CAATGGAGTATAGGCCATCAACCAGCATTCTCCAACCCACTCTGTCCTGAGCATTCTTTTCTGGTTCTATTCAATTGTTGTTCATTCTTCTCATATCTGTTTCCATTTCTCGGCGTAATATGTTCTTTGATCTTCCTTTTTTCTATCGACCTTGAGGATTCCAAATGATGAAAGCTTGCCTTGTAACGTAGTTGAATACTTTCCTCCATGTATATCCTATCCCTTTCCAGCACTTTTTCGTGATTTCTTCCTCCGTTAGGATCTGATTTTTTCTCTCCTACATTACTAGGCACTATAAAACTACTTAAAAATGTTTGTAATTTAATAACAATAACAATTCAGTACATTAGATGGTGGTCGAAGGTAGTCGACAGGAAACCCTGGACCCGGGTTTCATGTTACTTAGCATTTGTCAGCAAGGTGTACCTGTAATCTTGAGGGAACTGGTGCTCCCTGGAGGATTCGATTCCGTCTCACCCAGCTTTACAGTCAGAGACGTTACCACTGAGCTATCCGGGCCGCTACCGACCTCCTGTAGGACTGAGATGTAATCACAATTGATTGATCACTGGGTGGTTATCAATGTCATGCGTGTCTAGTCCTTATTATTAATGCAGATCGAACGCTATCGACCACAATAGTGCCCACAGTGTTGAGTCCCCTAGAGTGGTGACCACATTGTAACATGATCGATAGAATTCGATCTGCACTAATAATAAGGACTAAACACCCATGACATTGATCACCACCCAGTGATCAATCAATTGTGACAATTCAGTATACTCAGGATGTATACAGGCCAATTAAGATTAATCAATTATAATCCTTAACATAAATTACTGAAATGATTCAAACCCTTTAGAAACAAAATGATCTAGATTTCTCTAAACTGAAAACATAAATAAACTAAAGGTTAAACACCAATTTAGGTTGTATTGTATGTTTCAGTTAAACATAAATCTAATTTTTCAACTGACCTTTACATAGAAACAGAATAGGATATAGATTTTCTTTTCTTTTCTGGTATATATATATACATAGATTGATTGAAAGTATTAACATACTTCATAGATAATTATTATTAGACACAGTAAAAACGTTAGATCCTTTCAAAGCTGTCCGTCGTTCTGTTTAAACGGCTTAGAACGACTTCACACAAAGCAGACATTCCGTATTTCAAATGCTATGTCCATTGAGTTACACGAATACCAGGTGTTCTCATATTTCAGTGATCTTTTGCTGAAGTATATCCACAAACTCATTACAAAGAACATTGATTTAGCTCTCTCCGTCTTGTAGTGAACACATTGGATAGCTTTGTAACTGGCTGTATATTAACCAGTCATGTAATATTTATAAATTGTTTAACGCTTAATTACTTCAACTTACATTTCATAAAGAAGGAATAATATCCATGTCCGACATCATTATAATTAGCGAAGTGAATCAAATGTAAAAGGTGTTAGAAGTCATTTTTACATAAACCTTTAATCGCAATCTATTGTTCATTTGATAAATGATGAATTTCACTACTTTCAATTAATATTGTTACAATTAACCATATTAGACTGACTAAATCTTCACTGAGGATGTAAGCAGCCAATACGTCAAACTACTAATAAACTGGAATAAAAGTCATTTACCAAGCGCAAACATAACAAAACTTGACATGTAACACAAAAAGTTCTGTTAATAGCCGATAAATAACAACATCCCCCAAATCCTTGAAAATATGTAACATGCGCGCGAAAACTCATGGCTTAACGTTTTGACTCTGCCTAATGATTACTGAGAAATATGATTTCTTAACGATAATGAATGTGCATTGGCTGAGGAGTCCTATACTAGGACGAAACAGTTATTTAATACTTTCAGGTTTTCATTGGTGATCAATAAAGTTAACAATCTTCACAACCCTATACTGATATTAATGATATATGGTTTGACCCACTATTTAATAAATAATATTTACAACTATTTCATGATTAATGAGAACAGTAAAGATCTATAAGCAAAGATGGATAGTGGCTAGCAGTGGAATCCAGTTTGACGCGCGTTTCCTCCTATTTGCGACTCGTCAGCTGCATGTACCTGCATCTCAGAGTTGATGTTCACTCTGGGACTCGAACCCAGTACCGTCCGCTTCAAACGCCATCGCGTTATCCACTTAGCTACTGAGTCCTGATAGCCACTTGCTTGTGCAATATCGAGGCAATACGCACAGTATGCACATATGCCAATATGAGAGACTGATCAATTGCAGTCCTAAACATCAATAAGAAGATTCAAGTAAAACAATATCAAATGAAGTAAAGATCTATGCTTTGTTTAAATAGTGTGACCATAATTTATGTATGAGCTTTGAGTGATGTCTTAGTGATCTTCAGAATATCTACCTAATTATTAAGGCTAAATGAGGGTTATCAACGAATGTAAGGAATTAAGATTCTGATTTACAGTTGATGCTGTTTCAACAAATGTGTGAATGAATTTCGCGCCAAAATCCGAGGTTGGTTAATTTGAATTTCATTGGTTCGTCCATAAATTATAGTCTTGTCATTTAAATTATACAAAACATTTTTGATTGAGATTATGAACAGATCGATGTTAGACCACCGTTGGAAACTTAAAAGCACTTGACGGCAGTTTCATCCTATTGTGGGACTCCTCAGTAGTGCGCATCCACAAAACCGCTTTACCATAATGCGTATGTCATGTGACTCATTGACATACTGTTCATGTTGGATATTATTCAAATTAGTTATAGTTGCTAGGGTCAGTGTCAACGTAAAGTGACATCAGGTAAGTGGCTTAACTTAAGGGATTCATTAATAAGAATGGCTAAACATTTAATTTTCCTGAAATCTCACTTGTGGAATAAGATACACTTACAGGTACTAGAACATTTAATGCATCTTCAGAGGAGCAGTATGTATCAATTCAACGAACAAAGGATGGGAGTGATTTTATGGTACGGACAGATTGTGGTAGATTATTCCAGAGCCTAGAAAGTTTACAAGTAATGTAATTCATATGGAGAGATGATTAAGAATGAGTTTGTTTCACTAATGACAAGGAGCTACGAATGTGGTAATGAGAAGTTCCTGCATATTAAATTACTTGATTGGATGTATTTATATATTTATATAAACACATAAACATCGGTACAAGGAGGCACCAAATAGATATGCATCATACAAATCATTCGATATGTGTGAGGGCTGGGATACTGGGGGGGCAAAACCCAGAGTCTTTGACCTAAAGGTACGAAGCAGAAAGCAGTAGATCAACGTCAGGAGATGCAAACCCATGGTAGTCGGTGACCAACAATTTATTCATACTACATTTGTCCCTATAGGATCGTGTAACCCATATACACCATTGGTTTGAAATAAGGGTTTTCCAACTCCCCTAAGTGGATCCTCCATATTCGCTAGCCCGGTTATAGAGTCGAATTTTCACTTTTCATCCTCTCATCTTCGTAACCAACAGTAATGCTGCTGTCAGAAGGCAGTGAGTAGGACTTCCTAGTCAGTGGTTCTATGCACGTGACCACTTGAGAGCATTTGGAGTAGGATAATTAACTCTTTCCACTCTCGGTCATACCAGCGCATTTTGGAAGCTAGTTTATTAGGTATTTTGAAGAAGAAGATAAGATTTAGCTTGAGTTTATTTTTCCACAAAGGGTTGAGCCCAAATGTATCACATCTAGAATTATAAGTCAAGGTACAATCAGTTCCAAGAATACAAAGTATATATCGTCTGTGCATTAATTTCAACCTTAATTTATCCTTTATACACTCACTACTAAGAATAAACGTGCAGTATTCTAGGACTGGTCAAACACATAATTTATACATTAAAATACATAACTCATTGTTATAAAGATTTCGAGTTATGTAACTGTTATAACTTGTAGGCCTTGTGACGTAATGATACCACCAATTAGAGAACAGTGATTTATTGACCGGATCAATGACGTGTAAACCTGTATAAGCACTCTAGAGCCCTTATCGATCCTACATCCTGTCTAGCCCTACCTGTTCGAGTTCAGAACACCAATATGAGCCTCTGTGATGTAAATCATGTATTACAAACACATTGGGTTTATATACAAATCAAACAGGCCACATCGTACCAGAAAATGGAAAATACACATTTGTACGAGATCTAGTCAAATGTAGCCTCCAAATGCCCTGGTACGGTTGAGAGTGGGGAGAGTCCGCTCTCCCTCTCGAAATGCTCTCACATGGCCATGCGTATATAGCCTCTGCCAGGGAAGTCCTACTCACTGCCTTCTCGCACCACGGGTGTTGTTTACGAAAATGAGAGCACGAAAAGCGAATGTCCGGCGCTTTAACCGGAACCCAAACCAATGGTGCACATGGGCTCCAGTATCCTGCGGAAACAAATGGCGTATGAACCAATCGTTGGTCACCGGCTACCATGGGACTGCATCTCCTTACGATGCTCCACTGCCTTGTGGGTTAGACGTTCAGGTCGAAGGCTCGGGGTGTGGCCCCCTAAGAAAACCACCTGCTTCGGTTTGGGCACCCGGGCAGTATCACAGCCCTCACACAAATCAAAATTGATTTATGTGGCGCATATGTACTTGGTGCCTCCCTGTACCTATACTTATGTGTCAAAATAAAATAATAAATAAGTCAAATGTAGCTGTGAATGTAGGAGACTGTAATAATTGGACTGAACCTAACCCAAGAATGGTAAATCGTATAATAATCATCTATGAGTCAAAGTAAAGCTTATGATAAAAGGAATACGAATATGCAGACAGTATAGTTACTTAACCATTATACAATAAGAATATACGTAAAGTATTAGTTCAGATATAGATCCCAACAGTTACCATTTATGAATAATAAATAATTTCCTTTTTGTTTGTTTTACATTTATTCTATTGAACTAATGAAAGAATAATAATGGAATTGTAATGATCCATTGAATAACATCAACTAGATATAAGTATTATCTTTCATTTTATGTTAACTTCAATTCAAAGTAATCCAAATACTACAGAACATAATGAATTCAATATAGAATCTATTCCATATACAACTTTTCAACAGTATACTATTCAATTGAATGATTTAAACAAATCAACCTTAAATCATCCTCCTCCTGCTCCTCTTGCTCCTCCTGCTTCTCCTCTTGCTCCTCCACATCATCATCATCATCATCATCCTCATTCTCATACTGATCCTGATAATTGTATATTGAAATCTAATTCATATTATACAAATCATTCACTTAATCTACAATATACTAATCATTGTATAGATCTAGATAAGACCATGCAGAATGGATATAATCGAATTGATTATCATAATAAACAATTAATTACAAATACTACTAATAATACTACTACTAATACTACTACTAATACTACTAATAACAGTAATAATCATGTTCCCAGTTCATTACAGACATCTAATTTAATTACATCATCTACCATAACACATCAAATGGATCCTAAACTAAGACAACATCATCGTATCTCTATCAATCATTTAATCTATCAATGTAAATTATTATTTATATGGAATATATTAATAACTATTATATTAATTAGTATAGGAATTAGTTTATATTATTATTATTATAAAAGATTACAATTTATTGAAAATCAATTAATCAATAAATTTGAATGGATTCATCCAATCAATAATAGTAATGCATTAGATCAATATTTATTATTGATTTCTAATCATGATCAAATAAATGGTGATTATAAAAAGGATTCTATTAATGATGATAATAATAACAATCTATATATAGTAAAAAAATCTTTATTATTGAAAAGTATACAAAATAATCGATTATGGCCATCGGTGAATGTGAGTTTCATTATTTTTGTTTTAGAAAAAAAACACAATAAGAACTATCGAAATTGGGGTTGGTGGGTGGGTGGGTGGTGTGTGGTGGTGGTGGTGGTGATGGTTTGTGAAGATTGTTGAATTCATGAATTAATGAAAGTTAGATTATCAGTGAAAATCTGGAAGTATTGATGATGCTTGTTGTAGTTCTACAAGTTTCAGCTCCATACAGTAGAACTGTCTTGACGTTCGTATTGAAGATTCTGACTTTAATATTGCTCGAAAGTTGTTTTGAGTTCCATATGTTCTTCAGTTGAAGGAATGCCACTCTAGCTTTGCCAATCCTTGCCTTGATGTCTGCATCTGAACCTCCTTGTTTGTCGATGATGCTTCCCAGGTATGTGAAGGATTCTACATCTTCCAGAGTTTATGCATCAAGAGTGATTGGATTGCTGTTCTCCGTGTTGTATTTGAGGACGTTGGTTTTCCCCTTGTGTATATTGAGGCCTACTAATTCAGAGACTGGTGCTATGCTGGCTTTTTTTTATCTTCATTTGTTCGTGTGTATGCGATAGGAGAGCTAGGTCATCTGCGAAGTCCAAATCGTCTAATTGGTTCTGAGCTGTCAATTGTATTCCGTATTTTCCCTCATATGTCGATGTCTTCATAATCCAGTCGATCACCAGAATAAAGAGGAAGGGAGAGAGTAACCAGCCTTGTCTCACTCCGGTCCTTACTTGGAATGCATCTGTCAGCTGTTCTCCATGCACTACTTTGCACTGTAGTCCATCGTATGAGTTTCGGATAATGTTGACAATCTTGTCAGGAACTCCGTAGTGTCCAAGAACTTTCTATAACGTTCTCTTGTCTACACTGTTAAATGCCTTTTCGTAATCAATGAAGTTGATGTACAGTGACGAATTCCACTCGATTCATTGTTCGACGATGATCCGTAGTGTCGCAATTCGGCCTGTGCATAACTGTCAACTAAACAAGATAAATATAGAAGGGTATTTAGTATAATGTGGTATATCAAAATTAATTATGTAATTGATTACTTATATCCTACATGGAAGTTTCTACAAATTGTCATTTAATGTCATGAATATATTCAACTTATGACATTTAACCTTCTGTTAATGAAATTAAGTATTGACATGAATAATTAATTAATATACATAGATTTGCTTACAGATACCCTGGTACGGTCGATAGTTGGGAGAGTCACCTTTTCCTTTCGAAATGTTCTCATATGGCAATGTAAATACAACCACTGATAGGGAAGTTCTATTCACTACCTTTTTGCATCATAGGTGTTGTTTACGAAATGAAGAGGAAGAAAAGCGAATGTCCGATGCTTTAAACGGGTTGGTGTATATGAAGGATTCATGTAGGGTAGTTGAAAAACTGTAATTCCAAACCAATGATGCACATGGACTCCAGTATCTTGAAGGAATAAATGGCGTATGAACCTAATTGTGGTCACCAGTTACCATGGGACTTCATTTCGTCTTAGTATGGGGACTGCTCTTTAGTGAACATCCATGATCTTACACGTCGGACTCGAACTAAGGACACTCAGTCTTGCGCGTAAATACTTAACCTCTAGTTCATTGAGCCAGCATCCAACGGTTTAAATGAAGTAGTGCGATCATCTTTTATTGTCTTAATATCATTATTAAGTCACAAGTATTATAAATGGAGAGGGATGATAGCTAACGGAAGAATCCATTGGTAACCACTAACCATTCCTGTTTATAATATCGTATTAGAATTGCATAATTATCATGTAAAGTATAATTTGTGAAATGACAATCAGAGTAAAGTGTATATTTCTCTTTGAAAATTAGAAGCTATAAAAGCTAAAATGTGTTTCTTCTTGTCAAGAGTTGTAGGATATATCCAGATTCTTGAAGTTATTTACTGATAATAGATGTAACCAATAAGAGATGATCAGTTCAGGTTCTTCTTTTGTCATAACTCTGACAAGTTCTTTAGAAAGATCGAATGAATGCTTCCGTTAGATTCAATAATAATACATTATCATAAGTAGTATATACATCTTCTGGTAAAACTACCCAGCTAGAAATCATTTCAAGTTGTATATTTGAAAACGTTTAAACCGAGTCGTTTTAAAGGGCTAATTCACTAATGTACTGAAGATGCTTTATTATTCAAATATTTTTTCAAAAATAAACAATTCGATTCCTGGATGCAAAGTCGTGGATGTGCATTGTGAAGTGGGCCACCTTTATTATTTGAACACAGAAATATTGGTATGAAGGGGCACCAAATACATATGCATGTGGTCTGTGATACTGTCAGGATGTCTAAACCGAGACAGGTGGTTTTCTTAGGAGGTCACTCCCTCAGTCTTTGACCTACAAGTCTAATCCACAAAGTAATGGAGCAACATCAGATGCCAACACATGATAGTCGATGAGCATTAATTGGTTCATACAACATTTGTTTCTTTAAGTTCCTGGAGCCTATGTGCACCATTGGTTTAGAATGGGTGCTTTCCAACTCCCCTCAGTAGATTCTCCATATTCACCAACCCGGGTAAAGTGCCGGACATTCGCTTTTTGTTCTATCAATTTCGAAAAACACACCCACACTTGGAGAAAGCTGCGAATAAAACTTTCTTGTCAGTTGTTGTATGCACGTGGCTATATGAGCATTTCGAGAGGAAGAGTGGAATTCCCCCACCTTCAGTCATGCAAAGGCATTTGTGGGCTTTTTTTAAAGCTGGCGACACCTGGTATTCCCAGTCGATCACCTATGCAAGTATTTCCCGGGCTCAATGTTTCTTAACTGTGGTGATCAGACAAGAACTGGTGTTTTCAACGTGGTATGGTTGCCAGCTTGTCATCATGATATGGTCACCGGCACTGTTAAGGAGTCTCATACTTTAACTAAACAATAATCAAGTATTTCTAGATTTTCACTGGTAGTTCAATCTAAGATCAATTCATAATTTAAATAATGAAAATTCTACAAATTCCTGAAAGTTCCACTCCCCTTCCCCCCCCGTCTACACTAATTAATGTATCATCAGTACACAAAAATGATTGGCAAAACCACTTGACCTCTTTCTCTCATATTAATTATACACATCAAATTTCTTTATGTTTTTTTATGCTTCTGGTTAGATAGGGAGGGGGGTAAAAAGAAAAGAGGGAGAGATAGAGTTGAATAGGATGAAGAACAATATTGAGAATAAGTGCTGGCCTACCAACTAGAGAAAGAAAGAAAGAAACAGCAACAACAACCACCACCACCAACCCCACCACCACCACCACAACAACAACAACGACCTAATTTAGGTCAATTTTAATTTTATTTCTTGCAATCATTTCCAAGAAGGAAAACAAATAAGGAACAACATCATTGAAGAGAAATATTAAGATTTTATTGGGGTCATTGTTTATTTATTTATGAATTGGTTGAAGAGAGTGTTGGTAAGAAGGGAAGAAACAATATTAAATAGATGATTATTATGATTATGATTATGATTTAAGACATTAATAAATTAGATTTGTATGCATATGAAAACATACAATTATCATAAGTAAAAATGAATGATGGCTAGTAGTGGAAATCAGAACAAGCGTTTCGTCCCATTTGAGTTTCATCAGATGAATATAACTGCATTACAGAGTTGATGTTCCCTCTGGGAGTCGAATTCATTACTGTTTGCTTCAATTGTCATCATGTTATCCATTTAGCTACTGATTCCTGATAGCTACTATCTTGTACAATGAAATGAAGTTTGAATTCATTTTATATTATTGGCTTCAATCTTCCAATTGATGTTTCGAACTGTAATCGATCAATTTATCATTGATATATATGCATCCTGTGTAGATTAAATTGATAATGCTTTAAATCACAGGCTGATGAGTAGCAATTGGGACGAAACGCACATCTTGCAAGCGACTATCCATTTCTGCTTATAATGCTTGTAACTTTAGGCAATCCTCATAGGACGCACATATACCAATAAGAAACTGATCATTTGTAGTCTTAAACATCAATAGGAAGATTCAAATAAACAATACAAAATCAATTCATACAATTATCATTCTTTACCAATTAAATTTAATTCATGAAGGATCAGTTAGTTACTTTGATTGTGTTGATAATGTCTAACTTTACTTACTTACTTGCTTACTTACTTACTTACCTACTTACTTACTTACTTACTTGCTTACTTACTTACTTACTTGCTTACTTACTTACTTGCTTGCTTACTTACTTACTTACTTACTTACTTACTTACTTACTTACTTACCTACTTACTTACTTACTTGCTTGCTTACTTACTTGCTTACTTACTTACTTACTTACTTACGTACCTACACCTGTTATTCCCAATGGACTATAGGCTGCCGACCAGTATTCTAAGTTGATGATGAAATATTGGTGGAATAGGTAGATTATTATTCTCTGATTATAATTTAATTTCGTAGTCAACTTATAGTGGTTCCTCATTTCAAGGATAAGTTGCTTAGTTTCACCACATCCATGTATATATAAAAATTCAGCTGCTCCTGACCAAACTGACCGAATGAGTTAGTGACACAAATAAATTTGTGGTTGTGAAAGGATATGATTGAGACAGCTTACAGCTCGATTCTGTCACATTTGATCTATAGCGGTTATGTAGTAGACATAAATAGACCATTTAGAGTAGTTTGGTCGTATCATCTCTAACACACATCAAGTGCAACAGGGATTTGAGCTAAACACTCAAGTCCTGAAATAAAAAGGTCTATAAATACATTCGTTAAAATGTGAATTTTACTCGTGAACAAACGTCCCAATGTTAACGAGTAAGCAGTAATATGAGATACTACGTTTAGATAATTTACCTTTATGGTATTGTGACAAAAATTTGAGTTACTAAACAGGAAAATGTTGTTCAATACATTCATATTCATATTAGCATAACAATTGATCAGTATAGTGGTTTAGTGATGCATACTACTTATGTTGACAGATATAAGTAGTGTGTAACACCAATCGGAAGTGGAATGCTTGACAGAAGAAGCTTCAGAAGATTGAATTGGAGAGAACAGGAATGTATAAAGAGAGCAATGGTAATAACAAGGGAATTGAAATAATCATAATATACGTAAAGGACAATGCAAAGAAGATATGGAAATAACGTATTTAATGTATGATTTTCATATGTTCACATGACTTCTCGTCCACGACGGTGACATGATAATTCCTTGAGATTTAGTGGTCATCTGTAACAAATGGGCTTCTACCGGCCTAGCAGAATTAGTTGGACGATATTGCTGTTTGGTTAGAAATAGTTTGATAGAGTTTTGTTCTTTGAGCTAGATGGTTTGGTCGTGGAGATTTCATCATCCTTCTGAATGACATCATCAGCGCAAACTGTAAGTAGAAATATTTACATATGAATGACAGTTCAGCGGTTGAAAAGTTAAGTGCTCACTAAAAGACTCGAAGAATCTTGATTTGATTATTGATGGATATTTGGACACATATTCCTGAAGAGCACTACACGTTCAACTATATGTTCAACTAAGATCAATCTGTGATGAAAACTTTAAGAATTTATCTCCAACACTATTAACATTTTTGATTGAGATCATGAACCGATTGATGTTACATCACCATCGAAAACCTGTAAGTACTGGGACTCCTCAGAAGTGCGCATCCACGAACCCGGCTAAGGGATTCGAACCCAACTCCTTCAATCTCGCGTATGAACGCTTAGCCTACTGGATCACTGAGTCGGCATCCAATGGTGTCAATGTCTAGCCTTAACAAATCCACTAAATTGTGCGACCATTTTCTAATGTACTGAGGTAGACACCTGTTTCTACCCGACACAGATTAGCTCCACTGGTCACGACTTCTCACCAGAACTCAGAGAATTTTTTCATGAAGCTAGTCACTAGTGAGCACATTGTAATTAACAGATCGGTTCATGATCTCAATTAAAAACTTGACAATCTCCACAACCCCTAAACCAACTATTAACATTATTGATACCTATTCTTAGATTAACTGTATTTCATTTTGATTGAAATCATGAATCAGTTGATGTTAAGCCCCTCCATCCATCGAAAACCTGTACGCACTCAACGGTCGTTTCATCCTATTATTGGATCCACGATCCCGCTTACCGGATCATCAACCGATTCATGATCTCAATCCAAAACACTAATTAACGTTCATTGTTTGTCTTAATTCCGCTAAGATTTTGGTATCCACTTTGTTTTTTTTTAATCTTATAGATTGATATGTTCCGGGATATTTGTCGTGGTCTTTCAATTGATTGTAATGAAATGAAATTTTATGAAGGTAAACCTGGACCTCCAGGTAATAGTTAATTATTGATTATTGTGAACCTTTTTAAACTCATTTTATTATTTCGTATTTAATATAGATGTAATAAGGATACTTCAGTAAAGTATACTTAGTTGACATCACAATCTGATATGACTAAGATTACTATTGAAGACCTGGAAGCACTGAATAGAATTATCGTCATAGTATGGTACTCTTCAGTGGTTCATCTCTATGAATTTAAAACCAGAAATCAAACTAAGAATCTTCAGTCTCGTGCTTGAACACTTCAACTATGAATTAATAAGCCGGAATCTGGTAGTGTAAAAAGTTTATCTTCAAATCAATCCACGATATTCTATGACCATCATTTACTGTCTTCTGTAATTCTCATACTAACATTCCACTTATTACGGATTCTTATTCCATAACTCTATGCTGTTGATTATCATGCGTCAACTAGGGATTATTGTTAAGAGGGCGTTTACAGGATTTGATTAGGAACCTGTGATCAGTGAAGTTCAACTACTGGTACACATATTGATGTAATTTTACTTACATCAATTACCCTTCGTCAAGGAGCATAAGCTGCCCACCAACATTTTGTATTCAACCCTGTCCTTGGCAATCCTATCCAATTCTTTCTAATTGTTATTTATTCTTTTCATAACTGCTTACAATTTCCGATATAGTGTATTCTTTGGTCTTCCTCTTTTCCGTTCCGCTTTAGAATTCCAAGTTAGTACTTAACTCGTGATGCAGTTTCATGATTTCTGCAGTGTGTTTTCTATTCACTCTTTCAACGTCTTTTTTTCTGATTATCTCTTTAATTGAAATTTGGTTTGCTCTCTTCCACAGTAGGCTGTTGTTGATGGTACCCTATGAACGGACATTAAATATTTTATGTAAACAATTGTATATAAATATTTGTCCCTTCTTGATGATAGTCGTAGTAGTTCTTGAAGTTTTGAGCATTGCACACTAGAACTATCTTGACGTTCGCATTGAAGATTCTAAGTTCGATATTGGTTAATAGACAGTTATTTTAAATTCCATATGTTCTTCAATTGTAGCAATACTGTCCTTACTTTGCCAATTCTCATATTTACATTTTCATTCAATTCTTCTTGTTCATCGATGATACTACATAGATACATGAAAGTTTCCAACTAGAACAAGTCGGAAACTAATTCTCAATCAATTATGAATGAGTTACTGTTTTCCATATTGTTATAATACGAGTTGATACGATCATAATCATAAAAAAAAAAATGATCAGAAAACAAATTTATTTTATTCATACAACAACAACAACAAGAAGAAGAGGAAAAAAAAGAAAAGTCTCCGAGAAAGGAAGAAAGAAAGAAAGAAAAACTAATCAATCAGGTGAAAAGTTCAAAAAAAAAATGAGCGAAAGACCGAAAACAAAATAGAAAAATAAAGAGAAAAATATTATCAGCGAGAAAAACAAGAATACAAAAAACAGAAGAGAATAACATTGAGTACAGTTTAAAAAAAAATTATCATCATTAAATTAGTCCAGCTTAGAGATAATAATAATAATAATAAAGAGAGAAAAGAAAAAAGAAAAGAAAAGAAAAAAAAGAAGAAAAAGAGCCATTTTTTTTTCGATTGATCGATGTATTTATTTCTAAATTAAATTAACTGGATAATTTATGTTAACGAGTAAATGAAGTAAGAATAAATAGGTGGGGTGGGGTGAGGTGGGATGGGATGGGATGGAATGGGGTGGGGTGAGATGACATAGTGGAAAATGTCAATGAAAAGGGGTGAAGAGGAAATGTTTATTTCATTAGGTATTATTTTCTTTCTTTCTTTTTTTTAATTTTTATTTATTCATGAAAATGTTTTTCTAAGATTTTAATGTTTATTGAATTTTTCACAAGTGTTTTTATCTTATTTTCATTACTCGTCATGTAAGTTACTTACTTACTTACGTCTGTCGCTCTTAACGGTGCATAGGCCGCCGAATAGCATTCTCCAACCCACCCTGTTCTGGGCCTTCCTTTCTAGTTCTATCCAATTGTTGTTTATTCTTCTCATATCTGTTTCCATTTCTCGGTGTAATCTGTTCTTTGATCATCCTTTTCTCCTTTGGTCTTGGTGTCATGTAAGTTGGTAAGAATATGCTTGTTATTGTACAAATGATGACTTTACAATATATATTTTTATATATGTGTATGTGTACTAAATGAATAACAAAGATTGGTGAACGGTCAGTTTTTTATGTTTAAGATCATGAATCGATTGATGTAAGATCATCATTGAAAATCTAAAAGCGCTGAACGGCGGTTAGATATTAATACTATTGTATGGTGGTTTAGAGATTAAACGTTCGTACTCGAAATCGAACATCTTTGGAATCGAGTCCCATGTGGGAGATAGTCGATGCGCACTTATCAGGTGTCTCATACTAGGACAAAACTGCAATACAGTCCTTTCAAGTTTCCAATGATGGCGTAATGTTAATCAATTCATGACCTTTTTAGTGTCTTTATCAGTATAAATTTATACGATTAACAAGGAGTCAGTTCATATACATTAAATGTTTTATAGAGTGTGGTACTACTAAGTAAGTAAAAAGGATCAGAACATCAACAGCAGTTTTTTAACAATAATCACTAAGCTGAAAAAAAACTAGGATAAACAGAAGTGTCCACTTGAACTTCAATTAGTCAAAATCTGAGAAGTATCCTTTAAGAAGTTGTGTAATTCAATTGTACTGAAGGTGTGAACCCCCAAATGCCCTGGTGGAGAGTCCCCTCTCCCTCTCGAAATGCACTCACATGGCCACTCTTATATAGCCTCTGCCAGGGAAGTCCTACTCACTGCCTTCTCACACAAGGGGTGATGTTTACGAAAATGAGAGGACGAAAAGCGAATTTCCGGCGCTTTAACCGGATCCCAAACCAATGGTGCACATGGGCTGGCTCCAGTATCCTGAAGGAACAAATGGCGTATGAACCAATCGTTGGTCACCGGCTACCATGGGACTGCATCTCCTTACGATGCTCCACTGCCTTGTGGGTCATACGTTCAGGTCGACAAAGGCTCGGGGTGTGGCTCCCTAAGAAAACCACCTGCTCCGGTTCGGGCACCCGAGCAGTATCACAGCCCTCACACAAATCAATTGAGATCCGTGTGGCGCATATGTATTCGGTGCCTCCTTGTACCAATATCTACGTGTCAAAATAATAATAATAATAATAATAACTGAAGGTGTGAACGTTGATATATATATGGGCAAAAAAACTTACATAAAAAAAGGATTTACTCCTGAAAATGTCTGAACTCACTAGATTCTATACCTAACAGTTCTACATGGTATAGTTACGGCCAAATCACGTTTGAAGTATTCCCTGCTTTACAAAGAAACAAACAAACAAATTACCTCTTATTAATATATGACGTAATAATACCGATAATTAGATAACAATGGATTATCAACCGGATCAATGATGCATAAACGAAGTACAAGCAGTCTAGAGTCATTATCGGCCCTATAACTTATAATCAAGTATGGATGACACCTAGTAGTAGAATATAGAACGTAACCTTTAAGATCAAAACAACATAAATATAAGCATACAATATTGTTCTCAGTTAGACCTTTATCAGATTTCATTCAAAGAATATACAATAATGTAATGATATACATCTGTGAAAGTATTTAGTTGGATAGCGAGTCCAGGTGAGTGGTTTCTACTCTTCCGTGAGAGGTAAAAAACGTAAGTAAGTACGTATGTTAGTTTATGAGTCAATGAAGTTGATCAAATATTATCATAATTACATAGCAATAAGTAATCATTTGATGAGAGGTTGAAAGATATGGATTCGAAGTAGGAGTGGTACCACCAACAGTGGACAGAGTAATCTCTACCTCTCTCACCAAATGTTCACATATGGCCACGTGCATACAACCACTGCTGGCAAACTCCTACTCACTGCCTTCTAATCGTGAGGGTGTTGTTTAAAAAATTGAGAAGACGAAAATTGAATGTTTGGTGCTTTAACCAGGATGTTGGATATGAAAGATCCATCTAAGGCAGTTGGGAAAACCTTGATTCTAAACCAGTTGTGCACATAGACTCCAGGATCCTGAAGGAAAAAATGGAGTATGAACCTAATTGTGGTCACCGACTTCCATGGGACTACATCTCCTAACGTACTCCACTGCCTTGTAGCTTAGACCTTTAGGTCTAAGGCTCGGGACTTCACCCTCTAAGAGAACCGCCTGCATCGGTTTAGGCATAGTTTAGCTGCTTAACAATAAGCAAATACAAGAATCGTATCTTTCCATAAATAGGTCTCAAGTGTAACCATTCATTATTCTCATTTGGATATATGAGATTCGTTGAGGGATACAATTATTAATTTAATAGGGTTCGGAGTTCATTGTTGTCTATTCGTATAGAATTTCAAAAGAAAAGAAAAGAATTTTTACATTAACGTTTAATGATTGATTGAACTATTTATTCTTCTTCTACTATTAATATGATGTAAGCTACTTATATATTCAGTGATAAGTAGTATGTAACACCAATAGGAAGTGAAATCATTGGTAGCACAAGATTGTGAAGATCGAATCTAAGAGAATAGGAATGTAAAGAGAGATTAGTTGTAATAGTAATGAAGGGATGATGAAGTAAGTGACAATTGATGGAAGATTTGCAAATGAAGTATTTAGTGTATGGTTTTCACATTTTATGAAACCACTTGACTTCTCGTACTACTCCTACTTCTCCTCCTTCTCCCCCTCCTCCTCCTCCTCCTCCTCCTCCTCTTCCTCCTCCTCCTCCTCCTCCTACTACTACTACTACTAATACTACTATCGTAGTTATCACAGAAACGTACTGTAGTTTACTTACATCTATTCAGACAAAAAAAAACAAGATGAATGTTTGTGGTAACCACCTAAATAATTAAAAGTGAATCTCTAGTTTTTCATTGTCAATATTGTAGAAAAATTACTTTATAACTTATTTACGCGTATTACTCCTCATGGAAAAGCGTAGGCCGCCCACCAGTACTCTCCATACAACCATGTCCTGGGTAATCCTTTCCAGCTCATTCCTGTTGTTAATCATCCTTTTCATATCTACTTCTATTTCCCAATATAATGTGTTCTTTAGACTTCCTTTTTTACACATCCCTTCAGGATTCTAAGTTAGTGCTTTCCTCGTGGTGCAGTTTGATGATTTCCGTAATGTATGTCCTATTAATTTCCATCGCCTTTTCCTAATTTCCCCTTCAGCTGGAATCTGATTTGTTCTCTCCTGCACTAGGCTATTGCTGATGGTATCCAGTCAATGAATGTTGAGTATCTTGCCTAGACAGCTATTGATAAATACCTATACCTTCTTGATGGTGGTTGTTGTAGTTCTCCATATTTCAGCTTTCCTACAGTAGAACTGCCTTGATGTTGGTATTAAAGATTCTGACTTTGATATTGGTTAACAGACAGTTGTTTTGAGTTCCATATGTTCTTCAATTGAAGGAATGCATCCTTTGCTTTGTCAATCGTCATCTTTACATCACTATCTGATCTTCTTTATTCATTGATGATTGTAGAATAAGGAAGTGAATAATGCAAAACCAAATAGATAAAGATTTACGATATTCATCAGAAAAGAATATCAAATAAGGAAACAAAAAAGAGAGAGAGAAAGAGAGAGAGAGAGAGAGCGAAAGAACGAGAGAAAGAAAAAAAGAAAAAGGAAAAGAAAAAAAAGAAAAAGAGAAAAGAAAGTAGGATAATTAAATCAAACTTATGATGGTCAAGTACCATCATAGAGACTATTCTTGTCTATAATATGAAATGAATAAAGAGTATTTGTCTCGATTCATCCGTTTAGCATACCACTTCACAATAGATTGGATAGGATCAATCTTTGTTTAGTTTATTTTTTCCTCTTTTTAATACTTATCTTGTATTATATACAATGTATTATTCTTTAGATGAAAGTAGTCATTTCAATTTGTTATTTCTAGAGACTGATATATCGTGTGTTCGAATCTCGCCGGCGGCGGGATTATGGATGTGCACTGCCACTGAGGAGCCCCATACTAGGACGAAACGACCTCCTAGTACTTCCAGGTTTTCCATGGTGGTCTAGTTTCAATTGATGGATGATTTCAACCAGTGAAATTTTTAAAATCTCCAAAAAAACCCCTTCTGATTTCTCTAGTTTGTTTGTTTTTGACAGATGAGTTGGATGGTTTGATCGTGGAGCTTTCATCATACTTCTTGAAAGACATCATCAGCATCAGCATAAACTTCAGATAGAAGTTTGTTTGTTTTACTTTTTTTTTTTTTTTGGAGAAGAAAAACTTCTAAAAGAAAACCAAATATCGATTGTATGACTAAAATAATAAAAAAAAATAGGTATGAGTATCGTTTCAGTTGTAGTTAGTTATTCAACAAAAAAAAAGAAGAGGAATAATAAGTGGAAGCATAAAGAAACTTTTAACAGTTGTGATTATGGGTCGATTGAAGCTAGACCATTATGGAATACCTTGAAACATCGAACGGCCGTTTCGTCCTATTGTGAGACTCTTCAGCAGTGCACATCCACGATCCTGCCTTGCGGGATTCGAACTCAGGTACTGTAAGTCTTGCCCGCGAACGCTTAACCACTAGACCACTAAGTTGGTATCCAATCGTATTAATGTTTAATTTCAACGAATCCACAAAATTGAGCGACATATCGATTATTGTCTTCAGTGAGTTACTATCTCATAACTCATCTGATTGAACTCCACTGATCATCAAGAAAATCTGATTAATTCATTGATTAGTTTTATTTGTATAAAAATAAATCCAGTTTTGATAAAAGTACTTGAATAAGTAAGTATCGTCCTAGAAAAAAACTTCTTTTTCAGAATTTTCTTTTCTCTTTTTTTCTTTTTTTCTTTGTTCTCCGTATTCATCTTTGTGATTCCATGTGTGCATGTGTGTATATGTGTTTGTGTGTGTGTGTGTGTGCCTATGCTTCATCGACAATGTTAGATAGTTGAATTATTTTCAGTGAACGAATAACCTAACTGATTGTAATACATTTCATCTGTGGATATTTGTTACATGAGATGAGGCCACACAGTGAAGAAGGATATTGAGATCATAATGAAGAAAGTAAAGAAGAAATGGAGGGATAAACAATCAATGAAGAGCAATGATTCAAATGACCGCCTATGTACACACTCACATATTCAATGTACTATTATGTATATTGAACATTGATAATGATATGTATATCTATATAAGTAGTTAATATGTAAATTGTATAAATTAAATGTTTTTACTTATTGAGATAAATAATGAATGAATGAATGAAAGACAATAGATGGTAAATAAGAATAATAAGTAGTATATTATTTGACCTAGAAAGAAAAATAAACAAATAAATATATAAGAATAATAACAGAAAGGGGGGTGGGTTGTGGAAATTGTAGTAATTTTAATCATTGTGAATTCATTAGTTGATTAAAACTAGATCACTATGGAAAACCTGAAAGAATTGTAATGGTCGTGTCGTTCTAGTATGGAACTTGTGAGTAATGCAAATCTGTGATACTATTCGTGGTATTCGAATTCAGGACTTCAGGTCTTACGCATGAATGCTTAAGCATCAGACCATTGATATGGCATTCAACAGTGTCAACAATAACCAATTTACGAAATTGAGCCATCGTTTACCTAGGTTCGAATCATGTGAGTGAGATCGTGGATGAGCATTGTAGAGAAAGCCATATTACGATGAAATTACCGTCCAGTATTTCCAGAGGGATCAAGTCTCTCCATGAACGCTCTACTCATATCACTATGCTGTTACTCAATAGTGTACATGTCTAACTCAAATGAATTTACAATTTTGGTTTATGATTTTTATAACATTCAAAAATCTCCACAAACTCTTATGCTGAAAGTAATCTGCTTATTTTATTTATTCATTTAAAACCATAAATATTCGTACAAGGAGGCACCAATTAGATATGCGCCACATAAATCATTCGATTTTTTCGAGGGTTGAGATACTGCCCGGGTGCTCAACCCTATGCAGGTAGTTCTCTTAGGGGATGAATTTTGGAGCCTTAGACCTAAAGATATAATCCTTAAGGCAGTGGAGCAACGTGAGGAGATGCAGTCCTATGGCAGTAGGTGACCAAAAATAGGTTCATATGTCATTTATTCCTTGAGGATGATTAAGCCCATTTTTACACCACTGGTTTGGAATCAAGGTTTTCCCAACTGCCTTATATCGATCCTCCATATCCAAAAACCTAGTTAAGGTGTCAGACATTCAATTTTCGTCTTCTCAATTTTATAAACAACACTCCCACATTGATAAGGCAGTGAGTAGGAGTTCTCTGGCAGTGGTTGTGTGCACGTTACGATGTGAGAGCATTTGGAGAGAGAGGTCGAGCTGACTCTGTCCGCTGTCGGCCGTACCACTTCTACTCCGAATCCATATCTTTCTATGTCTCATGAAATGCTTCCAGGTTTTCCATGGTGGTCTAGCTTCAATTGACTCATGATCTCAACTATTGAAATCCTTGTTTCCAATCATACTTTGATACATAATAAGACTTCGGTATGCTTGTTATGGTTTTCTTAACTACTCAAAATGATTTTTCACTCATCTCTAGTTTTTTTTCTAAAAAATGATTTATTATTTTTACTGACATATCTAGGACCCCCAGGGGAACCAGGGAAACCGGGACCACCAGGACCACAAGGACCAATTGGTAAGTTAGAATATATTTATCGAATAGGTAAATGTTGATATAATAAAAATATTAATACAATTTGTAGTGACATTTCTTGTTTATCAGAATAAAATTATATACAATACAATAGTTGATTCCCTGAACTACAATAAAGAGGTTTGGATCAGTTACCTAGGCGAAACGTTTAAATGATGTACACTTCAAACTCTCTAAGATATAAACTATCAAGGTATACTTTTACACTGGACTGGTTTTGGTTATCAATGAAATCCATGATGGGGGGGGGAGAGACGATTTGGAGCTCAGGTGGATGATTTTGATAGACTTTTGTTCTCTGAAATGGATGGTATGGTCGCGGAGTTTTCGTTGTTCTTCCCGAACGAAATAATCAGTACAAACGTCTACCTGAACTTCAGGTAGATGAAAGCTCCAAGATCAAACCATCCAGCTCATAGAATAAAACTCTATCAAAATGGAATCCATCATAAACATTTCATTCTACTTAAAACTTTTCAATTGGATAAAACAATTTCTCATTGTTGATAATCAAACTAGAACTCAAATGCCGTACATTTCAACAAAAATATTATAAACCATTTATTTACTGATCTACTGACTTCAAATAGTCTACATTATTACTAGTTCAAATTTCGTATATCAACAGTATTCGTATGCATCAAATCATAAAGTGCAGATTGACAAAGCAATAGCAGCATATCCACAACGGATGAACACCTCGAACTCAAAACAACTGTCGGTCAAACAACATCAAAGTCAGAATTTTCAATACAAATGTAAGAACAGTTTTACTGTATAAAGTGGAAACTTGGAGAACTACAAAGCCATCATTCAGAAGATACAAGTGCTTATTAACAGTTGTCTACGCAAAATACTTTGAATCCGCTGTCTAGACAGACACTATCAGCAACAACCTACTATGGGAGAGAACACACCAGATTCCAGCGGAGCAAGAAATCAATAAGAAGCGCTAGAAGTGGATAAGAGATATATTGAGGAAAGCACCCAATTGCTTTACAAGGCCAGCCTTCACTCGGAATACTCAAGGCCAAAGGGGAAGAGGAAGATCTAAGAACACAATACACCGAGAAATGGAGACAGACATAAGTAGAATGAACAACATTTATATTGAACTAGAAAGAAAAACCTAGGACAGAGTGGGTTGGAGAATACTGGTCAGTGACCTATGCTCCATGAATGGGGGGATAACAGGCATATGTTAGTAAGCAAATTATAAAGTTAGTGATATTTAATTAGAACAAACTAGCTTCCAAATGAAGAGTAAATTAAGAAAAAACTCTGAAAGTGGATAGGATATATATTACGAAAATCAACAAACTGTATCATGAGGCAAGCGGTTACCTGGAATTCGGAAAGAAAACAGTAAAGAGAAAGACCGAAGAGTCTACTGCATAGATGGATAGTTCAATGTTTATTTTCATTTTGTTTCGGACTCTTCAGTTGGACGGTTCTACGCTCTCATGTTGATATTCACACTGGGATGCCTAATGTGTACATTTCTGACCTACTGAATTCAGACAACCAGATAACAGGAATAAATAGAAGACTTAAGAATGTAAACCATTTGGCATCAGGAGCAATGGTTTAAAGATTAAGTGTTTGAGTACAAGCCCGGAGAATCTGCATTCGATTCCCACTTGACAGGTCTTAGATTAGTACTGAGGAGTATTTTGATGCTTTAAGGTTTTCAGTGGCAGTCTAACATTGACCGGTTCATCATTTCAATAAACTTTGGCGATATTTTCAACAAATGTGCGTCCTCAGTAACCTAATGACAATAATGAGGTAATCATATCAGGATGCATGTGTAACGAGAAGATAATGTTCAATCACAGTTCTTAATACCAATGGAACGATTCAAATCATTAGAAGATGTAACATGGTAGAGATTGATTCAGCGAAGAGTTATATATATATATATATATATATATATATATATATATATATATATATATATATATATATATATATATATTAACACGTAGATATTGTTACAAGTAGGCACCAAATAGATACGCGCCACAGAGATCTCATTTGATTTGTGTGAGGGCTGTGATACTGCCCGGGTGCCCAAACCGTAGAAGGTGGTTTTCTTAGGGGGCCACACCCGGAGCCCTCGACCTGAAGATCTGATCCACAAGGCAGTGGAGCATCATAAGGAGATTCAGTCCCATGGTAGCCAGCCGGTGACCAACGATTGGTTCACACGCCATTTGTTCCTTCAGGATACTGGAGCCAGCCCATGTACACCATTGGTTTGGAATCCGGTTAAAATGCCGGACATTCGCTTTTCGTGCTCTCATTTTTGTAAACAACACCCGTGATGCGAGAAGGCAGTGAGTAGGACTTCCCTGTCAGAGGCTATATAAGCGTGGCCATGTGAGAGCATTTCGAGAGGGAGAGTGGACTCTCCCCACTCTCGGCCGTATTAGGGGCGAGAGAGTTCTCTAATTGGCGAATTCATTTCCATAGCTATACAATTCTATATATATTTAGTTTTCAAAAATCCTGTCAAACATCGTAACTATGAGTTAGAATAAACATATAAAGACATGAAATCGTTATTATCATAAAGGAGACTAATAATTATTTTCAACAAAGATAATGGTGGCTAGCCATGGAATATAGAACGTATGTTTCATTCCATTTGGGACTCGTTAGCCGAAGGTACCTGCATCTTAGAGTTGACAATCACTCCGAGACTCGTACAGAGTAGCATTCACCACAAACAACTAAATACAAAAGTAAATGTAATAATAATTTTGTCACTGAGGGCATGTATATTCATCATGAAAGTAGATGAGACAAAGAGAATAATCATTGTGATAAGGTAAAATGTTAAAAGTGAGATGATTTGTAATTAGGAGGATCATAGAAACAGAAATAAATTAGTTTGCGGTAGAATAAGTCTACAGAGAAGATAGCAGATGACTGTGAATGAAGAAAAGGATGAAGAAAAAAGAAAAATCATTACGGCAGATTAAGACCATAGTTGATGAAGAATAATTTTTCTGATTAGCGTTTTTTTAGTGAGTTAATTTTCTACAGGATGGAGTCGCTAACCCTATAACCAACCCTTCTCATTTATCCGGGCTTGGAAACGGCAGTAGCCTTTGGAGGGACTCCAGGTAGAGTAGGTGAAGAGGTTTTATCGGTTTCTTTTGGACACAAATCTGATTTTTACAAATGTATAGATGATACTTTACTAATGTTAAGGAGATGTATTATAAAACTGTTATTGATAGCTTTCTGCATACATTGTAAATGTCTTTAGATGCAAAATGCACTTTCATTAAGTGACTTGTCTTCAGAAGTTGTTTGATTATTGAACTTCTTATCAAGTGATTTTGACCATTTTTCAGTGAAGCCGTCTTATGTTCACGAATTTGCACTAAACGACTTATGTATTTGGCTTAACATGAACATACAAATAGATAAGTGAATATGAAATTGGTCAAATGGGATAATTTATCTTTGAGATTATTAGTGAACATTAATGAACTGAAGAAGATAAATCCAAAAGTCTCTATGAAGAATATCCTATTGAGATAGTTGTGAATTCGCTACTTCAGGATATCTGCAACTACATCAACATTCAAATTGACGTTCATATACATAGTATTATTTGCTATAAGGGTTATTTGTGCTTTATGCGGTTTAAGTTTTCTATTCTTGTCAATGAAAACTTGTTACCAATAAGTATTTTCTTAGAAAGGTTTATCTATGAACTCGGGACTACATGCTCTTTCTATCGTTATTACGAGGGATATAATTAAGTTCTGCTTCCGACCCAGGTGTGAAAATGCTATAGCGGATCATTCCATGTATGTTTCCTATAGATAGATCTTCATAGAGTTCTATCATAATTCGTAGATGCACACTACTGAGGAGTCCCACTATAGAATGAGAAGGCTGTTTAGTGCTTACAGGTTTTCAGTGGTGGTCTAACATTAATAGGTTCATGATTTCAATCAAAAAGTTAATAATCTCCACAACCCCTATACCAATAATTACCATGTGCTCATTAGTGAGTAGCTTCATAAAAGACGTTTTGGAGTCCTAGTGAGAGGCTGTGAACAGTGTAACTGATCCGTGCCGGATAGAGACAGATATCTACTTTAATACAATGGAAGATGGTTGCACAATCTCGTGGATCGGTTGAGGTTAGACATTAACATTATTGGGTGCCGGTTCAGTGACCCAGAAGTTAGGCGTTCTCAAGCAAGACCGAAAGCCCTAAGTCCGATTTCCTTGATTGGGATTGTGGGTGCGCACTGCTAAGGAGTCCCACAATAGGACAAAACGGCTTTCTATCGTTCCCAGGTTTTCTCTAGTGGTCTAACTAAGATCAATTCATGTTTCAAACGGTAAAACTTCTACAATATTCACAAATTCCTTATACATATAAAATCTAAATTGACAAATTTTTATTTTTTCCACTATTCCAGGACCACCTGGACCACCCGGTCAACCCGGTACACCAGGTGAACGAGGACCTCAAGGTATTAAGTGTAAATAGATTTTAATTTATTGATCATTTTTTTAAAAAAACTTTTTCATTACTTTTTAAGATACTACTTATTTACTAATTTTTGACTCATGTATGAACTAATATAAAAAATAGGCGAGACTATAACCTATGAACGAACCAATCAGATATAAGATAACAGGTCTTGGATATTGGTGGGAAATTCATTTATCCATTTGGTTAAATAGAGTTTTGACATTATAGCTGATATCAGTTCGTAATGAAAACTCTAAATCTAATTCCTAGCCTTAACTATCAGCTGTAAATCATAGTTTCTAGGTGGACTCACTCATGGTGACTTTGGCGTCACTATATTGTAACCTTCATATGGTCCTAGTTATTAGGTGAACACTCTTAAGGTTAATCTGACGTCTCTCGAATGTCGTCCATAAATTATGGTCTCACCACTCATACTATTACTATACAGTATGCTAAATGTTACTATTAACTGTAATGCAGTTATTACAAAGATCATATTTATAAGATCATACTCTTAAGAATTCTAAATAACAGTTTAACATATGAAAGTATCATGTATACAAAACATTGAAGGACTTCATACTAGAATAGAATAACTATCTAGTTGTTCTATTTGTTTTTCTTGACTGTTCCAAGTGAGCTATTTTAAGATTGTCATGGAATACATTTATAAGAATGAATCTAGAAATCAACGTTAAGGTTATGACGCGTATGTGGAATTTCGGTGAAACTAATCACTCTCAACAGTATTGATTTCGGTAAAGAAAATATATAGTACTAATTGGTTATGTTCCTACCTCTTTGGAAGAGAACAGTACATTGTGTTTGAAGGAAAGTGTTCAATATCTCTATCTATTTCATGAAAGTGTACCACAATGAATCGTACTTTCATCTCTTTTGTTCTCCTTTTTTTTCTACATAATCTGTCATCTTCCACAGAAAACACTTTTGTGAAATATGTGAATGATCTAACTGTGTGTTTACCGATTTCTACCTTTTTACATCCCATAGAAATCAGTTTGTGTCTCATTTTGAATGGTCGTCTATTGTTGATGGTCTCACACTTGATCCGTTTAAATGTCAAGCTGTTAACTTTAGCATGAGATATGAACAGCGTCTAAATACCATTTTGGAATCCCTTAATGCTTATGCCATTGGAGTCTCTTTGATAAACACAGTGTCGAGGGTCAATTATCTTAGTGTTACCTTATCCTCTGATCTTTCTTGGTGTTCTCATGTTTTTCCGTTCGACTTACTACACAAAGAGACTGAATGCTCTTCAGATTACTCATCATTTGCTTTTACAATTTGTTAATTCTTGCATATTACCTATTATTCTTTAATGTTCTCGATTATTCTTTCCTGAGCTTTTGAGAAAAGATGTTGCTGTATTGCGGAGAGTGCTGAAGGCGGTTAGCAAAGTGTGTGTATGCTGAATCTTTTGAGATCATTATTCATATGGTTATGGATAGACATTTAAAGTCTTGCAAACTCCTGGAAGCTGTTTTCAACTCAGATACTAACCATCCCCTTCATTTATATCTTTCTTCTGATAGGACGAGACGGGAACACATTAAATGTTCCATAATACTCTATACTCTATAACGAACGGGTTATTACAGTCAACCTAGTCAATAAACTGTATTCTTATACATGTCTCTAATTTGAAAAGTTGTACAGATCCAGATCATTCTTGTTCACCTTTCTTCTTTTCTTTTATTGTTGTTTTTTTTCTTTTTGTTTTTTGTAAAAGAAACTTGTTGAAATAGCTGGTGTTTAATTATAATGTAAATTTGTGAAAGAAATCAGTAAATCGATATTTGTTTCAACGATTGATTGATCAATGGGTGATGATCAAAGTTATCTATGCCGGGTCCTTCTTGGCGTTGATCGATGTCCATTGATTTAGTACATCTTGCTGAATAGTGTCATATGTCAAGAAACCTATGTCGTTTAGGGTTTCCTATCGACTGCCTACAATTTACACTTTAAGTGTTTCAATAGTTGAAATCACCATAGTCGACTGAATCTAAACCACCATGGAAAATTTGAAATAACTGAACGGTCGTTTCGTTCTATTATGGGACTCTTCAGTGGTAGTGAGCATCCACGATTCCGCTATTTGCGAGATTGGAACACAGGACCTATCGATTTCGCGCGCGAGCGCTTAACCACTAGACCATTAAGCTGGCACCGGACACCATTGGATCGTGTATGTGCACTGTTAAGGAGTCCCATACTAGGAACAAACGGACGTCCATTGCTTTCAGCTTTTCCATGATAGTCTAGCTTCATTTGAATCATGATTTCAACTATTGAAATTTCTATAAAATCTCCACAAAACCCTTTCTGACCTTAAATGTTTTTTCCTTTTTGTTACGTCAAGTTGGAACTCAAAACAAAGCTTCTTGTAATACAATATGGGATAGGAACTAAAATAAGTTGCTATGAGAGTGGGTAATTGATTTTGTTGTTATTGTTGTTGTAATTTTAATAATCATTAGGGGAGATCAATCGAATGCATGGAAGTTATTCATAATGATTCACTTTAATATTGTGCTTCTTTTTCCATAAAAAAACAACACAGGTGAAACAGGACCTCAAGGGCCACCTGGTCTACGTGGATTAATTGGTCTTCAAGGTCCAAAAGGTAAGTTTGATTAAATGATACTTTAGGAAATTCAACCTAATTATGATAATGATAATAATAATAATAATAATCGCTTTAATCAATAATAATGTGTTATGTGCTACTTATGATGTAGATATAAGTAGTATATAACACCAGTCAGTAATGGAATACTTGGCAACAAAAGGTTAGGAAGATCGAATCAAAGTAAATGGGAACAGAGAATAATTGTTATGGAAATGAAGACACAATGAAGTTTAAGACAGTTGATGGATAAATAAAGCAAATAAAGCATTGAACGTATGATTTTCACATTTTAGTAAATAACTATGTACTGAAATACGTTGATTGTCCATAGTTATGTTCTGGTTCACTGCATTATGTATTACATACTTACTAACTTATGCCTGTTACTTCCAATGGAGCATAGACCGCTGACCAGCATTTTCCAACCTACTGTGTCATGGGCCTTCCTTTCTAGTTCTATCCAACTGTTGTTCATTCTTCTTATGTCTGTCTCCATCTCTCTGTGTATTGTCTTCTTTGATTTTTCTCTTCCCCTTTAGTCTTGAGGAATCTAATTGATGAGGGCTTATGTTGTGATACAATTGGATGCTTTTATCAATGTGTGTCCTACTCACTTCCAACGCTCCTTCCTGATTTCTTGCTCCGCTGGAATCTTGTTTGTTCTCTTCCAGATTAGGTTGTTCCTGATAGTGTCGAGTCAATGGGTTCTAAGTATTTTGCGTGGACAATTGTTAATGAACACTTGTATCTTCTGAATGATGGCCTTCGTAGTTCTCCAGGTTTCCACTTTATACAGTAAAACTGTTCTTACATTTGTATTGAAAATTCTGACTTTGATGTTGTTTGACCGACAGTTGTTTTGAGTTCGAGGTGTTCATCCGTTGTGGATATGCTGCTCTTGCTTTTTCGATCTGCGCATTCACATGTGCATCTGATCCACCGTGTTCATCGATAATGCTGCCCAGATATGTAAGGGTTTTTACATCTCCCAAATCTTCTCCGTCAAGTGTAATTCGACTGTTGCATGCTGTGTTCTATTGAAGAATCTTGCTTTTCTCGTTGTATATGTTGAGACCTACTGCTGCTGAGGGTTCTGCTTCACTAGTCTTCTTCTCCTGCATTTGTTGTGAGGTAGAAGAGTTAGATCATCTGTGAAGTCTAGATCGTTCAGCTGCATCCTAACTGTGCACTGTGTCCCATGCTTTCCCCCAGTTGTTGACGTCTTCATGATCCAGCCGATCACCAGGAAATAGTGAATCATGTATTAAGTACAACATAAAGTATTCAGCATAAAATATTTTGTCAATACATGTTTATAGAGGTTGTCGAATATAATTAACGTCACAATGTAATCTCATTTAGACTACCATTTGCGATAAGCAAGCACTAAATGGCTGTTTTGTCCTAGTATAGAACGATTTAACATAGTTCATTCACAATCGAACAACATTATTCGGATGTTTCATGTACCTATAAAAGTTGTTGCTCTAATTGTTAGAAAGCGCATCGGCTTCGTGACTTCCGAAGGAACTCGGCTTTCACCATACCTAGGACAGGGTTGGATAGATACTGCTTGTTGGCGGCCTATTCTCTTCCACGAGAAGTAACAGGCGTAAGTAAGTAAGTAAGTCACAATTCAACCACCAGTAGTCAAACTCACCACGCTCAATTTCAAATATGTATTCTTAAACTGCAAATCGATTAATCAGGACTCAACAATACACAAACAAACGTTTTCTATGCGCAAATGTTGCTATAAGCCAAATCTATACAGTAAACAACAATAAATGTATAAATACGTATAAAGTCTGGTTTGTTAATTTCTTTCATTGATGTTTAGCACTTCAATTTGTCAGTCTGTTTTGACATATCTATATCCTATGAGAATTACTTCAATGGTGCCATTAATCCATAAGCACAGATGGTTAATAGCTAGCAGTGGAATTCAGGACAAGCATTTCGTTCTATCCAACTGATGAGTCTCAAATAGGACTAATAGCGTATTCAAAATTCCAGACATAACCAATAGCCATCTCTGCTTATAAAATAGAATGCTCAAAATAATACCTATTTAGTATTTATCATCAATGAAATCAATTCTGTCTAGTATAAATGGTTGGTGATTGTTGGCTCAGTATTACTCATCATGTCACAGATGAATTTACATTTTATCTTTTTCATTATTCCATTAAACATACCACTTCACTCTATCGTTTCGTACTCTATTCACAATGCTTCATCATCTCATTAACATGGTTACGTTATTGTTTCAATCTGTTTGGTTATTCATCTTGTTTAGTTTATCTCCTGTCAATAATATAATCCAGTAATTTGGGCCTGATTTGTAACTGAGGTTGATAAGGATTAGTGATTTGATTAGTCAAACTAGTATACAGTCTAACAAAAGTTAAATGAGTTATATATTCTCCTATTCTTATTATTGTTGTTGAGTTGTGTAGGATTGCTGTCGGTTTTTTGATGTAGAATATACTTATGTTCTAGTTAGGCTAACCATATATTCTTGACATGAGTTGTGTTGAAGTCCTGTAGAATATAGACATTGTGAAGGAATCTATTGGAGATATTCGTCTAAAGCAAATTAATGTCCCGTTCAAGTAGACATGGAAAGCCGAAAATAATAACAAGTTCACCGATCATATATGCCAGGTTGTGCATTGATGTTGGCTATTAAATGACAAATATTATGAGAAAGAGGGTTTTATGGAGAGTTTAGTCATTTGATAGTTGATTTCATGAATCAATTAAATCTAAACCGTCATAAAAGATTTGGAAGCACTGGATGGCCGTTTCATCCTGGTATGGTCTCTTCAGCAGTGCACATCTACGATACAACCCACGGGATTACAATACTGAATTTATCAATCTCGCACGTAAACGCTTAACCTCTAAACCACTGAGCTAGCCAGTATCCAATGGTGTTAATGTTTAACATTAATCAATCCACAAAATTCCATCTCTGTCCACCATTGTCTTCCATCAACTACTTAAAACTATTACCATCATTTATTTTATTAATTATTCATTCAAAGTATTACATTTCAATTCAATTACATTATCTCTTCCTCGTCTATTATCTTTCTCTTCCCCCCCCCACACACAGACATAGGTTCACACACACACACACACACACACACACAAACTCATCTCTCATCTTTCATTCTTATTTCAATTTACATTAAATTTAAATTTTCCGCCTTTTATTCCCGGCAAATTTGAATTTGTTGTTAAATTCAATTTCATAAGAGATAGTTTTTAAATGTATGATGTGATAGGGATGAAGGAAAAAAATCGATTGGATTTTTTGTTTGTTTAGGATTGAACATTCTTTTTTGTTGTTGTTGTTTAAATTCAATTACGGTGAATCGTTCAACATATTCAATATGGAATATTCATTTAACTGATGTAAATGAAGTTTTATTATTGTTATGTAATTAGTGGTTCATTATGTTTTATAATAATAATGATTTATGATATGTGCTACTGATATAGATTGATATAAGTAGTATGTTAGATTAATCGAATCACTCTTGACAGCGAAATTCTAGAAGATGTAGACTCTTTCATATACCTGAGAAGCATCGTCGATAAACAAGGAGGTTCAGATACAGACATAAAGGCGAGGATTGGCAAAGCAAGGACAGCATTCCTTTAATTGAAGAATATATAGAATTCAAAATAACTATCTGTCAACCAATATCAAAGTCAGAATCTTCAATACGAACGTCAAGGCAGTTCTACTGTATGGAGCTGAAACTTGAAGAACTACAACAACCACCATCAATAAGGTACAAGTATTTATAAATAGTTGTCGACGCAAGATACTCAATATCTATTGGCCGGATATCATCAGCAACAACCTACTGTGGGAGCGAATAAACCAGCTTCCAGCTGAAGAGGAAATTAAGAAGAGAAGATGGAAATGGATAGAACATACATTACGGAAATCATCAAACTGCACCACGAGGAAAGCACTGACTTAGAATCCTGAAGGGAAGTAGAAAAAAGGAAGTCTAAAGAACACATTACATTGGGAAATAGAAGTAGATATGAAAAGGATGAATAAGAACTGGGATGAGCTGGAAAGGATTGCCCAGGACATGGTTGTATGGGGAATGCTGGTGAGCGGCCTATGTATTTCCACGAGGAGTAACAGGCGTAAGTAACTAAGTTATTAAGTATGATCAATCGAAATATCTGATGGTAGATGGTTAAGAAAATGGAAGAAAAGAGAATGAGAACACAGAATGATTAGTGTGGAAACGAAGGAACAATGAAGTCTGTGATGATTGATCGACATTTTACAAATGAAGTATTTACTGTATAGTTCTCAGATTTTACTAAGATGTTCTGTACTCAAATAAATTGGATTATCCCCACTTATGTTCTCGTTCACTCGAAGATTAAGTCAACTAAACGAGAAAACCTTTGAAATGACCTCAGTGAGACTATAATTTATGGGTGACCTGGCGGTGATGCTAAAATGAGAATGTCCACCTGTCAACTGGAACTAAATGATGGCTATAAATGAGTGTAAGGAATTAGACCTATGATTTACAATTGATGGTTAGGGATAGGAACTAGATTCAAAGTTTTCATCACGAACTGACATCAGCTAAAATGTCAAGACCACTGTCTAGCTAGATGGATGAATAAAGTTCGCAACAAAATCTGAGACCTGTTATCTTGGATCTGATTAGTTCGTTCATAAATTATAGTTTCACGGTGTACTCTTTTTATTGAAATTGTTATTCTTTCTCTTTGTCATTCCTACTTTATGAATGCTGCTTAGTATTAGAAAGAAACTAACAATAGAGAAGTACACTGGTTTATCAAATGTTTTTGTCTTATTGGACTAATACTCTTGACAAATATTGTTTTAATATCGGAAGAAGCTTTTTTGTGGATATTATAGTAATTTCAGTAGTTGAGATTATGAGTCATTTAAATCTACACCACCATGAAAAACCTGGAAGTACTCAATGCCCGTTTTGTTCTAGTATTGAACTCTTCGGCAGTGCATATGCACGATCCCGCCCCGTGGAATTTGAGCCCAGAATATTAAGACAGTTGGATGCCAGATCAGTGGTCTAGAGTTTAAACGCTTTGCGCCCAAAACCGATAGGTCCTGGGCTCGAATCTCGTGAGGCGGGATCATGGATGCGCACTACTGAGGAGTCCCATAATAGAATGAAACGGCCGTCCAATGCATCCAGGTTTTCAATGGTGATCTAACACCAATCAGTTCATGAACTTAATCAAAAGTTTAATAATCTCCACAACCCTGTACTGTTAATTCGTTCCTTCGGTTTTATTTGTGACCAATAATCTTCATGAGTTCTATAAGTGCTTTTCTTACTTCGTTGAACAGCATCAGAATAACTTGCTGAGGGTGTGGAGCATTTTCTTCTTCATGATTAGAGTATGGTAGTATTTCTTCTGAATCCAAACTTTACTATCCAGCTTGAGTCCAATACGTTTCACTGCTTTTGAGAAGCGCTAAGTTGGCTAAGAAGAAATCCAATTCTATATAGAGTGGTCTAGCATAAGAATAAAAACTTAATAATTAAACCATTTATCTCAGGTTTTAGTGTGGTCCTTCATTTTGACGTCAACTACATCGAACGATGATGTTAGCAATAGGCTCATCACTTTTATTAGCTCGTGATCAGATTCCAGGTAGATTGTTGGTTGATTGTGACCGACTTATACATATCATCAATCCTCGTATATAATCATTGATTTAACACACGTTAGTGAATAAGTGAAATACGAGAATGAATTTTGAACACGTGCATTTCATACAATCATTAATCCAGACAAACGATCACAGAAACAAAGTGAAGCGAAATGACTCACGGTGGAGAAGTTGAGTGAATGTTCATGTAACTAAGATAGATATAATAGTTGAAATCATAAGTCAACTGAAACTAGACCACCATCGAAAACCTGGAAGCAGTGGACATCCTTTTCGTCCCAGTATGGGACTCCTCAGCAATGCGCGCCCACGAGACTCGAACCCAGGACCTATCAGTCTCGCGCGTCAGCGCTTAACCATTAGACCACTGAGCTGACCGGCATCCAACGGTGTTAATGTCTAACTTTAACCTATCCATGAAATTGAATCACTGTACACCATTGTCTTCAGTGAGTTGATATCTTACAACAGACCTGGTTGAACTCGTGAGTTATAATGGCAAAATTCTACAAGTTCCACAAACCAACTACATTAATAAATCAGATTTGATGAATATTGACTGTAAAAATTAAGAGTGGTAAGACGTATATACATGTGTTATATAAAGTCATTGTATAAAAGAAACTAATTTTATGCTAAATGAATCTAAATTCACCCCTTTAATAACTCAGTGGCTATTTGGACTCAATAGCTAATTTGATAATATGTTGGATGTTGAAAGTGAAATATGTGGGTTTATGATCACGTGAGACCATTAAATGGAGAGTACAGATTCCTCTATTGAATGAGTCCAAAATAGGATGGAATACACTTTCTGGATACCTGTACTGACTACTAACCAAACCCATTCATAATAACCATATGATGGCACTCTGCAACAAGACAAATAAATCATTGCGTCATTAGTTCTAAAATTAGTCAATATAGAAAAAATGACTGAACCTATCTTCACTGTATAAAATGTTCAATATCATTGTACTAATGATAATCTTTGTCATTCCAATCATTCTCAATCATTAATTCTAATAATATAATGTTATCATTCAACCTGAAATAGGATATTGTAATCAATGAAGTCAAATCCATGCAATTGAATGAATTCATAATTTCAATAGTTGAAATCATGAATAAATTGAAGCTAGACCACCATGGGAAACCTAGAAGCACTGGACGTCCATTTCGTCCTAGTATGGAACTCCTGAGCAGTGCGCATCCCCGGTCTCGTCCCCCCGTGAGATTCAAAACAGGACCTATCAGTTTCGCGGGCGAACGCTTAACCTCTAGACCACTGAGCCCGTATACAGCAGTGTTAATATCCTGGGTTAGAATCTTGTGATTTCAACTATAGAAATTTTTAAAACCTCCACAAAATCCCTTGTGATAATAATCATCTACTCACTAGTGACTGACTTCAAGAGACATTTCCTGGAGTTCTAGTTAAAGGCCGTTACCAGTGCAGTTCAACCAGGTCTGTTGTGAGATATCAGTTCACTGAAGACAATGGTGTACAGTGATGCGATTTCATGGATTGGTTGAAGTTGGACATTAACACCATTGGATGCTGGCTCAGTTGTTTAATGTTTAAGCGCTCGAGCGCGAGACTGATAGGTCGTGGGTTATAGTCTCACAAAGAGTGGGATCGTGTATGTGCACTTCTGAGGAGTCCCATTCTAGGATGAAATGGCTATTTAATACTTCCAGGTTTCCCATAATGGTGTTACTTCAACTATTAATGAATTGATAATTATTTTTACTTCAACTATAATTTATACTTTATTCATTGTTTCACTTTGACATAATCATCATTAATATTTGATTGTTTTCATTCTAGGTCCTCCTGGTCCAATTGGACCACCTGGAAAAGATTGTAAGTAACATTCAATACTATTTTCATGATAATAATATTGATAAGATTATGTAATAAACATTGACAATTGATATTTCCATTCAGGAAATACTGTAAAATTATCTGACAGGTCATATATACCTGACATGTCAAACATGATAACCAGTCGAGTTATGAACAATCTTTGAGTGATGCTCAAATGATCTTTAGAATGTTCACCTTTATACCATGGCTAAATGAAAGTTATAAACTTGTTGCAGGAATTAGGATTAACATTTATAGTTGATGATTAGGGTTAAAAACTAGATTTAGAGTTTTCATGCCAAGATACTATTAAACCAAATGGTTAAATGAATTTCGTGCCAAAATCCAAGATCTGTTATCTTATATCTGATTGGTTCTTCCACAAATTATAGTCTTGCAGATTAAGCTTATTGAGCTTTTAATAGTTGAAATCGTGAGTCAATTGAAGCTAGACCACCATAGAAAACCTGGAAGCACTGGACGGCTATTTCGTCCTAATATGGGACTCCTCAGTAGTGCGCATCCACCTTCTTGAATTTTCGATTTCATCAAATGTTATTATCAACAATATGGAGAATATTTCGTTGTGACTTTAAGCCAAGCTAATTATTATATGACTTATTCAGCAATCGAAATACGATTTATACAAATTTAGCACTGTGACAAACCAATGACGTTCCACCGGTATGAGTAGTCTGGAATCTTTATCGGTCCTCCTTCCTATCTAGCCCTACCTGTTGAGTCCAGAACACTATTAATAACTTCCACTATGCTAACGATGTGCTTTGGGTGCACAGAAAGTTTTCACAATTACAGCAACTTCGATGTCACATTCAGCTACACACTACATAGTAAAATCCTCGTAAGTAGCGTCCACTACAGTATAACCTCCTAACTTACGTAGAAGTTATACTTCACGATTAACACCCTGTCATGATACTCAGGTACTGCCACTACTTTAGTGATTGCATAAAAATAATTAGTATTGGTAATTAAATATTAGAGAAGTACTGTGCAAGGACATTAATTCATAAATCAGATTTGCATACCAATGAAACCATTAGGAATTGAATGTCTCCAACTGATCTGGTACGGTCGAGGGTGGGGAGAATCATCTATCCCTATCCAAATGCTCTCATATAGCCACGCGTATACCGCCACCGTCAGGGAAGTCCTATTCACTGCCATCTCGCAGCGGGGCAGTTGTTTACGAAAATTGGAGGACAAAAAGCGAATGTCCGGAGCTGTTATCAGGTTGGTGGAAAAGGAGGATTTACCTAGTTGATTTGGAAAACCCTCATTACAAACCAATGGTGCACATGGGCTCCGTGATCCTGAAAAAACAACTGGCGTATAAACCTATTGTTGGTCACCGGCTACCATGGGACTGAATCTCCTAACATTGTTCCACTGCTTTATGGATTAGACCTTTAGGTCAAAGGCTTCGGTCATTCAGTTCTCATGACCAACGTATTTATTGCATTGATACTTGTAAATAGACTTACATTAGCTTAAATTTTCAAAGTAATCATCCTATTTTATTTAACTCTTCACAGCTCCACCTCATACATGTAATGTATTATGTGAAAAAGAAAGTTATCGATATGGTAAAGATGAATCAGGTTAGTGACATGTTTGTAATATTGTTTCCAAAAACAAAAAGTCATTTAGAAAACTATTATGTGAATAGATTTAATTCAGATTGGTTGTCACCATGGCAACGTAGGAGCAGGCGCATAGATACATCGATCCAGGTTCTCATAACTTATTCGCACAACAAGATAAACACCAAATTCATAGAAGTAGTTAATCCAAAGGTAGTAATATATAAAACAAAGAAGATTGTATATATGGATATAGTACAGGAAGAAAGAATTAGTTCTCACGGTTTAATGGATGATAGATAGTGTATACACCTACACCGTTGTGATCGATTTTGACCTATGTCACTCAGAGTCTCCAACACTTGGTTACGATAGTCTCGCGGACCCCGATCAAGTAGTCTGCATCTACCATCAACATGGCTCAGACTAAAAGTTAGTGACTTCAAGGACTGATACCACATTTTGATTTGGCCGCCCCTAACATATAATGTAACGTTCGGAAATCTGAATTATAGTGATTGTATATTGTTATGACATCGTAACTGTCAAGTATTCTTTGATTTTATACATCGATTTTTCAATATGATATCAGGTCATAGAGAGTTATCCGAAATGCTCAAAAGATCAGTGATATAACAAACAGTACATTTATTTCATCGATAACTACAAGTCGTATTCAGTTGAGAAGGTAAAAGTGGACAATGTCTGAGAATCAACCAATAATGACCTAAATGTATTGATTAGTAATCTTTCTTTAGATTTAGAGTTCCATTATCACTGATATACACAATTCCATATCATCTTTTACGAACTGTACTACAAATCGGTCAGTTTTTATTTTGCCTTATGTTGACTATTATGACGATTTCGACTCTTTGGATATTTATTTAATCATTTAGATTCTGTTGTACTGATTTCCCATGGTAACTTAGGATAGCAAACATGGTTACTAGACTTCATGGTAATTGTAGTTGAGTAGATGAGATGAAACAATGTATCTTGAAGAGGATTTTCTTACCAAAATCAATCACATAACCAAGTTTTTTATTGAGTGATTCATAAATATGATTTGACCACTGAAAGTAGAAGAAAAGATAACTTTTGACCCTAACTTATGTTCCAGTTATTCAATAATGTAATCAAAATTACATTGCTTTGAAACATACTACTTTCGTTATCAGCAAAAATAGATGGTGGCTAAAATAGGAATCTATGACATGCATTTTGTCCTATTTGGGACTCATCAGTCGATTGTGTCTGCTTCCCGGGGTTGACGTGTTTACTCCGGGACTCGAACCCACATCACTTTCCTTTATTAATGTAATAACGTAAATATTTGAAGTAATCAAAGTTTCATTTGTTTATCGTCCAGAATGAATAGAATAAGTTCATCAATCCCCATCGTTGCATTACAAGTAGATTACCTCCGTAACTACTCATATTAGCTATTCAACACTTATCACTGTTATTACATTAATCATTCCAATTACTTTCAATTGTCTTGATATATTGATATTTTAGCTTGTGAAGTGAAATGTACAAATTATATTAAACATAAAGAAGAATTAACCTGACATATTCTTCTTTTATAGGTGAGTAATAGATATTTCTAATAGATATATGTATATGAACAGTGATTTTTGTGGATATTATAGTAATTTCAATGGTTAAGATTATGAGTCAGTTGAAGCTAGACGACCATAGAAAACCTGAAAGCACTGGATGTCTATCTCGTCCTATTTTGGGACTCTTCAGCAGTGGGCACTCACGAACACGCCTCGTGAGATTCGAACCCAGGACATATCGGTCTCGAGCGCAAGCGCCTGACCACTAAGTTGGCATCCAACGGTGTTAATGTCTAATTTCAACTAATCCATTAAATTGAGCGATACGTCCATCATCATCTTCAGTGAGTTACTATTTCACAACAGACCTGGTTAAACTCCACTGGTCACTGTTTTTCACTAGAACTAGAATTTATTTTTTCTAGGATATGAATACTAATAATAAACAGAAACTAAAGGTGTACGGATTTGTTGTAACTTATCTCTCCAAAGTAAGAAATGATGTAAAAACAGGAAAAAAACTTTTGTGTGTAACACTTCTCACATGTAGCGACTTTTAAAGATGCTCGAATTGAGTGCGAGCATGAGTGATGAGACTTTATGAATGACATTTGAGCAACGCTAAAAAGTCCTCGAGGTTGTCTACGTATATACTACGGCTAAATCAGGGTTATAAACCAATGTGAGGAATTGAAATTATGAATTACTGTTGATGGTTAGGGTTAGCAATTAGATTTAGGGTTTTCATCACAAGCTGTTAATCAGCTACAATACCAAAACTCTATTTAGCCAAATGGATGAATGAATTTCGCGTCAAAATTCAAGACCTGTTATCTTATACATGATTGGTTTGTCCATAAATGATAGTCTCGCCCACGGTTTAACATTCAAGATATCGATCTTAATTTTAACAAGAACTAGAGATAAGACTTTATCATAAGTGATCAATAGTTTATGCAAAGACAGATAATGGCTAGCAATGGAATCCATTACACGTGTTTCGTTCTATTGTAGGACTTCTCAGAAGTGCTCATCTACGATCCCACTCAAAGAATTCGAACCCACGGCTTTCGATCTTGCGCGCCTAACCTATTGACCACTGAGGCGGCTGGTATCTAACGATGTTAATGTCTAACTTCAACCAATCCACGAAATTGTGTGACGATCTTCTATTTTACTGAGGTATATATCTGTCTCTATCTGACATATATGAGCTCCACTGGTCTCGGCTTCTTGTGGTGTTTGAATGAACTAATGATTGCCTTGTACTTGTGGAATGTTTGATTTCGAATTCTAAATACAGTACATTCGTTAGTGCTTGTGTAGTACTTCTTGATTTAATTGAGTAATCCCTCGGATTCTTAGTGCATACTATAATTCAATTACTCCTAATTATCATACTTCTCACTAGAACTCCGAGAATTCCCTTACAGAACTAGTTACTAGTGAGCACATGGTATTCATCAGTATAGGGTTGTGGAGATTAGCTTCATGCCAGGTAGAGACAGATATCTACCTCTTTACAATGGAAGATGGTCGCGTAATTTTGTGGATTGGTTGAAGTTAGACATTAACACCACTGAATGCCGACCGGATCAATCGTTTAGAGAATAAGCGTTCGCGAACGAGACTGAAGGCCCTGGGTTCAAATCCCTTAAGCGGGATCGTAAGTGCTCACTTCTGAGAAGTGCTATAATAGGACGAATGGGCCATCCAATTCTTCCAGGTTTTCAATTGTGGTTAAACATTTCAATCAAAAATCTCCATCTCAGAGTTGATGTTCACTCCAGGAAGATACAAACCAACAACACCAAATCAATAATAAATAGTTTGTTCTATCTAATTAGTTATTGTTGTTCTTGTTTACAATCATGTTGCCTTTCTTCATATATCTACTTGGATTAATATCCTAACTAATTTGATTTATCATCTTATACTGCTATTGTATATTCCTTGTTAACTAACGTAATCTCTCTATTATGATATATCAACAACAAGAGGACCAATAACTGGGCGAATTTGCATGCATATTGTTATAACTTGTGAATGGAATTGCTACTTTTTATATCTGGTCGTCACTGATTGTTATGTCGGAATCGCTAATCACTTATACTCGGAACAAAGGGACCTCCACAATTCCTCATGACATATCGATTGATCACTTAATGATTAAAGCTATAGAATTCTGACAATTCTCTATTCATGATAGATTGATATAAATACTTACTTACTTACGCCTGTTACTCCCAATGGAGCATAGGCCGCCGACCAGCATTCTCCAACACACTCACTCTGTCCTGGGCCTTCTTTTCTAGTTCCATCCAATTCTTGTTCATTTTTCTCATGTCTATCTCCATTTCCCGGCGTAATGTGTTCTTTGGTCTTCCTCTCCTCCTTCAACCATGAGGATTCCTTATGAGGGCTTGTCTTGTGACGCAGTTGGGTGCTTTCCTCAATATGCATCTTATCCACTTCCAGCGCTTCTTCCTGATTTCTTCCTCCACTGAGATTTGCTTTGTTCTCTCCGACAGTAGGTGTTTGCTAATAGTGTCTGGCCAACGGATTCGAAGTATTTTGCGTAGACAACTGTTAATAAACACCTGTATCTTCTGTATGATGGCTTTTGTAGTTCTCCAGGTTTCCGCCCCATACAGAAGAACTGTCTTCACAATATACTACAGGCTTTTTTCTTTATATCTAACTTGAATGTTCATACAACAGGAGATGATAAACAGACACATCATCTTGCCCTAAATGTTGTTTCTCTTTCTTTCTTTTTCAGGTACCATAATCATTCTATTCATTTATCTAATACCGATATCCGGTTGAATACACTCGAAACATCATATAAACTATTCTGATCAAGTTAATATTTGAATAAAGAATGTTTTTCTTTTCTGAAAAATATACTGAGTTACCCTAGTAACTAAACAGTTATTTGAATTGTACATTATTTTTTAGTTATATCCCTTGTTTATTGATATTTCTAACCCCCTCCCCTCTCATAAGTTTTCTTGATTTCTAACAACTTACAAGATATTTGACAAATAACAGCAAGACTGTAACTTATAAACGAACCAATCATGTATAAGATAACCGATCTTGAATTTCATTCATTTGATCAAATAGAGTTTTGTCATTGTTACTGATTTCAGTTCATGATGAAAACTCTAAATCTAATTCCTAACCTTAATCATTAATTGTAAATCATCATTTGGATTCCCCACCCACTGGTATATAACCCTCATTTGATCTTGATAAACACTCTCAATGTCAGTATGGAGTCGCTTGAAGGTCGTCCATAAATGATAGTCTCACCAGATAAACACTGAAGTATACTACTGATATATTTCCATAATATTACTTAAATATTATTGATAATTATACATATAATATACGTGTAAAAAGTCGAACAATTTGTTCGTCATACAATGAGACATTTTCATACATTTTGAGAAGAATTAATATAACTTTGCCGTTTCGTCCGAGTGTAGGACTCTTCAGCAGTGCACATTGACGACCCAGCCCATGGGATTCGAATTTAGGACTTTTGATGGAGCAATTTTGCAGATTTGTTGAAGTTAGACATTAACATGGTTAACTACCGACTTACTAGTCTGACCGTAGGTTTTGAGTTCAAATCTCGCGGGGCAGGATCATGGATGTTCACTGTAGAAGAGTACCATACTAGAACGAAACAGCTATCCAGTGCTTCCAGGTTTTCTATAGTGGTCTAGCTCTAATCGAATCATGAATGCAACTATTAAATTGCCACAATCTCCAAAATACCACTGTAAAGATTTCCTATAATATTCATATTTATTTAAACACATAAATATTGGTACAAGGGGGCATCAAATCTATATGCGTCACACAAAAGAATGATAATTTAAAGAGAAGGAGAAAAAAAAAGTAATGAACGTAGGGAATTATAAAGAAAAAGACAGAGAAAACAGTAATAGGGGAAACGGAAAGGTACAATCAGAAGAGATCTTTCAGTTAAGGAAGATACAACCACTTTTTATGAAGAAAGTAAAAGAAGGTTACAGCACGATCGCCACTGGCTTATATTCTGAGCCATATCTGATAACGTCTCTAGCCACTGTGTTACACCATCTCTCGGACCCCAACCAGGGAGTCGTGAAGGACCAACAGAAGCTAGCCCTCTGCAGCTTTCTTTCATACCACGACACCATGTCATATACTGACCACCTCTCCGCTTTTTCCAACCAGTCCCAGAGTCGGCAAATAATGCACGACGTGGAATTCTCTGGGACGACATTCGTAAAACATGTCCAAGCCACCGAAGTCGGTGTTTCAAGATGGTGACACCAATTTCATTATCGTCTCTGTGACCGAACACTCGATGTCGAACCTCTGCATTACTAACATGGTGTTGCCACTGAATGTCAGCAATCATTCGGAGACAGCGATGATCGAACACAGAGAGTCGTCTAACTTCCTCAACTCGGAAAGGCCAGGTTTCACAAGCATAGAGCAAAACTGCTCTCACCGACGCGTTGTAGATCCGACCTTTTACAGCCAGACTAACATCACGAAGGCGCCAACGATGGTCCAGATTGGCATGAGCCGCTCTGGTTTTCACTATACGTGCATTGATCTCATCACTCACGCCACCACAAGCACTTATGCAGCTACCTAGATACACGAACTTCTCGACTACTTCTATCTGCTCACCATCCAGAGTGAGTACAGGATTAGAATCCTGTCAGTCTTGTAGGAGTACTTTGCACTTCGAAGGTGCAAAGCACATACCATACCTACGGTCACTGATTGCTAACTGAATAAGTGCGGATTGCATAGCTTGGGCATTCTCGCACAGTAAGACAATATCATCCGCATACTCAAGGTCGAGAAGTCTTTCTCCAGGCAACAGATCCACACCACCATTACTTACATCCATCAGAGCTGTTTCCACAATGTCATCGATGGTAAAGTTGAAGAGGAATGGTGAGATTGAGCAACCCTGCCTAACTCCACTGCTTGAATGGAATAATGGAGAAAGGTGGTTGTATGCCCTCACTCTGCCTGAGGTGTTTGTGTATCGGGCTTTTAGGATGTTAATAAACTTCTCAGGCACACCCTTCTTCAATAGACAATTCCAGAATGGTGTGCCTGAGATTGATAATTATACACATAATATATGTATAAAAAGTCGAACAATTTGTTTGTCATACAATGAGACATTTTCATACATTTAGGGAAGAATTAATAGTTGATGATCTTCTCTGAAAACTTTGTTCACGCAGCGATTTATTCAAATATTTAAACAGTTCAAAAGTACCTTTCATTGACATGATCAAGGAATCATAATTCTGTATTTCGACAACTTTGTCCTAAAACACTATGCACATGTGAAGTTAATGCGTTTCTGTATAATCTTCGTAAAGACACTAAAAAGTATTACATTGTCTGTTGTATATTGGCACTGTTGTAATCGCTAAAATGAATGGGTTTATTACGTAGATTTCATTGTTGATCTTAGCAACATCATCAGTTGATACTTTCAAGAGAAACGGATTAAACTAAAAATCTTCATTAGTATTTTAAAATTCTAAGAATCAGGCATTTTGGAAAACGTAGCACTTTAACAGTTGAATTCACAGGTCAATCTAAGCTAGACTACCAGTGAAAACCTAGAAACACTGGATGACCATTTCGTCCTAGTATAAGACTCCTCATCAGTGCGCGTATATATACCTGCATGCGGGACTTGAACTCAGGACCAATGATTGCTCGCACGAACACTTAACTCCTAGGCTACTGAACTAACATTTGGCGGTGTTAATGCCTAACTTTAATCAATTATTATAAATCAGTTTAAATACCGAATTCAATTTACTAGATTCCTATCTGTGAAGTAGTAACATTTCCTAATCACTGTGAACATTCTATTGAACAACTCTCTAGCATCGTGGTATAAAACACATATATTTAAACAAATTAATAAAACCCGACGAGGGGAATGAATGGTAACTGTTGGGATCTATTTATAGGCTAATACTACCCACGTATTTTTATTTCATAACTGTTAAGTAACTAAGCTATGCATATTTATGTTTCTCTTGTTATGAGATTTATTTTGACCCATAGACTATTATCATAGATTTACTGTTCTTAAATTATGCCCTGTCTATCAATTACCATCTCCCTCATTCACAGCCACATTTGGCTAGATCTTGTACAAATGTGTATTTTCTATTTTATGGTACGATGTGGTCTGCTTGGATGGTATATAAACCGAGTATGTTTGAAATACATGATTCATATCACAGAGGCTAAGATTGGTGCTGTGGACTTAACAGGCAGGGCTAGGCGGGAAGTGGGACCGATATGGACTTTAGACTGCTCGTACTTCTTTTATGCGTCAACGGTCCGATCGACAATTCGCTGCTCCCTAATTGGCGTTATCGTTAATTATACATTAACAGGGCACACAGACCACAAGTTATAACATCAACAAATAGATTTTATGAGGAGGATAGCTGTTTTCACTCGACACGGATTAGACTCCACTGTCTATGGCTTCTCACTAGAAATCCAGAAAATCCATGTTAAAGCTAGTCAATAGTGAGCATATGATAAGTATCAGTATGGGGATTTATGTGAATTTTAATATTTCAGCAGTCAAATTGACGATTCGATCTTAGCTAGACCACCATTGAAAACCTGTAAACAGTGGACGCCCGTTTCGTTCTAGTATGGGGGCCCTCAAAAAGTGTTCATTCACGATCCTGCACGTGGGGCTCAAACCTGTGCCGAGTGGAGACAGTTGAGAAATATTATAGATAGATTGAAGTTATATATTAAAGCCATCGGATGCTATCTCAGTGGTCAATTGATTAAGCATTTGCGAGCGAGATAAATTATCCTGGATTTGAGTTCTGCGTACAGGATGAGTCCCATACAATAACGTAAACGGCCGTTCAGCTTTTCAATGATATTCTAGCTCAGATAGAATTATGAATTCAACTATTATTATGATACTACAATCTCCACAATCTCCACGAATATATTTTTGTTACAGTCATCTGTTCATAAAATTATTATACTTCCGATAACCATGTGTCAGTCAATAAAATGAAGTTATAAAATGTATCACATATTTTTAAACTACTTATTAGTAATATAAATTTTATATTAAAAAAACTCATGCCATATATTAAAAATTTAATTATGAAATAATGATATACATGACATCAAGCATAATAACCGTATAAATTATTCAGTATTATTCTTCTTCAGTAGTATATTATTATTCATTTACAAAAATGATGGAGACAATATCAACTAAATCATTTAATTTCATTGAAAATTCTTCTATTAACTTGTTTGAAAAAGGATACTAGAAAGGTGATTTTTTGGAAAGGAAAAGAAATGGAAAAAAAAAAAGAAAACAGGAGAAGAAGCAAATTATTAATCCATGAAGATAACGATTAAAAATAAGGGTAAATTGGTTGTCAACTTAATAGGACTTATAAATGATTAAGGTTAATTGTCTATGACATCCACTGTGAAATTCAGTATTCTCCATAAACTTGACAGTCAACTACGACGTAGGACTAGGCATATATATGTATCGGTTCAAGTGTATACACTGACGCCATGGTGATCGATTTTCAGTCATGTCACCCAAAGTCTCCAAACATTGGTTACGATAGTCATGTGGACCCCAACCAAGTAGTCTGTATCTAGCAACATGGCCATGTACACTAATAATAATCATTCGTTCACTAATGGCTAATTTGGAGTAGTAATTCCTAGAGTTCTAATAAGAAACACATAGATATTGGTACAAAGAGGCACCAAATACATATGCGCCACACAAATCTCATTTGCTTTGTGAGAAGGCTATGGTATTGCCCGGGTGTCCAAACCTAAGCAGGTGGTTTTCTTAAGGTGCGTCACTCCGAACCTTCGACCTGAAGGTCTGATCCACAATGCACTGGAATAATGTGAGGAGATGTAGTCCCATGTTAGCCGGTGACAAATGATTGCTTCATACGCCATTTCTTCTCTCAGGATACTGAAGCCCATGTGCACCATTAGTTTGAAATGACTATCCGTGTTCACCGACATAGTTAAAGCACCGGACATTCGCTTTTCCACCTCTCAATTTCGTGAACAACACCGCCGACACGAGAAGGCAGTGAGTAGGACTTCCCTGATTAATGGTTGTATACACGTGTTCACTTTCAGTCGTACCAGGGCATTTGGGGGCAAATAAGAAACTGTCACTAGTTGAGCTCAACAATATTAAATGTGAGGCAGGTTCTCATCAATCAAATTGGAAAATGACTAGATAATATCCCTCATTGATTAACATTATAGATAACATGATTGAAATGTAAAATTGTAGAATATTGAAAATTATAACTGTCGAAAAAGTTGAAAATTCTATGTTTACCTAGTGGATAACGCGATGGAATTCGATACTAATGGTATTGAGTTTGAGTCCCACAGTGAACATCAACTTTGTGTTGTGATGATCTAGAAAATTTCTCGCAAGACACTTAAGCATCAGGAAACACTAAAAAGCATTTCATCCAATCAGCGTTCACTTGAAGTTTTAACCAAAACCATCAAGGAAGTAAAACTTCACATGCAGAGATTCTGATTGGCTAATTGTTATACTGCTACTATGTTTAGTACCATTCCAGACTCGTTGAGCAACCCAAAGACATTTGAAAAAAAAAAATTATAAAACCCCTTTGGAGTAAAGTATTTCTTGCATACTTTACACCTTCTCTCTTGTGTTCAGGTCACTGTATAGTACTAGCTTGAAGGTTTCATAAATAGCTTAAGAACTGAGTATAGCATTCAATTAGCAAGACTTATCACTTTGAGATGGAGGTACATCCATAGTCGATGAGTCTCAAATAGGACAAAACACATGTCATAGATTCCATCTATCTAAATACTTTACAGTTTCTAATAACATTTCTAATTGAATTCATTATATCAATGAATCAATTCACTTACATCTTTTAATAGTTTTTCACAATGAATAGACCATTTTGATAAATTATCTATATATGAATTTATAGTGAATTTTGATAGAATTCTATATTGATTAAATGATTTCATTTTATTATTGATTAAATTGATTGATTCACTTTTTATTGATTTAACATGATCAAGATCATCATGATGATTAGGATCATCATGATGATGATTATTTTGATTTAGAAATGTTAATTTCTCTAAATCATTTAATGATAAACATAAAATTTCAGCTGCTTTCATTTTAGCTATATATAAACTATCTTGACTTATTGTAGACTTTGGTTTATCTAAAAAAACACAAAAAAAGAAACAAACATACTAATTGTAAATGATTATCTTCAAAGAAAAAGTACATGTTCGGCTCTTGAACCGGGTCGGTGGACATAAAGAGTTCAACTGAGAGAGAGAGAGAAATGGAAAACTTTGACCTTAAATCAGTGGTACACAAGAAAAAAATTGATGTATGAAGTTATTGTTGGTCACTGACTACCATGAGACTGCATCTCCTCACGTTGCTCCACTGACTTATGGATTATATCTTTAGGTTGAAGGCTTCCGGTTACATTCCCTAAGAGAACCACCTGTTTCGATTTGGGAACCCGGGTAGTTTTTCAGTCTTTATAAAAATTGAATGATTTATGTGGTGCATATGTAGATTATTTTCATAGAAGGAGCAAATATCCGGCGCTTTCAATGGGTTGACATATACGGAGAGTTCACCTGAAGGAAAATAATAATTACTGATCGTTTTAACTAAGTCATCCCTAAATGCCCTTATAAAACCGAGAGTGGGGACAGTCAACTCTCCCTCTAAAAGTGCTTTCACATGGACACGTGTATACAACCACTGATCAAGGAAGTCTTACTCACTGCGTTCTGAATGTGGGGTGTTGCTTACGAAACTGAGAGGAAGAAAAGCGAATATCTGGCGATTTACCCAGGTTGGTGGACATGGATTATCCATCTAGGGGAGTTGGAAAACCCTGATTCCAAACCAATGGTGCACATGGGCTCCAGGATCCTGAAGGAACAATTGGCGTATGAACCAATCGTTCATCACCGGTTACCATGGAACTGCATCTCCTCACGTTGTTCCATTGCCTTGTGGATCAGACCTTTCTGTCAAAGGCTCCAGGCGTGGACCCCTAAGAACACCGCTTGTTTCAGTTTGGGCACCCGGGTAGTTTTTCAGTTGTCATTCAAATCGAATGATTTACGTGGCGCATATGTATTCTGTGCCCCTTTGTTCCAATGTTTATGTGTTTAAATAAATAGATTATTTTCATCATAACAGTTTGTGGAGATATTTTCGAATGTTATTAAGATTATTAACCGAAATTGTAAATTGATTGGATTTAGACATGTACACTATTAAGCGACCATTCAGTGATATGAGTTGAGCATTCACTGAGAAACTTGATCCTTTGAGGGTTCATGTATATTCACCGTTGTGTTGTAGTTCCTTATTAGGGTAGAACAGTTTTATAGGGTTTCCCCCCACTCCGCTTTTCACTGGTTGTCTAATTTATGTTCATTCGTAACCTCAGTAAACGTTAAATAGATCTCTTAGAATTAAATCCATTGTCAAAATATACAAATCAAATGTTGGTCGTTTTATTTCGTCATATTTGTAAGAATACTTTTATGTTATGAATTGTGTACTCAATCACATGTGTGTATTACTCAGTTTTGTGCTAGAAACAATCTTGTTATGAGTAAGTTGCCTATTTTTATTGAGATCATGAATCGATTCAAGTTAAACAACCATTAAAAACCTAGAAACACTGAACACTCATTTCGTCCTTGTGAGTAACTCCTTAGTAATGTGTATCGACGGCTGTGCAAAATAGAGTCGGACCCAGAATCTTTGATCTGTTGTGAGAACGCATAACCATTAGATCACTTAGTCAACGGTGTTAATGTCTAACTTCAGTCGAACCACGATACTGTACAGTGATCTTCTGTTGGCTTCTGTCATTACCTTCCTCATACCCAACACGACTGAACTTCACTGGTCATGTGCTCTAATTAGGACTCCGAGAATTCCCTCTCAAAGCTAGTCATTACCAAGCACATAACTAATTTATCATTTATACTACTCTGCATTCTTGTGATTGATACAAATTGTCATGTTGTTAAGTCATTTATTTAAAAAATTTATTGGCTATTATTCTCTGATTGTATATATTCAGGACAGAAAGAACTTGCATTGACTGATACGTTTCATCAAATTTAATGGGCAGAGTGATTACGTAAAAGTTATTATTGTTAGTTGACATAAAGAGGACTCATTATTTGTCCATTCAGTACTTTATCGACTTCATTAAATGGGTATACACAAATTGAAATTGGTTATAGTCTGCGGTTAGTGAACCTGAAGGCTTTCGGTAGAACATGTTTTAAATTTATGCTTTATCTTAGGATAGTTAAGCGGCAGTATATAAATATTTTCAACATGGAAAATTGTATTTTTTTTAACTTCTCAAGTGAATAAATGAAAAATCTTTAGATCTTGTTACTAAAGTCAATCAGTGAGTTATCCTCTTATAGAGTAGTCTCTATGATACATTCGGATGAAGGGAGCTTTATGGAGATTTTATTAATTTAATAGTTGAATTCACGAATCATTTTATGCTAGACCATTATTGAGAACCTTTAATCACTGGACGGCCGTATTGTCCTAGTATGAAACTCCTCAGTAGTGCACATCCACCATCCCGTGTGCAGGATTCGAACTCAGTATCTCTCAATCTCTAGCGCAAACGCTCAACCTATAGTTATTATTTTATTTTATTTTAACACATAGATATTGGTACAAGGAGGTACCAAATACATATGCGCCACACATATCTCATTTGATATGTGTGAGGGCTGTGATACTGCCCGGGTGCCCAAACCGAAGCAGGTGGTTTTCTTAGGGGACCACACCCCGAGCCCTCGACCTGAAGAGCTGATCCACAAGGCAGTGGAGCATCGTAAAGAGATGCAGTCCCATGGTAGCCGTTGACCAACGGTTGGTTCATACGCCATTTTTTCCCGCAGGATACTGGAGCCCATGTGCACCATTGATTTGGGATCCGGTTAAAGCGCCGGACATTCGCTTTTCATCCTCTCATTTCCGTAAACAACACCTCCGCCACGAGAAGGCAATGAGTAGGACTTCTCTGGCAGAGGCTATATACCTATAGACCACTAAGTTGACAAGTCATAATAATAACAATAATAAAACTTCGCTTAGATTAGTCAAATGAATATTCCACAATAAAAATAAAATTAATCTTTGTCTCCAACTATTCACCGTAATTGATTTAAACTAAAAAAAGGAAATGTAACAGTAAAGAATGTCCAACCTAAAACAAAAACAATCGATTTCTTTCCCGAATCCCCTTAACATCACTATCTAAACTACATCTTATTGCATTCTAATTTATGTTTTTTTTCTTCGATTCCTTTTGTTAAAAGTTTGGAATGTTTGAATTCATTTTTAAATTCAATTTTACCGGGAATAAGAATGCGGAAAGTTTAAATTTAAAGGAATGAAAGATTGAATAGATCAAATTTCAATGAGAGATGGAAAGAAGGTGTGTGTGTGTGTTTGTGGAAAAAAGAGAGAGAGAGAGAGTGGAAGAGAAAGAAATAATGTAATTTATTTGAAATGAAATCCTTTGAATGAATAATTAATAAAATAAATGATGGGAATAGTTTTAAGTAACTGATGGAAGACAATGGTGGACAGAAATGCAATTTCGTGGATTGATTAATGTTAAACATCGGCTCAGTGGTTTAGAGGTTAAGCGTTCACCCGCAAGATCGATAGATCCTGGGTTCGAACCATGCAGGTTGGGATCTTGGATACACATTGCTGAGAAGTCCCATACTAGGATGAAATGTTCGTTCATTGCTTTCAAATTTACCATGGTGATCTAGCTTTAATTGACTCATGAATTCAACTATTAAATTTACTAAAATCATCACGAAAACCTCTATAGTGTCAGTTACTATGTTAAGCCCATATATCTTATTCTAGCTTTCAGACAGCTCAATCTATTCATTCTACTTGAGTCACGTTCTAACATTGTTAATTATTCGCTTATCAATCTTGACTGTTTTATATGAGCGCGTTGGTGTGGGTACATTTCTTATCCCACTACTCATCACATGTATGTAACTTATTTTTGTGTAACTATAATTATTAATCAACGCTTGGTTAAATGAGGAGTTGGCTTACCGGCCCATCTCCACTACACGTCGTTTCTTTTCTCTCTATTCCATTCGCTTCATATACAAAATAAAATATATTCAAAAGTCCATTCTCATTATTTGACTTATTTAATTCGATGTTTATATATGAGGATAGGTGATAACAATCATTCCTACGATCTACTTGGAGTCAGATCCTCGAGCCACTATACTGGAGAGACTATCAACAAACATCATCCGATCTAAATGACAACAATATAAAGGGTCCCACAAAACCTCCTTTCTTTCTAATAATAGATATTGATCAATAATACACAATACAATTGTAACTAATCAATTAATCATTTAATATTAATAATAGATTACCATGAATCTGTACTTACCATTATCGATTGTTGTATATTGGTTACATAATACATTTTCCCTATTGATCATTGTTGTAATCCTTAAAGTGTGGCTACGTAATTGATAAATCGTTTTAATTGTTTTAATTAATTCATTTGCTAATATTAAAATGAATTTTTCTAAATGATCAATACGATTATTCTATAGGTGAAAAATCCCCCCCCCCAAGAAAAAAGAAAGATATATACAAATTATAAATGAGTAGTATAATATATACTTTATTAGTAGTAAAAATTCTAGTTAACTTATTGTTAATACTACTGACAAAAGTTTGAACAGAATTTCTTAGTATATATATATAGATACATTATCGATGGATCCCGATGAGAATGATGAAAGACCACAGATGCCTTAGAAATATTACTGGCATCTGCTGGGATCAGATCAACGGGTAAGTAATATTGAGGTTAGACGTAGGGTATTAAGGAATGATGATGGTAAATCAGTTGATGAAGTTGTAAATCTTCATCGACTGAGATGGTTAGGCCACGTGTTACGTATGCCAGAGCACTGATTATCACGACGTGCAATGCTGACTAGTGTTGAAGACGGTTAAAAGAAAGTTAGGTGCGGCCAAACCGAAACGTGGCATCAATGCTTGAAGACACTAACTTCTAGTCTGAGCCAGGTTAGTAAATTCAGACTGCTTGTTCGCGGTCAGTGTGACTATCGTAACCAATGGTTGGAGACTCTTGGTCACATGGCTCAGAATCAATCACAATGGCGTCGGTGTATACACTCTTTGCCTTCCCTTAAACTATGAGATTAAAATCGCTTCATATCTTTCTTTCTACGAACTAATTCTTTCTTCCTGTACTATATCCTTATATGCAATCTTTCTTTTATATATTACACGATTGACTTAACTACTCCTATGAACCCGGTGTTTGTCTTGCGGTGCTAATGAGGTACGGCAACTTGGGTTGATGCATAAATGTGCATATTCCTACGTTGTAGCTAACTGACTGACTGAACTGTTGTGATCGATTTCTGAACTAATTTTATACATATAATTTTTATTGTGTAATTATTACGTAGCTAAAATTTCTGGATGCATTTTGACCTATAAATTGTTATTATACGATGTATCATTCTTGAGTTATGCCTAGTCAATTCATTACAGTCTTCAATATTCATAGCCACTTTTGGCTAGATCTTGTATCAATATTATTTGCTATTTTACGATTGTGATGTGCTCTGGTTGGCTTGTATGTAAACCCAGTATATTTGAAATACATGATTCATATCGCGGAGGCTAAGATTAGTATTCTGGACCCAGCAGGCACGGCTAGGTAGGAAGAAGGACCGATAAGGACTGTAGATTGCTCGTACGGATTTATGCGTTACTGGTCCGGTTGATAAATCACTATTCTTTAATTGGCGGTATCACAACGTCATACGTTGATGGGGGCAAAAGACCACATGATATAACAGATTTAGTTATTTATTACAGGTTATTAAGAATAGATGGAGTAACGCTAACAGTGAAATTCGTCTTATTAAAGGTTCATCACCTGAGTGTAACTGTATTCAAATGAATGAATGAATGAATGAATGAATGAATGAAATTAAGTTTTGAGATAACTTAAACTGTAACCAATACTTATATATCGGCATCATGTTTATTGGAAAAGTTGTTAGCTCTTCTTGAATAAGTTACTAAATGGATATCGCATAGGCAGCTAATGTGAAAGATACTGGGTTTGAGTCCCAGCAATACAAAGTCATAAATCTATACACATTGACGTAGATAAATATTCTTAAGAAACAGGTTATCATAGATGTATTTCCTTTCGAGTTATCAAACTATATTGGTATGCCAATGTGAAAATAATAAGATAGATTGGAAAAAGCATCGAAATAATGGTACAGTAATGACAAAAAGAAAGACTAAACCTTGGGAATATAGTTCAAAAAGACAGAGTGATAGAGTATGTATGAAGGAATATTAGAATTTTTATAAGCAATGATGAATATTGGCTAGCAGTGGGATCCAGGACGCGCGTTTCGTCCTACTTGGGGCTTGTCAGCTGGATGTTCCTGCATCTCACAGTTGATGATCACTCTGGGACTCGAACTCAGTACTGTTCGCTTACAACGCCATCGCATTATCCACTCAGCTGTTGAGTCCTGATAGCCACTTGCTTGTGCATTGGGGTGAAGTTTAAATTCACTTGCTATTGTTTTACTTGAATCTTCCTATTGACAGACTGATTAATTGCAGTCTTAAACCTCAAAGGGAAGACACAAGCAAAACAATACCAAGTGAGTCCTTATAGATAGTTCTTAACATTATTGGTAGATGTAGACCGCTTGATTGAGGTATGTGTAATAAATACGATTAATGGTTGGAAAACTTGTACAATAAAGTTCATTATCGGTTGCGATGTCGTAGATGAATACACTTTTCATTTTCCTCTCGATCAACAATTCTAATATGGCAAGACTATAATTTATGGACTAGCCAATCAGAGGCGTTTGAAGGATTTCAAGGTCACGGCGCCAGATACGATCAGTTCATAGCGGATTTTAGAGAAAACGTGGTAACTGAGCGGACACAAAAAATGGGACTACTACAAAATTCATTTTTTTGTGAATTTGGAAATCAAATGATTTGTGGATCTTGTACAGACTACCATGATGACGTTGTGTTTCGATGTAATATGTGTTGGAGGAAGAAGTCTGTTAGAATAAGATTTTTTTCGCTCGATCCAGATTGAGACTAAGGCGAACTGGATAATAAAGTCATCAGTAACACTGGCTAGAGCCGGGGAATACAATATATATGGATGACTGAAGAGCGTACAGATGCCTACACAGAATGGTTATCTGCATCGTGTCGTTTCCCATAAGCGGTATTTTGTGGATCCAGAGACCGGAGTGCACACAAACAATATTGAAGCTATGTGGCTTCGGCTGAAACATTTTTTGCTACCTTATCATGGCTTCAGAGGTCAACTATTATGAAGCCATATGGATGAGTTCCTCAACCATAGGCATTACGATTTCAGAACCTCTGAACCTATTTCTAACTTTGACAAGTTTTTGAACCATGTAAAAGAATTGTATTCATTTCAATAGTTGAAAACATGAGTCAATCGAAGCTAGACAACCACTGAAAATCTAGAAGCACTGTCCGACCGTTTCGTCCTATTTTTGGACTCTTCACCAGTGCATATTCACAACTCCGACTCACGGGATTCGAACCCAAGACCTATCAGTTTCACGCGCAAACTCTGGCGTGACATCCAAAAGTGTTAATATCTAATTTCAAACTAATTCATAAAATTCAACGATATATTCATCATTGTCATCAGTCAGTTACTAGTTCACTTGAATTCTTTGATCTTCATATTTAATATATGAACTTATTTCTGATTGGCTAATGTTTGTCAAGGTTATTTAAAGGTCGTTTAAAGGTCATACTCTCACCAATGAATGATCAGATATAAATACATATTACTTACAGCACAAATACGATTAAATGGTTTCACTGGTTTCACTATTTTATTGTCTGTTTGTTCAATGGAACACTTTTCATTTTTCAATTTTTGTAAATTTAAAAAATCCGCTTTTAATTGATTTAATTCAATCATTAAATGATGATGTGATTGTTTTAATTGATTAAAATTTTCTAGAATATTCTTTTTTTCATTTATTAAAGTAATTAATTGAATATGTTGACATTTTTTAGTTTGTTTTAATTGATTTTCAGATAATTTTAAATTTTTATTGATTTTTTCTTGAGTTAACTAAAACAAAGAAAAAGACATTAATTAAAAGAAAGATAGAAAGAGTAGTGGAAGACCTTTGAAAGGGAAAGAGGAAGAGAGGGGACAAAATGACCTTTAGAGAGCACACTTACTTTACTTACTTACTTACTTACTTACTTACTTACTTACTTACTTACTTACTTACGCCTGTTACCTTCTAATGGAGCATAGGCCACCGACCAACATTCTCTAACCCACTCTCTCCTGGATCTTCCTTTCTACGTCTATCCAATTGTTGCTCATTCTACGCATGTCGGTCTCCATTTATCAGCGTAATAATGTGTTCTTTGATCTTTCTCTTCTTCTTCGGCTTCGAGGATTCCAAGTGATGAAAGGTTGACTTGTGTCGTAGTTGGGTACTTTCCTATCCACTTCCAGAGCTTCTTCCTGATTCGTTCTTCCATTGGAATTTGGTTTGTTGCTGATAGTATCCGACTTATAGATGTTGAGTATCTTGCGTAGGAAACTGTTTATAAATACTGGTACCTTCTTGATGGTGGTTGTAGCAGTTCTCCACTTTTCAGATTCGTACAATAGAACTGTCTTGACGTTCGTATTGAAAATTTTGACTTTGATATTGGTTGACAGACAGTTGTTTTAAGTTCCATATGTACTTCAATTGCAGGAATGCTTTGCCAATCCTCGCCTTTACGTCTGCATCGGATTTTCCTTGTTGATTGATGTTGCTTCGCAGATTCGTGAAACTTCCCACCTTTAACGAGTTTCTCTATTAAGTGTGATTAGGTTGGTGTTCTATGTGTTTATTTAAGGATCTTGCTTTTCCCTTTGTGTATGTTGAGGCCTACTGGTGCAAAGGCTGCTGCTAAACGAGTTGTCCTCGTTTGCATTTATTCGTGTGTATGCGATAGAAGGACCTGGTCATCTGCGAAATGCAAATCTTCCAATTGATTCTGAGCTATCCATTGTATTCCGTGCTTTCTCTTTCGAGGTTTTCATAATGCAGTCGACCACCAGAAGAAAGAGAAAGGGTAAGAGTATGCAGCCTTGTCTGACTTCGGTTCTCACTTGGAATACATCTATCGCATTTGGTTTATATTGGTCAACATGAAATATATTTCATTACCAAAGAAATTCAATATTATCATCATTATATAATTAATAAACTGGCTTACTAAATCATTTCGAAGATCTATTTGTTCATTAAGGACACATTGAAGACGTATTTTCATTTCTTCAATATATTGACGTCGACGTTTTGTTTCAGTTTCAAGTGTATTAATTTTATTCTTCATGTTGGTATGTTCAATTCGTTTATGATCTATTGCTTCTTGAAGTTCATGAATAATATCATCAGAGAATTCTTTTATGAATCTCTACACACACACACACAAACAAAAGAAAAAATATGTGTGATCATCTTTGATAGATACTTCAAAAATATTAGCCAATTAAAGATCAATTCATATAGAAGATGAATCCATTATAGAGCCTAGAAACTTCTGAATGCTAGAGATAGGTGTAACAATTTAGGTATCATAATGAATATGGTAAAGAATTTCATCTGTGTTATTTGACAATAATCGACTTTTGGAACTGTAAAAAGGTCATAGAAATGTTTTTAGTCTTGACTATTCCTGTTCCATATTACTCGCGCAAACGACCATTGTTTAATCTATCTACAAAGCATCTTTCGTGAACGATAACACTATGAACATAGATAAATCTGAATAGTTCAGTATATTACTTACTTACTGACTTACGCCTGTTACTCCCAATGGAGCAAAGGCCGCCGACCGGCACTCTCCAACCCACTCTGTCCTAGGCCTTCTTTTCTAGTTCCATCCAATTCTTGTTCATTTTTCTCATGTCTATCTCCATTTCCCGGCGTAATGTGTTCTTTGGTCTTCTTCTTTTCCTTTGCCCTTGAGGATTCCATATGAGGGCTTGTCTTGCTTTCCTCAATGTGTGTCCTATCCACTTCCAGCGCTTCTTCCTGATTTCTTTCTCCACTGGAATCTGATTTGTTCTCTCCCACAGTAGGTTGTTGTTGATAGTGTCCGGCCAACGGATCCTAAGTAAGTCCAGTATATAGTTGTACCTAATTGGACATACTCCTTTATAACTGGTACTAACGTTATTGACCGGTAGTTTCTGATGTTTTGAAAATGTTCTTTCTGTAATGTTCTATCACGTATATCGAAGATCTGATAAGTAGATTTAAAGAACTGTTGTTTACCCAATCTTCTTGTATACTTCTTGCTCTATTAAAGATCTAGTATTCCGGATGACCGTTTTGTTGACTTCCACTTTTCTTCTGATAGCTCTGAACGATAGATTTAAATGCGTTATCTTTGTATCGGATGTAGCTTTGCAATACTCATACCACTGAATAATTGTAGCTTCAGTAACATCAGCAAACGTTTCAGCCGCTGTTATTGATTCTTTCATGATCCAATTTGTAGGAATCAGCATGATTTGCCTGAACGGTGATCAAAAACGAGAAAAAAATGCTTCCGTTCTCGTAGATTACTTTTTCCAGTATTATTGCATCGAAATACTGCATAATCACGGTAGCATATGTATTGCCAAGTCGTCATTTGAAATTCGCAATCATAAATAATGGAGCATTTTGAAAATTCCTGTTGTTATAAACATCTTTGGAATCTTTGGAACCAGTGATAAATCTATCGCAGATACGGATTTACATTTATACATTGAACGTGACCTTGAATTCGCTCAGTCATTTATGATTCGCTCGTTCATTAAGATTAATCGCACCATTCTTTCATTTAACATATAGTGTGCTTGCTGTACTACGCAACTCAATGATGACAAACCAGCATGATTAGCGTTATAGGTTATTAGAAGTAATATATTTAGCATCAAATCTCATCAGTGAATCAATTCTTTCAGGACGCCAAATAAGTCTTATTGTATAATACTAAACATTAGTGGATATACAGTACCTCACCTTCACTTAAGTGTGTACACATTTGATTTTGTTAAAACGTTCAATTAACTTACTTAACAGACAGTATCGTTCAGTCAGTAAACATTTTTCTATATATTTGTATGATCATTATCTTATTTGTATGAACATGTATGCTTGATCACTGCTTATAGGCTATACCCATATCCCTTTAATACGCGATGGCGTTTGAAGCGAACGGTACTGAGTTCGAGCCCTAGAGTGAACATCAACTCGGGGACGCAGGGATATCTAGCCAACGAGTCCCAAATAGGACGAAACGCGTGTCCTGGATTCCAATGCTAACAACTATCCATCTTTTCTTGAAATGCTTGTGAATTAAGGCTATATAGAGGCAATAAGCATAGTACGCACATATGTCAATAAGAGACTGATGAATCGCAGTCCTAAATAACAATGGGAAGATTCAAGTAAAAGAATAACAAGTGAATTTTAGCATAAATGTTAGTTGCTTATATCATTCAACGACACATTAACCTCACTGTATATAAATCTGCTTCTTAAGTTCTATTATTGCGCTCACTCCCATGCATTTGTATTCTCACTTCTATTCCTATTCACTTCGTGTCCCTAAGCTCTTGTGAACTGTGCTATACAAAAATAAACTGTGATCATTGCCTCGTATTCTTTTTTAGAAATTTACTGTTGAGAGTTATCTAATAAAGCAATTATCCCAAAGATACATTGTAGTGAACAAGAACTCAAGTGGGGACAATCGAATGTGTTGGAATACAAAATTACAGGATCAATTATTAAAGTGCTTCGTTTGCAAAATGTTAATCAATCGTTTCAGACTTCATTATTCTTTCAATTCCACACTAATCACTCTCTGTTCTCGTTTTCTTCTCGTTGATCTTCTTAATCTTCTACTGATATGTATTTCATTTTCGATTGATGATACATACTATTTTATATCTATGGACATCAGTAATACACACTACACTCGTCCTTGCTTTAAACACAGTCGTTCTTGCGATGGTTCTGCTCACAACAACCATATTATAATTAGTAAGATATCAAGTATGTAGAAAAGATTCAATTTAAAATTAGCTTACAGCACAGATAACTGTATTCAGTTGTCTCTATCAACAATGTAAACTCATGTACCTGAAATGGATCATATCTGTTTACATATGTATTGTATCGTATATAGAAAAAGATCCATGCTTCAAACAAACTAAAGTAGAGAGTATAAAACACACAATCTAACTCACTTTAGAATTCATATTTCCCAATGATTGTGATGTGTTATTTTCAGATTGATTATTATCTATATTCAATTGTTTGATGGTATCATACAATTTGATTAAATGCACTTTAATACTCTGGAAATTAAAAAAAATATGCAGATATAAATGTGTTTGAACACAATATTACAGAATGTTTTAATAAAATCTGAGCCCCCCCCCTCCAAATGAACTGGTACGGCCGAGTTTAGGGAAAGCCAACTGTCCACCAGGGTTCTTGATACCTGTGTGGTTACGCCACAAAATTGAGTTCTACTAATCAGATTGTAGTGTTAAAGCCTATACGATGTCTGGTTCTCCTGTGAAGCAGGATTGATTTTTACTGCTCGGGTTATAAAATTTAAACCTGGGAGGTGTCTTGTTCTCTTGTTAAACGGGATTGAGCTGTACTGTTTGAACTGTCACGTGAGAGTCTGGACGGTGTCTGGTTCTCCTGAAAATCAGTGTAAAATTATTCTGACCCACAATGGAATGCTATATAACTATGAGAGTCAACGGCCACTCTTGAAATGCTCCTACATGGCCACATGAGTACAACCACTGATCAGGGAAGTTCTACTTACTGCCTTCTCGTGATTGGGGTGTTGTTTACGAAATCAGGAGGATGAAAAGTGAAAATTTGGAGCTTTAACCAGGTTGATAGATATGGGGGATCCACCTATGGCAGTTGGAAAATTCTGATTCCAAACCAATAGTGTACATGGGTTCCAGTATCCTGAAGAATTAAATGGCGTACGAATTTATTGTCAGTCACCGGATATCATAAGACTTCATCGCTTAACATTGCTCCACTGCCTTGTGGATTAGACTTTTAGATTGAAGGATCTGGGTGTGATCCCCTAAGAGAACCACCTGCTTCGGTTTGGGAACCCGGGCAGTATCATAGCCCACACATAAATCAAGTGACTTGTGTGACGCATAAGTATTCGATGCCACTTTCTACCAATATTTATGTGCTCAAGTTAATAAATAAAACAGATATAAGTGGATTTGTTGAAACATTCTAAATTTATGGTGATTATTACTTACTCCAATCTGACATATACTACTTAATGAAGCTGTTAGTACAATAGTATTTTCATTCATTTGTAAAGTGTCTTTTAAATGTGTAGCACATAGTTAAAACATACTGATTATGTTTATTTGGTATTGTTTGTTTGAATCAACTGACTAATGTCTAGGACTGCAATTGATCAGTCTCTTATTGGCACATGTGCATACTTTGAGTATTACCTCGACATAGCCTTAAGTCACAAGCTTTTTAGGAAAAGATGGATAGTGGCTAGCATTAGAATCCAGGACAGACTTTTCATCCTACTTTGGACTCGTCAACTAGATACGCCTGCATCCCCGAGTTGATGCTCACTCTGAGACTTGAACTCAGTGCCATTCACTTCAAATGCTACATACACCAACAAGAGACTGATCAATTGCAGTCCTAAACAACAATGGAAAAATGCAAGAAAACAATATCAGGTGAATTAAAATAGTTATTGTCACAACCGAATTTCTTATGTTTAATAACAAGGATAAGTGCTTTTGAGTAACCTATACTCAATAAGTTGATATATTCGTGGAGTTTAATCTAGTTTTTAGTCAGCTCTCGTCACGAATTCACGTCAACTTGAATACTATGAAAAATTCGGCAACAATGGTTTATCATTTTGTTCTAAAATACGACACCACAAAACGTCAACTTGCCAGTGACAGGACGCATGACATTTAGTTCGCGAGCGAGGCCGATAGTTCCTGGGTTCGAATCCAGAACCTTCAGGCCTCACTATAAGCTATTAACTTTTAATCACTGGATAAGGATTCAATAGTCTAAGTATCAAACTCCATTCAACACTCATGATTGTTCGATCGCTTAAAATTTCATGAAGTAGATAATAATATCACATTCAACAAGAACGAACTCCACTTTATATTAGAATTCTACGAATCGCATTACATAGTTAGTCAGTTGTGAGTATATTAACTATTCATAGTAAAATAGAACGGTTATGAACATTCTTTTAACTATAAAAAATATTTAAAAATGGATAGTGACTAGCATCGGAATCCAAGACACGTGTTTCGTCCTATATGGGACTCATCAGTTGGTCAATTGATCAATTGCCGTTATAAACATTTATGAAAAGATTTAAATAAACAATACTAAGTGAATATAAAAAAGGGGGAATTCATTATAAAATGAACAACATGTTATTAACCTACATTTTCTTACCTCAATTGTACGTTTAGTTCGAATATTTTGTTTACGACTTCTATGTAACATATTACGTAATGATTCAACTAAATTATTCAATTCATGATTTGATTGTTCCGCTGTTAATTTCAATTTTCTCATAACCTGATACTATATAAAATTACAATAAATTTATTATAAGCAGTGTATATTGTCATAACAAACATTGATTATAAATATAATATAAAATGATTGAGGTGAATTAGGTTAACTATTGATTACAATTGATTAATCAATTGGCGGTGGGTGATCAATGTCATGTGTGTCAAGTCCTTCTTTAGTGCAGATCAAATGCTATCGACCAAGTTGCAATGTGGCCATTAGTCTGTCTAGGTGACTCGACATTACATGCAGTATGTTGAGATAAGATGGTGGTTGGAGGTAGTCAACAGGAGACAATGGATCTAGGTTTCGTGCTACTTGACACTCATCAGCAAGGTGTATCTATAATCTTAAGGGAACTGATTCTCCCTAACGTATTCAATCCTGTGTCACCCAGTTTCACAGTCAGAAATGTTACCACTGGGTTATCCGAGCCACGATCGACCTCCTGTTAACTACTGATAATTTATTGTGTTCTGCGATCTAATTCGGTTAGCAGTATATACTCAAATAGTAGAGATTTTTAGTTCAGGTGGATAATTTTGATGGAGTTTTGTTCTCTCAATTCAATAATTTGATCGTGGAGGTTTCATCGTTCTTCTGAACGACATCATCAGTGCAAACTTCAGGTAGAAGTAAAGTGTTCGAATTTCTCCACATATGCCTCACAGCTTGTACTGTAGACCTCAGTTGTTGACCTTTAACCTGTCATTGTCTACTTTTTTATTTTGGTTGTTGGCTAGATTTTCGTTTCTTGATTGATTGATAAATTGGATCGACTTCGATGTGCAAGTTGATTGATGATTGACCTGAGTCCCAAGCTTCTAAAAATTCTCTGGTGTTTATGGAATTGCCTCTATCCAAAATCTCCACATTTTTCCAGTCGAATGTGTGTCCGCAGTTGTTCACGTGCTTTGATATAAATGAGGATATGCCATAGCATTTGATCTCCAATTGATGTCCATGCAGAAGAAGATGAATAGGGCGTCCGCTTTGTCCGATGTAGTGTTTTTCGCAGTTGGTACAACTTATTTTGTAGATGATGTTTGGTTTGTCTTCTTCTGTCATTTCATCTTTTGGTTTGCATAGGGTTGATTGTAAGGATTTTTTTGTTTTTGTGTGCAACACATATTCTGAAGGTTTTCAGTGGTCTCGTTGTAGTTTCTGATATGCTAATTATCTATGGTAAAGTGATCTCTTTTTGCAGTACATACTTTCTAACACTGACCATCACAGCTATGAAGAGAGAGAAGATAGCTTATGTACATAACTTTTATGTATAGATATATGTGTGTGAGATGAGCATGACCAAATGAATAAAAGTCGGATCTACAACGCATCAGTGGAACCAGTTTTGCTGCGTGCTTGTGAAACCTAACCTCTCCGAGTTGAGGAGATTATCGGTGTCTCCAAAGGATTGTTGACATTCAAAGACAACATCACGTTAGTAATGCAGAGGTTCAGCATCATGTGTTCGGACACTTCGCTTCGTATCACAATCTTGAAACATCGACTTCGGTGGCTTGGATATATACTACAAATGTCGTCACAGAGAATTTTCATGTCGTGTATTATTTGCAGACTCTGAGAATGGTTGGAAAAAGCGGATGTGTTCAGTATATGATATGGTGTCGTGTCACAGTACAGGAATGGTTTCTGTTGGTCCTTCATGACTCCCTGGTTGGGATCCTAGAAATAGTGAAACACAGTGGCTAGAGACATTATCAAACATGGTTGATAATAGAAGCCAGTGGCAATCCTGCTGTAACTTCCCAGAAGTTACCCATAGTTTATTCTTCACTAGGATAATAACAATTAAAACAGCCGTTTGACAGTTCTTCAGGCTTAACTAGATTAAAACTAACCTTTTCCTGGAAAAGAAACCCATATCTTAAAATTCATAGTATCAATTACCGTTGAAAGTGAAAAGCATATCATATTTGACTCAGTTGTCTAAAATCATACCATAAGCACTGGATAATGTGTAATTTCTAGTTTCAATCTCCTGTTGGTACCTAAGTCAGATTGAGGCAATGAAATAGTATGACTGTTTATTTTTACTTTATGGTTATAGATATCTCATTTAAGTAGTTACTCCTTTTATCATTCAGAGAATTTGGTATCTCACTGAATTCTACAAGCTTTTTAGTTTCAAGGTTCATATTTCACTAATATTGATCATCACAGTATTGAATTTATCAGTTGCCATTGGGGAATGAATTGTTTCAATAAACACTTTGATATAATCTATCTATGCAAGTTAAATTACACTTTAAATTGTAGCTAGAAATAGGATTCAGAGAACATGTTTCATCTTATTTGGATCTATATCTACATAGATCATTCGAGTTGCATGAGAGCTGCGATACTGTCCGGTTGCCTAAACCAAAGCAGTTGGAGACACAATGCATAAAATGTTGTTTAGTGACAAATATGCCTGGATAGTTTTGGCTATCAATTTATTTATTTGAACACAAATATTGGTACAAAGAGGCACCGAATACATATGCGCCACAAAAGTTACTCGATTTCTGTGTGAGCTATGATACTGCGGGGTGTCCAAATCGAAGAAGGTGGTTTTCCTTGGGGGCCACACCTAGAGATTTTGACCTAAAGGTGGAATCCGCAAAGCAGTGAAGCAACGTCAAGAGATACAGTCCCATGGTAGCCGGTAACCAACAATTGGTTCATACGCCATTTGTTCTGCTTAGGATCCTCGAGCCCATATCTACCATTCGTTTGGAATTAGGGTTTTCCAACTCCGCTAAATGAATCCTCCATATCCACAAACCCTATTAAAGTGCCAATATTCGTTTTTCATCGTCTCAATTTTATAAACAACACCTTCACCTTGAGAAAGCAGTGAGTAGGACTTCCCTGATCAGTGGTTGTATGCACGTGACCATGTGAGAGCATTTAGAGAGGGAGATCTGACTTTCTTCATTCTAGGTCATACCAAAGCATTTGGGGGCTTATATCCAAAAACGGCTGATTATCTTAATTCTGAATATTATATTCAAATGTCACTGTAAAGATTGATTGAACAAGTCGCAGAAAAGATAAAACATTTATTATGGTTTCTATTAGTACTCATTAAGTCCAGTTAAAGAACTTATCAAAGTATCTAAGATAGAAATCAATTTCATACCTGTTGTATTAAAGAATTATAACGTTGATTCAATAATTCATAAGAACATTGAATTTCTGATAAGTGAGGAATGTTATTTTGTGCTTTGAGTAATTCAATAGCACGTTTCCTTGACCTATTTATATGTTAAACAAAAAATTTAAAAAAAAAAAGAAACAAAGTTCAAAGATAGTTCTCATCACGGACTGGAAATGAGTATGAAACTGATTGTTGCCATGACACTAACATGGTAACACATCATGTAGAACTCGAGAACCTCTAACATTTAACTGTTCCACTGTGAATTCCATCTGTATCGCAATGATTATGAAATTTATGAATTTGAGTTATGGGCATATAATCATGAACTTTCACAAACTAATAAGAAACAATTATTCAATGCTCTCTAATCTGATATTATCTCTTCAACAGATATTAGCTATATAATGAAAATCATCATCATATTGTGATGTGTGCTACTTATATCGACATAAGTAGTATGTGATGTTAGTCGTGAACAGAATGTCTAGCAGCAGAGAGACAAGAAGATCGAACAGTAAAGAATGGAAACAGAATACAATTTGTATGAAAATGCAGGAACAATGCAGTCTGAGTCATTTTGAGACAATTGATGGATATTTTGTAAATTGATCATTGAATATATGGTTGTTAGATTTTATTAACAAGTTCTGTAATTCTGAGTCAAATACATTCGATTGTCCTCCACTTGTGTTCGTGTTCATTGCAATAGTACAGCAGGTTACTAAAATGTAAACAATATAGTCATTAGGATTCCCTTCAGTGGTATTCAGTAATTATGGAAGCCAATTTGGTTCGACATTTCTAAGCACGGTACAGTCGCGAGTCTATTAACTTGGTGTCTATCAGGAATCACAACATGAATCATTTTTAAACCATTGACGACTATCTTAATATTCACTTGATATTGTTTTACTTGAATCTTTCCATTGATGTTTAGAACTGCAATTGATCATATGTGCATACAGTGCGTATGCCTTGATATTGCCTTAAATCACAAGCTTTTATAAGCAAGGATGGATAGTGACTAGCAGTGGAATCCAGGACGCGCGTTTCGTCCTATTGTATAAGCAAGTGACTGTCAGGACTCAGTAGCTGAGTGGATAATGCGATCGGGTTTGAAGTGAATGGTACTGGGTTCGAGTCCCGGAGTGAACATCAACTCAGATGCAGTTATATCTAGCTGACGAGTCTCAAATAGGACGAAACGCGCGTAATGGATTCCATTGCTACCCACTATCCATCTTTGTTTACTATCTTAATAGTTTATATGTTCAACCTCACTCATTTCTTGATATCATGTAATTATTAACAGGGATTACTAGTTGATTTTGTAGATGATAGTGTGGAATTCTTTATTTAATATGAAAAGTCTCCACTTACGTTTCTCAATCATCTAGCATGTTTGAATTCAACTAACAACACTAAAGTAGTGGTAAATGTAGCGGTAGTAGTACAGTCAGTCAGTAATAACGTGGAACTTCGTACGTACGTACATCAGTTCGAGTTGCCATACCACATTAGCACAGAGATTCAGTTATCGATTCAAATCCCATAGTGGTAGAGGTACTGAAAGTATAAGTAGAGATAGGGGACATTAAGGTTTGATGATGTTATTAAAGGAGTATAGTCCAGTGGAATAAATTGGGAAAGGACATGAATAATTCAGAAGATTAGAGTTTGGGAGAACACAAAGAGTGGATGCATCTGCGCCATCGCAAACGATTTTGAGCCATGTCATTCAAGGTCTCTAACCATCGGTTGCTATCGTCTCGCGGTCCCCAACCAGGTAGTCTACACCTACCAACATGACTCAATCCACTTGTCAGTGACTTCATGGATTTCTGCCATGTTTTGGTCTGGCCGCCCCTAGCTTTCTTCCAACCTACTCCTACACCATAAAACATAGCACGTCGGGGCAGTCGGTGGTCGGGCATGCGCAACACATGTCCCAGCCATCTCAAATGATTGAGTTTCACTACTTCATCAATTGATTTGCCATCCTTACCTAGTACCCGTTTCCTAACAACTGAGTTACTTACTCGGTGGTCCCAGGATATACGAGCAATGTTTCGAAGACATCTATGATCAAATACTAGTAACCTACGAATATCCTCTACTCTTATCGGCCATGTTTCACTGCCATAAAGTAGGACGGAACGAACTGCTGCGCAGTAAATACGTCCTTTGGTTGATAGACGGATATCTCGCCTACGCCACAAATGACGCAAGTTGGCAAAAGCTAGTCGAGCCTTTTGTATCCGTGCTGAGATTTCGTCACACACCAAACCACAAGGGCTGATGAGACTTCCAAGATAAGTGAAGCGGTCGACACGCTCAACTACTTCACTCCCTATCACTAGTTCCGGTGTCGACGCAACCCAATCCTGAAGTAACATTTTGCATTTCGAGGGAGAGAATCGCATGCCGAATAGGCTTGCATTGTTGCTTAGAGTGGTCAACAGACTCTGCATTTTGTCAGCGTCTTCACCAAATAGAACTATGTCATCGGCATATTCTAAGTCAACAAGTGGATCTCCCGGTAAAAGTTCAACTCCTGGAAATTTAGATGAGGAAAGTGTCATCTCTAAAAGGACGTCAACGACAAAGTTAAACAAGAATGGAGAGAGTGGACAGCCCTGACGAACACCACTTGAGGTAATCAATTCTGATGACAGTTCACCATAAGCTCTCACTCGACCAGTTGTGTTCGAGTAGAGAGCCTTTATAAGGTTGACGTACTTCTTTGGTACTCCCTTCAGTGACAAACATTGCCATAGAACCTTACGATCAACAGAGTCAAATGCCGCCTTAAGGTCGAGAAATACTACCATTGTGGGGCGTCTGAATGTGTGTCTATGTTCTAGGACCTGACGTAATGTGAATATTTGATCAATGCAACCACGTCCAAGTCGAAAACCAGCCTGGTTTTCTCTAGTCTGCTCTTCACGAGCTTTGGTTAGACGTCGAAGTATTATTGAAGCTAATATTTTAGACACTATATTAGTCAAACTAATTCCTCTGTGATTGTCACAGGAGGACTTTTATCCTTTCTTATAGACTGGTACAATCAGTGATTGAGACCAGTCAGATGGGATTACGTCCAGTTCCCAGATTCTACCTAAGACCTCAGTCAATCTCGCTGCTAATACTGGACCGCCATCCTTAAAGATCTCAGGGGTAAACCTGTCAGGGCCTGCTGCTCTCCCACGCTTCAGATTTCCTATAGCTTTTTCAACTTCGTAAAGAGTCGGAGGACTTACATCAACTTGCCATTCAGGTCGACTGGGGATCGTGGGAAACCGAAGTGTGGCTGAGGGCCAGTTGAACTGATCCCTAAAGTGTTCTGCCCATCGATCCAATCTCCTGGATTGAGAATGAATAATATGTCCATCTTTCTCTGAGATTGTTGCGCTAACAGTTGGGTTCCTAATACCGGTTTCCTTAACAAGTCTGAACAGTTGCCTGCTGTTACCTATTGCCGCTGCCTTTTCCATCTCTCTTGCTTTCGCTACCCACCACTGTTCACGATCTTTGCGTAGGCTTCTAGTGAGCTTACGCTTAAGCTGACTCCGCTCTTCGTTATGCTCAGAGCCAGATGGAATGAGTTTTCGAGCATCTATCAGTGCGGTAGATGCTGCTGAGATCCAGTGTTTCTCCCTAACCTTATGGTTTACCGTACTTGCCGACATCACTGCTGTTTCTACAGCTTTTCGGATGTCATTCCATGCTGCCTCGGGGTGGGTATCACTTACATGGCTGCCTAACTGTTTTTCTAGATGTTCCTGAAATATACTCTTAGCTTGACTATCATTAAGTAGGACCCTATGGGGTTTCCTTGCAGCATGTTTCCTACGTCCAGTAAGACGTAGACAAATACGCGCTCGCACTAGAGCATGATCTGAGTCTAAGCATGTGCTCCAGAATGAGCGACAGTCTTCTATCGAGCCCCTCCATCGGTGGCTGATAGCAATGTGATCTATTTGGGTCCAGCGTTGAGACGAATTAGGGGGTCGCCATGTCAAAAGATGTTTTTCCTTATGCTTAAAGTTAGTGTTTGCAAGAAACAGGCGGTTATCTGAGCATAGCTGCAACAGACGGTCGCCGTTATCTGTTCTTTGAGCCGCGACACCATAAGATCCACCCAGGTGTCTTTCCTTTTCGCTTAGTTTACCTACTTGAGCATTAAAGTCACCAGCCACTATTACTACATCTGAACGCCTAGCTTTTCGGAGAAGGTCGGAAAGCTTTCTGTAAAACTCATCTTTTACATCATCTGAGCTGCAGTCAGTGGGAGAGTAGGCAGAGACGACGAAGAGGCAACGACGAGTGTCCCTATCTTTTCGAATCCTTACTGTTCCGTTTAGTCGGACAGCACACAAACGACTGTCTACTGGGATCCAGTCTAAGAGAGCTAGTTCCACCCTAGGACTCAATGCTATACCTACGCCAGCGAGGCCATGGGATGCAGCATCAGGGCTTCCAGATACACGAAGCGTAAATCGAGTTGGTTCGTTACTTTGACATGGTGCAGTCAAATGAATGACACTACTAGGATCCTGTGTGCGCGTTTCGGAGACGCAGCACACATCGATGGAGCGAGATTCTAAAGTCTTAGCTAAGGAAGCCTGTTGTCCTATTCGGCACAGTGTTCGGACGTTGAAAGCTCCTACGTGTAGTTTAGAGCGTGGTTTCAGGAGACCAGGAATAACGTCCCGCGTACTCGAATCGTTCGCACTAGCGGGGCGGGGTGATAAAGGGACGTGAGAAGGGTTAGTCGTGGAGATAAGAGAGTCATTGAGAGGTGTAGGAAGGATTTGAATGTGACCAACTTGGTCTCGTGTGCTGTTACGGGTATGAGGGCTGATATCACTTCCCGGTTGCCCACACCGTGGAAGGGTATTTCTTGGGGGACCTGAAAAGGAAATCGGATTAGTGTTGGTCTTAGCGACCTGAGTGCGTGACCGCAGAGCCCAAGGGACAACTGCTTGAGGCCGGTCGCGCACGGCTTTTTTGTGGGAGGTTTTTAATGTGTTAGCTCCGTTCTTCAAAGGGCCTTACCGCCGGAGACGGAAATCCGTGGGGTAAGGTGAGGTGTGACATTTTTAGGGTCAACCTTTTCTAACCCCTTCCTTCCTTGTGAGAAGGCAGCATCGCTGCAGATGCTGGTTGTCCGAGGGAAACACTTTACTGCTGTCACACCTCTGTACAGTCAGCAGTACGACTTCGCCCTCAGACCTTGAGTTGCTGCTTTTAGTCTTACCGTTCTCCAATCGACCTGCCTGGCATGGTAGAACCTGCAGGAACTTGAGTTCCAGCCAATATAGCTCGGTTGGGTCATCACGATAGGCAAGCCCGACCACCACGTCAAGGTAGCAGCTACGGTCGGGAGTAGTACAGTAGTGTGTGCTACTTATGTTGACATACATAGGTAGTATGAAACACCAACCAGAAGTAGAGTGTATGGTAGCACAAGATTGAAAAGATTGTAATGAAGTGTACAGAAATGTAAACTGAGAATAATTGTAATAACAACAAGAATGAATCAACGACGATGTTTGTAAGAAACAATTGATGGGTGATGTATTGATGTTTCCCACTTCAATGATTGTTCACATCAGTGCTATTAGTATAAAAATAAAGAATATTCTCAGAATACACGTTGACGCAGTAAATGTGGCAAAGGTCGCAGTAAGGCTAAGGCAAGGTCAGCGCATTCAGGTCTTCAGTTCCTTATTAGTCATGTACATTGTCTTCTACATAAGGGCAATTACAGTGAGCGAGTTGTTGCTGGTGCTACAGTCTATCTATCTACAGTTCTCAAATACCTGGCTGCAGAAATTTTGAAGTTAGCTGGTAATTCCATTCGTGATAACAAGAAAACTCACATCATCCCAAAACATATAAAATAGTTTTACAATTCATGATTTAAGGATAAACTCAAGATGGAATGGATCTACACGATTTTGATCTATGGTTGTTTCTCTTAACTAGGTAGTCTGAGATTATTAACGAGGTTTAGGATAACAGTAAATGAATTTATGAAATCAAATCATGTTTTAGTTTGGGACCCCCCCCCCATGATCTTATTATTTATAATATTAAACTTGTGAAAGAAATTCATAATTATGAAGAAGAATTTCGAATATGGTATACCATCTACATTGAATAGTTTAATCAAGACGTTTTTATTGAAATACAATTTCTATCAATAGAGGTGAATTCAAGAAGAAACAAACTATTATATTTGGATCAGAAGGGGTTTTGTGGAGATTGTAGTCATTTCAATAGTTGAGATCATGAGTCAATTGAAGCTAGACTACTATGGAAAACCTGGAAGCACTGGATTAACGTTTCGTCCTATTGTGGGACTCCTTAACAGTGAGCATCCACGACCCCGCCCCGTGGGATTCAAACCCAGAGCCTATCGGTCTTGCACGTGAACACTTAACCACTAGACCACTGAGCCTGTATCCAACTTTGTTAATATCTAACTTCAACCAGTCCAGAATCGTGGGTGCACAATACTGTAGAGTCTCATACTAGGTAGAAACAATCATCAAATGTTTTGCAGGTTTTCCATAGTAGTCTCCACAACTCTCCCCTGTCCTTTTTTTTCTAATAATTTTCAAATTAACATTATGAATGAATTGACTTACTTTATTAAACTTGTTTTATAATTATTGATCCATTTTAATTTTGGCTCATTATTTAAATTTTGTTTTATTATTAATTCAGAATATGTAATATCAGATTTATTCTGATCATCATGATCATCATTACCATCATGATTCAATGGATCATCATTCTTTGTAGAACTATTCATATCTTGATATTGATTACAATCCTTAGGAGAATTGAAATTCTTTTGATTTACATTTATATTCTTAGAATTCAACTGAAATGTTCGTCTTGAATTAGATTTGAATTTTTTCAATGGAACAAGTATATTCAATGATGATCTATGTCAAAGAAATGATAAGATCATTTAAATGGATATAAATGGATAGTTTTCAGAGGGATTACATTCTGTAATGTTTGTAGAATACGTGGGGGAGGGGGACGATGTGGATGGAAGGTTTTTATTGTTATTCTAAACAAAATGATCTTTATAATCGTAATCTTTTCGATGATTGTTTATACTTTTACTATCACTACTACTAGGGGATTGGAATGGACAATTAGTATCTTTGTGGTAATGTGATATGGTAAATTGAACTGATATACGTACTTACGTACATACGAAGTTCTACGTTATTGCTGACTGATTAAATGATAATATTATTAGTAGTGAGTATTATATTGAATAACAAATATACCTTTGTCATTCATGCTTTATTACAGTTTGAATTGACAATTAGTATCTGTTAGGTCCCGATAACCATAATGGATGATAACTTTTCGGATCCATTTATGAACCAATAATATACGTATATTTTTATTGTATAATTGTTAAATAACTAAACTATCTGCATATTCATGTCCCTCTTATTATGAGCTTTATTTTAACCTATGAACTATTACTCTACGATTTACCATTCTTGAATTATTCCCTGTCTATTAGTCACTGCCTTCCACATTCACAGCCATATTTGGCTAATTCTTGTACAAATTCCGTTTCTTATTTGATGGTACGATGTGGTTTGTTTGATTGGTATATAAGCCGAGTATGTTTGAAATACACAATTCATATTGCAGAGGCTCGGATTGCTGTTCCGGACTTAACAGGCAGGGAGAAGAACAGATAAGGACTCTAGACTGCTTGTACGGGTTTATTTGTCACTGGTTCGATCGATAATTCACTACTCTCTAATTGGTGGTATCGTTACGTTATACATTAACAGGGCACTCAGGTCACAAGTTATAACAGTATCTTTGTGGTAATGTGTTATGACAAATTGAACTGATATACGTACTTACGTATTTACGAAGTTCTATGTTGTTGCTGACTGATTAAATGATAATACTATTAGTAGTGAGTATTATATTGAATAACAAATATACCTTTGTCATTCATGCTTTATTACAGTTGATTGCGCAATCAAGTGCATTACTTACTTTATTGATTCAAAAACTAACTTGATCGGTATAATGCTTGTTTTAATTCGTATATCTCTAGAAAGCTCGTTGAAAAATTAGCTTAAAATATTCTTGTGCTTTATAGTTTGAATCGCAATCTAACCCTAGTTAGACCGTCAATGAAGAACTAAAAGTACTGGACGGCCACTTTGTTCTACTATAGGACTCCTCAACAAATCTGCTCCCAGATGCCCTGGTACGATTTAGGGTGTGGAGAGTCAGCTCTCCCTCTCCAAATACTCTTATTTGTCCACAAGCATACAGACATTGACAGGGAAGTCATACACACTGCCTTCTCATACCACAGATGTTGTTTACGAAATTAAGAGGACCGAAAGTGATTGTTCGGAGCTTTAACCAGGTTGGTGGATATAAAGGATCCACTTAGGGCAGTTGAAAAACCCTGAATTGAAACCACTGTCGTACATAGGTTACAGGATCCTGAAGAAACAATTGACATATGAACCAATCGTTGGTCACCGGCTAACATGGGACTGGCATTGATCCATTGCCTTATGGATTAGACTTTTAGGTTGAAGGTATCGGGTGTGATCCCCTAAGAAAACTACCTGCTTCGGTTTGGGCACTGGGGTAGTATCACAGCCCACACACAAATCAAGTGACTTGTATGGCGCATATGTATTCGGTGCTCCTTTGTACTAATATTTATGTGTTCAAATAAAATAAATAAATAAATAATCCGGAAATCGAACCTAAGATATTTTGTAGCTCTCAAGAATGCTTAACCCCTGGATCACTGAACCAATATGTACTGATGTACATGCCTAATTCACTATCCTTTATTGCCTGTGTTGGATAACCGTCTCATACTTGATATAGTTGAGGTCTATTGGTCAAGGTTTCTCACTAATTCTCTAGAGATCGCATCTTGAATCTAGTAACAAGCAAGCACTTGATTATTATCAGTATAAAAAGGTTTATGGAGATTATAGTGCTACCAGTTTTTCAATCATGATCTAGCTAAAATAAGTTCCTGATATAAACAATCGACTTTCTACAAAATCCATAAATCTGTCTATCCTTACAATAACCTTATTCGTTTATATCCCACATAAACAACTAGACTAAAAGCTTCCTACGACAAATGTGTTGATAAATAAACCTAAAACAAAACACTGACAATTTGTCTGTATTGTGTTTGTCACATGGTGATCTCAGTTGGTGTACCACTAAAACACGGGAAATAATGGATAGCTGTTACTTCTCAGTATAAGAATTCTTAATAGGATACACCAAAATCCTCGCCAGAGACTTAAACCATGATTTTTAAGTGTTGTGGTCAATTGTTTACCATTAAAATAACTGGATCGGTGTCCAATAATGTTTAGTCAACATGTGGTACAGTCTGAGGATTATTCGACACCATCCGGTAACATTTGTTTTATTGTTGACATATATGAATCATACTTGTCACTACTTCACATTAAGACTTCAAGAAAATCAAAAATTAAGTCACTTGTAAGCTGACTATTGTAGTTCTATTGTGTCTGTTATTATATTAAGCTCATATGCCTTATTCTAGCATTCGGACAGCCCATTCTATTCATTCTGCTTGAGTCACATTCTGACCTTATTAATTATCCGCTTATCAATCTTGACTGTTAGATGGTGGTTGGAGGTAGTCGACAGGAAACCCTGAACCCGTGTTTCGTGCTACTTGGCACTCTTCAGCAAGGTGTACCTGTAATCTTTGAGGGAACTGGTGCTCCCTGACGGATTCGGCCCCGTTTTACCCAGCTTCACAGTCAGAGACGTTACCACTGAGTTATCCGGGCAGCAACCGACCTCCTGTAGGACTGAGATGCAATCACAATTTATTGATCACTGGGTAGTGACCAATGTCATGCGTGTCTAGTTCTCACAATAGTGCCCGCAGTGTCGAGTCACCTAGACTGGTGGCCACATTGCAACATGGTCGATAGCATTCGATCTGCACTAATAATAAGGACTAGACACGCATGACATTGATCATCACCCAGTGATCAATCAATTGTAATCTTGACTGTTTTTTATATGAGCGCATATTTGTGTATAAACTTCTTATCCTATTCATCACATGTCTGTAACTTATTTTTGTGTGCCTATAAATGTTGATTAACGTTTGATTAAAAGGGAGCTGGCTAACCCGCCATCTCCACTGCGCGTTATTTTTGCTTCGCTTTATTCTCTTCGCATCGTTTCCCCGCTCGTTTGTCTGGATCAACGATTATACAAAAATCAATGGGCCCCACAAAGGTTCAAATTAAGAAATTTTATGAACATGAGTTTAATTTACAGATTGTATTCGTCGCAAGTTAAATGGATCCCGAAAAACAACTCGTTACACTTTTTAAATAACAATCAAACTTACTTTAACCAAGATATTTTATGATGTTGAACTGAACGATGCTTCGATTTCATGTATTTAAGTCTAGCTGAAAGTAAACGACAATGATCTTCTAATTTTCTAAAATAAATTATATGTAAAATTTATCAGTATAAGGTTATGGAAATTGTTGAGTTTAGATTGATATCATGAATGGAAATGATGTTAGACCACCATCGAAAACCTTGGACCACTGGATGGTCATTACTTTCTAGTGTGGGACTCCTCAATAGTGTGCATTGGCGAACTCTCATGCAGGTTTGAGTCCTGGAGTTTTAGTGAGAAGCTGTGATCAGTGGAGTTCAGCCACAGCTGTTGTGAAACAGTTGTTTAAACTTTCCCACAGAGGTTCAGGAGTGTATATGGTCAATCTTTTGTTGGCATATGTGCATCCTGTGTGGGTTATAGAATTTATGTAACCCCATAGATTATTTAGTCTTTAAACAAACGTTTGGTTTGACTTCTAGTTACATCATCATTTTTTATCTCACTCTATGTAAACCCTTATCGTAAACTGATTAAAGTTATACACATACACCATAAGTAATTTAGAGGTGAGGCGTTGACGACCAAGACTGAAGGTCCTGGCTTGTATTCTCAGTGTCGGACCTGTGATTGCGCACATTGTTTAAGTCCCATACTATAGTGAAATAACCATCCAATATTTTCAGGTTTCCAGTGGTTGTCTAAATTAGACCAATTCATAACATCTGTATACTCTGGAATCATTCAGTGGATATACTATTACCACTATCTGATGCATGAATTCTGTAAGAGATACAAACAAACATATGTTAGCATTCACTGAAACTATCATCTTCACTTCATCCCTAACTATGAGTTTAGAATATTCACATGGATCTCATAAGGGATATATATATATATATATATATATATATATATATACCTGGTAGATCGTTGACTGCTTCTTATCGAAATATACATGTCTCCAATCCTTGTATATAACTCACGTTGTATGTGTGACTGATTCTTCCTAACTTCTAATAATAATAGTAATAACATCCTAACTAAGCTGTAAGCTATATTGCTATGTAGAGCTGAAAGTCTCATATGAGACTGTAGACCTGCCATTGATATTGTGGATTGTTCAACATTAATTTGGCAAGTTTTGCTGACTGTTCATACACAAAATTGGTTTGCTGGTTAACCGATTTTATTCATACTGGTGGTTGCTTTTCAATATTCCCAAAAGTCATTGTCATTGGGACATTGTAAGGCATGTCGCTATTGCTAACATGAATGAGTTTGACTATCATGTAAGTGGAATAGGTCAATTTTGGCCTGTTCATGCTGTGCATAATTGATTCACGCGATCATTGACCAGAACAACTATACATGTGACGTGAATATGGTGTGAATGGTCCACCAGGGTGCTTAGTACCTGTGGAGTTGCACCACAGGATTGAGCTCTACTATACAGATTGTAGCGTTAAAGCCTATATGGTGTCTGGTTCTCCTATGAAGCGGGATTGGGTCGTACAATTTGAGCTACAAATTTTAAGCCTGGGCAGTGTGTGGCTCTCCTGTTAAACGTGATTGAGCTGTACTGTTTGGGTTGTCACATGAAAGTTTGGATGGTGTCTGGTTATCTTGGAAACCAATGTAAAATTACCCTGGCCCACAAGAGTACATTATATAACTAAGCTTATTCTGTAAAAAAAAAATTAAATGTAGTTACAAACAATCTACACTTTAATTCACTTCATTAAAACATACATTTTACTTACTTTTGTTTTTCTTCCCACAACGAATTCATTTTATTTAGCTGAGATTTCAATTGTTCATTCTCATGTTGAATGTTTGACCACTAAAAAGAGATTGATTAAGAAATATTGGCTGAAAAATGTTTCTGTTTACCTAGTGTATGGTATGTGCTACTTATGTCAACATAAGTAGTATATAATGCTAGTCAAGAATAGAATATCTGGCAGCAGGAGGTTAAAAAAAATCGAGAAGGAAAGGACGGAAACACAAAGCAATTGGAATGGAAATGTAGGAACAATGAAGTCTAAGACGATTGATTGATATTTACAAAAGCAACAGTCACGTTTGAGACAATTGATTGATATTTTGCAAATGAAGTATTTACTGTATGGTTCTCAGATTTCACTAACATGTTCTGTAATTTTGTGCACGATCGCATTCAGAAAGGGTTTTGTGGAGATTGTAGTAATTTCAATAGTTGGGATCATGAGTTAGTTGAATCTAGACCACCATAGAAAACCTGGGAGCACTGGATGCCTGTTTCGTCCTTAGCAGTGCGCATCCACAACTCCGCCTCGCGGGATTCGAAACCAAGTCCTATCAGTCTCAATTTTTCTCTTTCAGCCCTATTTATTTTACAGTGCAAGAAGGATAAATTAACTCATTCTTTAAAAGCATGTAACTTGTCAAAGCATTTTATACTCCATCATTTTACTGAATTTACAACATTTCGCAGATGACCTAGCTCGTCTATCCCATACTCAGCAACAAACACACGTGAAAATAACCAGTTTAGCTACAGTCTTTGAAGAAGTAGACCTCAATACACATAAAAGAAAAACCAATACCCTCAAATACAACACGAAGTGTACCAACTCAATCACACTTGATAGAGAAGCTCTGGAAGATTTGAAAATTTCACGTACCCGGGCAGCATCGTCGATTTACAAGCAGGATCAGATGCAGATGTAAAGACAAGGATTGGTGGGGGAGGGGTAGCATTCGTCTCATTGAAGAACATGTGGAAGTCAAAACAAGTGACAACCAATATCAAAGTCAGAATCTTTAATTCAAACGTCAAGACAGTTCTACTGTACAGAGCTGAAACGTCGAGAACTACCACAACCTTCATCGAAAATGTACAAGTATTTCTAAACAGTTGTCTATGAAAGATACTCAATGTCTATTGACCAGATATCATACTATGAAACAAAACAAACTTACTTCTAACTGAAGAGGAAATTAAGAAAAGACGATGAAAATGAATAGGACATAAATTACGGAAACAAACAAAATGAAATACAAGAAAAACCCTAACTTGAAATTTTCATGGAAAATGGAAAAGAGAAAAGCCAAAGAATACTTTGAACACGGAATCAGAGGCAGGCATCAAAAGGATGAATAGCACTTGACAACAACTGAAAAGGAGAACCGAAGATAGAGTCATTTGGAGGATCCTAATCTGCGGACTATCCTCCAAGAAGGGTAACAGGCGTAAATAAATAAGTATGTAACAATATTTCTCAACTAGGCTCAACAACACTTACATTCAACATCATTTTAAAAGGAAGAATTTATTAGTCAAGATATTAAATAATGTTTAACATGAAAAGAAATTGTCACTTGTTCAGGTTGAATAAATCGCCCAATTGAAATAAATGATAATTATTGATCTTGAAACTTTCATTATTCTCATGAACAGAATCATTCATACATACTTCATAAAACTGACATCTTGTCTTGTTGACTTTGATATTAGTCAACCATAACCAATCAAGATTAACGTTAACAAAACTAGTTGCCAGTTACATGTGAAGTAATTCATATACTTCATTTTTACCTGAAGTTTATACTGATAATATTGTTCAGAAAGTTTTATCATTAAGTCATTCAGTTTAGAGAAATGAAACTTCATCTAAATCATCTATCTGAGCTACTTATCTTCTTCATCTTATCTTGATATAGATTCTATTTAAAATATTGAATTAACTCAAAGTATACACAGTTAACAACAATCAAAATAGTAAAACAAGAACCTCATTTATTTGGTTAAAGTGAACTTCAATCTGAATGAGGACAAGAATTTATATTACCAGTACAGGTTTCAACTAATCTATTCTATTAAAACAATGATGGATAATGGCTAGCATCGTAATCCAGTTTGAAGCACGTTTCGTCCCATTTGAGACTCGTCAGATGGATGTACCTACGTGTCCTAGCCATTATCCATCTTTGCTTTAAAAAAATCTTGTGACTTAAGGCTATATCGAGATGATTCGCACAGGATGCATATATACCAACATGAGACTGATCAATTGCAATCCTAAATAACAATGAGAACATACAAGTGACACTAGTTACTGGCTTCAAGAGGTATATCCTGGAATTCTAGTGAGAAACCATGAATAGTGGAGTCCAATCAGATCTGTTGTGAGATAGTAACTCACTGATGACAATGGTGAATGTGTCGCTCAATTTCGTGGATTAGTTAAAGTTAGACATTAACACCATTGGATGCCAACCGGCTCAGTAGTGTAAACGCTAAGTGTTCACACATGAGACTGATATGTCCTGGGTTCGAATCCCGCTAGGCGAGGTCATGGATGTGCACTGCTGAGGTGTCGCACAATAGGACGAAACGGCCGTCTAATCCTTCCAGGTTTTCCATGGTTGTCTAGCTTCAATTGACTCATGATTTCAACTATTGAAATTACTACAATCTCCACAAAACCCCTTAAGATGAAACTAAAACAACACCAAATGAATTTAATCTATCCTATGTTGAATGTTAAGTATATCCGATTTGAATATAACAAAACTATATTGCATGACATTGAATATTCTATCAAGGTTGTTCATGATCATGAACCAACTTGAAGTAACCTTCTTTAAATGTGAAATCAAATCAGTATACAGAGTAAAGCAAAACAAACTACTGTATATTAGATGAGAATGATATTTGTTTTTACCTTTGATAAAATATTATTATTGAACTTATCTGAAATATAAAAGAAAGAAAGAAAGGGTATTAATTCATTCAATGAATAGATATTACTATATCATAATGTATGTTTACCTTTTAAACAACTTTCGAATAGAGTTATTATGGGTTAGAGTAATTCAGAGATAATCTGGTTGTTATTCCAGAATGTTCGACCACATTGTTGAGACATTTTCAAGATTCTCTTATGACTTATAGCCTTAACAGTTCTAATTTATGGCTGTGAAATGTGGTTATTAATGGTAGAGGATACTTGTAAGTTATTACTATTTAATCATAGATGTCTCAGAAATATTGCCAGCATCTGCTGCGATCACCGGGTAAGTAATAATTGTCAGGTTAGACGTAGGGTATTAGGGAATGATGATGGTAAATCAGTTGATGAAGTTGTCAATCTTCATCGACTGAGATGGTTGGGCCACGTGTTACGTATGCCTGAACATCGATTACCACGATGCACAATGCGCTGTTTTCGGGATGATTGAAAGAAAGTTAGGGGTGGCCTAACCAAAGAGTGGCATCAATCCTTGAAGACACTAATTTCTAGTCTCAGCCATGTTGGTAGATGCAGACTACTTTGTTAAGGTCCGCGTGACTATCGTAACTAATGATTGGAGACTCTGTGTGATATAGCTCAGAATCGATCACAATGACGTCGGTGTATACACGTCCTGTTTTTCCTTAAACTATGAGATTAAAATCGCTTCACATCTTTTTTTCTTACTGTACTATATCCTTATATACAATCTTTCTTTTATATATTACCACCATTGAAGTAACTACTTCTATGAATTCGGTGTTCATCTTGTTGTGCCAATGAGGTAGGGCAACTTGAACCGATGCATATATGTGTCTGGTCCTATGTTGTAGCTGACTGACTGATGACAAAAATCATTGATCAGAATATCGATTTCTATGGATCTGTCACTGAGCTTATCAGTAATAGTAGCTTTGAGTCAGTTCTAAACCCTTGGTGGTCTTTGATACAGTAGTATCTATCCTCCCCTTATTCGTTCTATCTAAAACACAATACTCAGCCTCCGTTATACAAATAGTGTATTTTAAAAATACTAAGTTTATATACAAGCAGATCAGACCGCATCACACCATAAAATGAAACATAACACTTATATTAGGATCGACAAGTCAAAAATGGTTGTCAGTATAGGATTATGTAACTAGTAAATGGGAAATAAATCAATATAAATTAACTTGGTATTGTTTTACTTGAATCTTTCCATTGATGTTTAAGATTGCGAATGATCAGTCTCTTATTAGCATATGTGTGTACTGTGAGGATTGTCTCGATATTGTTTAATTTAAAAGCAAAGATGAATGGTGGCTAGCAGTGAAATCTAAGACGAGCGTTTCGTCCTACTTTGGACTCGTCAGTTGGATGTGGCTGCACCCCACATTTGATGTTCACTCCCAGACTCGAACTACAGTAAGTAAGTGGATAATGTGATGGAGTTGAAAACGAACGGTACTGGGTTCTATTCTCATTGTGAACATCAACACGGATGCACGTAAATCCAGCTGACTAGTCCCCAATTAGGACGAAACGCACGTCAAACTGGATTCCACTGCTAGCCACTATTCATTTTCGCATATATAATAATAGTCTATGAATAGATTCTGAAAGTTACCATTCAGTTAGTCTTCTCTGAATGTAACTGGTCCCACTTCAACTAACATTATACTGAAATAAGCGAGAACGAATTCAGTCATTGGGTGAAAAATCGACCACAAATTTATATTAACTGATCATACACTGAGCTGTGTAGTTCATTAATCATATAGACATACTTTTATTGACATATACTGACTGTAGAGGCTTTGTAAAAATTGTTTAATTTAACATATTGTATCATCAACTGATCTAACTTAAACATTCATGAGAGACGAAAAGGTACTAGACGGCTGTTTTTCCTAGTATCGGACTGTTCGTCTATGGTCATAAACAAACCAACAAAGAGTTTAATCTAAGATCTTCAAGTTCAATAGCAGGCGTTCAACTTCCAGTTCACTGAGGACAATATCATAATTCAGTTACAATTAAACATGTAAACCACTGGATAACAGTTCAACAGTCAAGAGTTTAAGCGATCACCAAAAACCCTTGAGGATTTGGATTATACCCCTAGTAGGTTCGTGAATGTGCACTGCTAAGAAGTCACATACTAAGACAAAATATGTGATCCCTGGTTTCAATAAATGTTGACCTAGATGTCTAATCCACGAGGCAGTGGAGCAACTTTAGGATGTGCAATACCATGGTAGCCGCTGACCAACAATTGGTTCATACGCCATCTGTTCCTTCAGGATACTGAAGCCCATGTGCACCATTGGTTTGGAATCAGGGTTTTCCAACTCCCCTAGGTGGATCATCCATATCCACCAACCCGGATGAAGCCTCTGCCGGACATTCGCTTTTCGTTTTCCCGATCTCGTAAACAACACACGTGATGCGAGAAGGCAGTGAGCTGGACTTCCCTGATCAGTGGCTGTATACTTGTGACCATGTGAGAGTATTTGGAGAGGGGTAGCTGACTGTCCCCGCTCTTGGCTGTACCAGGGCATTTTTGGGACAGATTGAATGACTGATGAATAATGAAATTTAAAGATAAAACGTGCTTTTTTAATGTTTTCACTTTGTACATTGTATAATAAAAAACTTTAGGGAACACAAAGGCCTATAAACACTTACTTAATTGACTATCGTCTGAACTGCCTGATCGACTGATATGCTTCGGATTAGTTAAACGTTCATTTCGCCTATAGAATTAGTAAAGTTAAAAGATGTATTTATTTGATGATTAGTAGTACAATCATCTGAAGTCCTAGAATTCTAGTGAAAATCCGTGACCAGAGGAATTTAACTGTGTCTGTTGTGAGGCAATTACTCACTGAAAACAATGGTGGACGGTGGCACAATATCGTAAATTGGTTGAATTTAAACATTAACAGCGTTGGATATCGGCTCAGTGGTCTCACCGTTAAACGTTCGTGCACGAGATCAAAGTTTGTGGGTTCGAGTCACGCGTGTGATATAGTGAATGCTCACTAATTAGGAGTCCTATACGAGGACGAAATGGCCATCCAGTGCTTTCAGGTTTTAAATGGTGGTATAGCTTGAATCGACTCATGAATTCAACAGTTAATTTACTTCGGTTATTGTAGAGATTTGAAAAATTCACTTGTGTCAACTTCTATGGAATACATGCTGACTATAAAGTGATTGATCAAATTAAGTATGATTGAATAAGACTAGCTTAAGTTAAAGCCGACAACTCAAAGTTTTGAAACAGCTATTGTATATGATTGTACATATATTATACATATTCATCTCCAATATATCCAATTTTTGTGTTGATCGGTACTCCATTTTACCTGCCATTTTACCGGGTTACAGTCACGCATCTACCACTGAATTATTCAGGTTAAGATTAAAATTCTTTAACACTGAGATGTCTGTTTTGACACTAGAAATGTCAGATCTATTCTAATTCTTCAGATCGCCCGTATCATTAAAAGATATTTCTCATTGAAGTATGTGAAGAAGAAATTGTATTTGTAGTAATCCTAATGACATCATGGCATGACAGCAGTGTTAAATGGATAACTGGTTGACACTAGTCACAGAAGACCTGTTTACGAGTGCCTTTTCATGTGTTAGCTCTTTGTATTAAATTTTCTTTGAGCCTGGATGAAAATGTTTGGGACAAAATGAGGTGTGCTCTCTCTTTATGATTGGCTTTTTCTAACCAAACCCTTTATTTCTCAAAAAGCACCATAATTCCAGATGTTGGTTGTCTGAGGATAAACCATACTGTTATCACAGCTCTATACATTCAGAAATACAACTTTGCTCACAGATCATGAGTTCTCTACTTTAAGTGTTATCACTCCTAAACTGACCTGTCTGTCATGGTAAATACTCAAAGAGTAAGCTTCTTAGCCATATTAACTAGATCGGGACATCAAGATAAGCAAGCTCAATCATCACGTTAAGGTAGCAGTTACGATCAAGAATTTTATGTTAACTTTACATATGAACTGTTATATCCGAACAAAGAATGAATGAATGGTAACTGATGGGAATTATTTATGGACTGTTATTACATATGATCCTATTGGATAATTACTTAGTAACCGGATTATATACATATTCATATTTCTTCTATCATAAGTTTTCATTTGACCTATTGACCATTGTTATTCTATTTACGTCTTGCTAATTGAACGCTATACTCGGTTCCTAAGCTATTCTCGTAACCCCCAAGCTAGAACTACACAGCGACCTAGACACGAGAGAAAAGGCGCAAAATATGAGAGAAGCACTTTACTCCAAAGGTTCGTTTTAGTACAGAAAATATAGGGATTTTATGGTATTTCAGATGTCCTTGGGTTTCCCGAAGATTCTGGAGTACTACTCAACATAGTAGCAGTAGAGTAACCATCCAATCAGAAACTCTACATGTGACTTCTCACTCCCTTGATGTTTCTGGCTAAACTTCAAATGAACGCTGATTGAATGAAATGCTTCTTAGTGCTTCATAAGCCTTTCCTGTCTTTTGCGAGAAGTTTTCTGGATCATCCTAACACCTGACTTATTTCTAATTTATCAGTTACAGTATTTTATACTCACAGCCACTTTTGGCTTGATCTTGTATGATGATTGTTTTTCATTTTATGATATACTACAGTCTGATCTATCTGGTAGCATCATTGATGAACACAGTGGGTTTGATACAGATATGAAGGTGTCGATCAGAAAAGCAAGAGCAGCATATTTACAATTGAAGCTCATCTGGAACTCAAAACAACTGTCCGTCAACCAACACCGAAGTCACAATTTTCAATACAAATGTCGAAACAGTTTTACTGTATGTGGCAGAAACTTGGATAACTACGAAAGCCATCATTCAGAAGATACAAGTGTTTATTAACAATTGTCTACGCAAAATACTTCGAATCCATTGGCAAGACACTATCAACAACAACCTACTATTGGGAGAGAACAAACCATATCCCAGGGGAGGAAGAAATCAGGAAGAAGCGCTGGAAGTGGATAGGACACATATTGAGGAAATCACCCAACTATGTCACAAGGTAAGCTCTCATCACTTGGAATCCTCAAGGACAAAAGAAAATAAAAAAATCAAACAACAAATTACGCTGAGAAATAGAGACAGATATGAGAAGAATGAACAAGAATTGGATAGACCTAGAAAGGAAGGCCCATGACAGAGTGGGTTGGAGAACTCTGGTCGGAGGCCTATGCTCCATTGGGAGTAAGTAAGTAAGCAATTTAATCTGCTTGTATATGAGTCATGTACCTTTGAAATATACGATTACAATAACGGAAGTTGATATTCATGTTCTAGATTGAACGAGAAGGGGAAAGAAAGAATCTACTACATTAACGAACATTAAACATTCGGAGTTGATTCATGACTACTAGTACTAGTTAGTATGTCATTAATTAACTCGATATTCTAATCATTGATTTTGTCATATGATATAAAAAAATGCCATAGGATATAGCAACAATAATATAAACAATTTACCTTATATATTTTGTACTACAGCATTTATTATGTTTATTTCCATGTTCATTAATTGATGAAGAGTCACTTGATAATAATGATGAATAATCTGAATGAGATTTCATTAAAGTTTCATTTAAATTAACTTTTTCATTGGACTGATCATTAACATCAGAACTTTTGATTGACTAAAACATAAATAGCATAGTGTATTTTATTCATTATTCAATATATTAGTCAGTCAGTTTAGTACAACATAGGACTAGGCACATATATGCATTGGTACAAGTTGCCATACCTCATTAGCACAACAAGATCAACATCAAATTCATAGAAGTAGTTACTTCAATAGTGGTATTATGTAAAAGAAAGATTTTGTATAAGAATATAGTACAGAAAAAGAGAATTGGTTAGTAGAAAGAATGATATAAAGCATGATGGTCTAGCTTTAATTAAATCATGAATTCAACTATTAAATTACTAAAATCTCCACAAAACCCCCTTCTGATAATAATCAGCATATGTCCACTAGTTAATCGTTTCAGGAACTATTTCCTGGAGTTTTAGTAAGAAGCAGCAACCAATGGAGTTCAACTAGGTCTGTTGTGAGGTAGTAACTTACTGAAGACAATGGTGGACGGTGGCGCAATATCGTGAATTAGTTGAAATTAAAGAACGACAACATTGGATACCGGATCAATGGTCTAGTGATTTATCACTCTTGCGATAGACCAAAGGTTCTGCGTTCGAATCCCTCTAGTGTGTGATCGTGAATGAGCTCTGCTGAGGAGTTCCATACTAAGAGGAAACGGCTATCTAGGGCTTCCAGGTCTTCCATGGTGATCTAACTTTCATTGTTTTCAATTTGTTCTAACTGACTAACTAACTAATTTACCTGTCTTGAAAGAGGTTACACTTTTTCATAAAGCTAATTGTTAACTTAGTCACTGTGGCAACTTGAAGAAGCGGGAAGTGACTACAATCAAATTTATTCAGGCAATATATCTATCCAATGGAAGTTTATAAATATTCGGTAGATTATTCGTACTACTTATATTATTATTCAGTAGTATACACCAGAAGAGACAAAACGTCATGAAGATCAGTAGTTCTGTCACTTACTTGATCTAGTTTTGAACATATTTTATCGTTTGTAATATTTTGCTTCATTTTCTCTGTCAATTCTAAATAGAAAAAAAAACGCAATGAAGAGAATCTTTAACAACCAGTTTATGATAACCCACCTTCAATTGAAGAATTGTCTGAAATATCTTGTATATTTGGATCAATTAATTCACCATATAAATAAATGTAGGCATTTAATTGTTTTTGTAAATATTCACAGTTGGAACATTCATGACCGTCGGGATGATAATGATGATGATGACGATCGTCTTCCAAATTGTTTGACTCCTAATAATGACAATAAGAATAACAATATAAATGGGACAAATTCATTAAACTTACTGTGGAGACCTGTAATAATATAATCAAAATATACAAATCTTAGATACCTGTTTTTCATAGCTTTCATCACAGATTTATCTCAGTCACATAACCTTTGAGAAACAGGAGGTAGTGGGTTAGCCATTCATTTTAGTATGAGAATCTTCAGCAGGGCACATCAACGGATCTTGAGTCCGATACCTAACGTAATTTGTATCCCAAAGGGATGACAGAAATTATTTTTTTGGAAACCACGCTAGAATTTCGAAAATACATTATAGGTATTTGTCGTCTATCCAAGAAAATAAGTAGAAGCACAATACAGATGGTTCGTCCTACTGAATGTGTTTATCAAGTGACACTTATGATAGTTTTGCATGGTTTAACCTTCAGTTCGAAGAGTTAAAAATCCATCAACCCAAATATAATTGTTTACTCATTATAAGCGTATAGTATGTGCTACTGATGTCGATAGATATGAGTAGTATGTAGCATCGATTGAGAGTGAAATGCCTGGAAACAGAAGTTTAAGAAGATCGAAGAAAAAATGAACGAGAACAGAGAGTGATTGGTGTAGAAACGAAGGAACAATCGATTGATATTTTGCAAATAAAGTATTTACTGTATGGTTCTCAGATATTACTATGAGATTCTTTAAACTTGCATTGAAATACATATAGTTGTCCTTACCTATGTTCTCATTAATTACAAGAGTACTTCATTTCAAGTTTTCAAGGTTCCTATTAAGAACTCATAATTGATGAAAATTAACCATATTGAGAATATGAAATTCACCATCAAATATTGATAGATTGTCGTTCTAAATTTTTGAGAGAGAATGAACCAGATTCCAGCGGAGGAAGAAATCATGATGAAGCACTGGAAGTGGATAAAACACATTGAAAAGCACCCAACTGAATCATAAGGCAAGTTCTCAAAACTTGGAATCCTCAAGGCCAAAAGAAAAGAAGAAGATCAAAGAACATATTACACCGAGAAATAGAGACAGACATGAGAAGAATGAACAACAATTGGATGGAACTAAAAAGGAAGGCCCAGAACAGAGTGGGTTGGAGAATGCTAGTCGATAGCCTATGCTCCATTAGGAGTAACAGGCGTAAGGAAGCAAGGAAGTCGTTCTAAATTACAAAATTTTACATATCAAACTCTGAATATCAACTCACAGATTTAAATTCAAAATATGCTCATAATGAGACTTAGAAAAAATCTGAATTCGGTAATCGCTATAGTTGTGGGTGCTCAGTGCTAAAAAGTTCCATACTTTGAAAAAACTACCGGCGAGACTATAATCTATGGACGAACCAATCAGGTATAAGATAACAGGTCATGAATTTTGGCTCGAAATTCATTCATCCATTTGGCTAAATAGCGTTTTAGCATTTCAACTGATGTCATCTCGTAATGAAAATCCTAAATCTAATTCCTAACCTTAACCATCAACTGTAAATCCTAATTCGAATTCCCCACACACGGGTTTATAACTCTCATTTGGTCCTAGTTATTAGGTAAACACTCTCAAGGTCACTTCAGTGTCGTCACACAAGGGTCGTCCATAAATTATAGTCACCCCAAAGTACCAAGTTTTTTGTAAACACTAGAAAAGATATCAATTCATGGTGTAGATCTATTTGAATTGAGAAAATAATACCCAGTTACATCATCAAATAAATTGATTAAACAAACATAGAAATTATTTCAAAATAACAATGTTTGTTAATCTTTCATTTTCATTCTATACTTTCTAACTTACATCTGATCTTGTCTTGTACATAGTACATGTAGTGAATTGTTCACGTAAATCCTATGAATAATGAACAACAATACGAAATATATTGATTATCAGTTAGTATCATAAGGGGGGAGGGTTATGGATATTATAGTCATTTTAATAGTGAAGACCATGAATTCTAGTGAGAGAAGCAGTGACCAATGGAGTTCAACTAGGTCTGTTGTAAGATAGTAACTCACTGATAACAATACTGGATGTGTCACTCAATTTAGTGAATTGGTTAAAGTCAGATAATAATACCGTTTGATACCGGCTCAATAGTCTAGAGATTAAGCGTTCACGTGTGTGACTGATAGGTCCTGGGTTCGAATCTCGCGAAGCGTGATCGTTGATGCACACTGCTAAGGACAACTGGGCGAAACAGCTGTCTAATCCTTCCAAGTTTTCAATGATGGTTCAACATCAATCGATTCATGATCTCAATCAAAATAAACAGTCTTGGTTCAAAGTATTTGTAAATCGTAATGTTTAATAACAATATGAAGAAGAAGAAGAAGAAGAATAAACAAAACAGTGAATTCACTATTGAACGCATATACACAAAGACTAATTAATTAACAACTCTGTAACATTCATGTCAATAGCGTACTTTATAAAATTGATTGATTGATTGATAGATAGATAGATACCCTTCAATATAACAAAATATTTACAAATGATGTGAATAATTATATTACTAATATTACTACTACTACTACCTCTTCCACCACCACCACCATCATTATTATTATTATTATTATTACTGCCAAGAGTAATAATTTATTCACTTAAATCAATATTTCTACATATGATAAGTTATACGTCACGTGATGCAACTACCTAATAGGTCAATACATGTTGCTATGCCTATGTGTATTGTCTTCGTCTGTATGCATACGTGTATATGTATATGTAAGTGTTACCTATACTATACATTTCTTGATTAATTTCACTTAGATTACTTAATAAATTTTTTATTGATTTAATTAAACTGTTTAATATTTATGTCAAATTAAAATGATGAATTGATCAATGTTAGATTACCATTGAAAACCTGAAAGCATTAGATGGCTGTTTTGTCCTAGTCCCCACGTGGGAGATCAGCCCTTGTGGTCTAGTGGGTGACGAAATCTCAGCCAACTTGCGTCATTTGTGGCGTAGACGAGATATCCGTCTATCAACTAAAGGACATGTTTACTGCGCAACAGTTCGTCCCGTCCTACTTTATGGCAGTGAAACATGGTCAGTAAGAGTAGAGGATATTCGTAGGTTACTAGTATTTGACCATAGATGTCTTCGAAACATTGCTCGTATATCTTGAGACCACCCAGTAAGTGACTCAGTTGTTAGGAAATGGGTACTATGTAAGGATAGCAAAGCAATTGATGAAGTAGTGAAACACAATCAGTTGAGATGGCTGGGACATGTGTTACTCATGCCCGACCACCGACTGCCTCGATGTGCTATGTTTTATGGTGTGGGAGTAGGTTGGAAGAAAGCTAGGGGTGGCCAGACCAAAACGTGGCATAAATCCATGAACTCACTGACAAGTGGACTGAACCATGTTGGTAGGTGTAGACTATCTGGTTGGGATCCGTGAGATGATAGCAATCGATGGTTAGAGACTTTGAATGACATGTCTCAAAATCGTTTGGAATGGCGCAGATGCATCCACTCTTTATGTTCTCTCAAATTCTAATCTTCTGAATTCTTCATGTCCCTTATTTTCTTTCCAAATTTATTCCACTGGATTATACTCCTTGAATAACATCATCAAACCCTAATGTTCCTGATTACTACTTATACTTTCACTACCTCTACCACTACGGGATTTGAATCGACAATTGTATCTCTGTGCTAATGTGGTATGGCAACTCGAACTGATGTACGTACGTACGAAGTTCTACGTTGTTACTGACTGACTGACTGAGACTACTGAGCCGACATTTAACGGTGTTAATGTCTAATTTTGACCAAATCATGAAATTGCGCGATGATCTTTCATTGCTTTCGATAGGTAACTGCCTCACATCTTACATGGGTTAGCTTCACTGGTCATGACTTCTTAGCAGAAGCTCTCAATTTTAGTCATCACCAGTGAACACGTGATCATTTCAGTATAAGGTTGCGGAGATTATTGAGTTTTAATTAAGATCATGAATCGGTCAATGTTAAACTACCGTTGAAAATCTGAAAGTCCTACACTAGGTTGAGACGATCGTCCAGTGCTTCCAGAGGTGTTCAATGGTGGTTTAGCAATGATTTATCCATGATCTTAATCAAAATTTAGTAATCTTCACAATCTTATACTGATATTTTATTCACCTAACAATTATTCAGAGAATCGCTTTATTGTGGTAAACTTTTAACATAAAGCTAATTATTTAAAGTTGTTCTACATGAAGTGATTGTTTATATCTTGGTTGTGTGATTACTAAACACTTGAATGATAACATCTTTATATTCTTCTACTTGTAAGCTTTATGATGATATATGTCGTTCTTATTTTACTGATAATTTATAACGGACCTATCATTCAGTTCTGGTCGACTTATGGAGTAGTTTTGCCAGTACTGTCATTTCTTAATTATATTGATATAATATCATGATTTCACTTTATACTATTGTATAAATGAATGCTATAGAATTAGAAGTTACCTATTCGCTATACTGTATTTGATTCTTACAATCAAGCGATTGAATGAGTGTGGAAGAACTGTGTTATAGACTAATAGCTGTTAGGTATTTTTCTCGGTTATTGATACCACATAGACAATCTAGATGAAATAATCAATATTTGAACAAAACCATACAACTGACCTCCTGTAGTTACTGCGATAACATCCCTAATTGAAGGAATAGGTTAAGAATTTCTTGGTTAAAGGATCAATTCTGACAAGATAACAAATGTAGCTAGACACCAACATTAGAAAACATAATACAACACTATATCATTCCATACAATTCAGTCAGCATTAGGAATTATTAAGTTGTGTAATACTGGATCGTTGGTCAATAACTATCAATAACAACTAACTATGGGAGAAAACAAACCAGATCCCAGCGGCAAAAGAAATCAGGAAGAAGCGTTGGAAGTGGATAGGAAACACATTGAGGAATGCACCCAACTACGTCACAACACAAGCCCTCACATGCAATCCTCAAGGCCAAAAGAAAAGAAGAAGATCAAAGAATACATTACACTGAGAAATGAAGACAGATATGAGAATAATGAACAAGAATTGGATAGAACTGGAAAGGAAGGCCCATGACAGAGTGGGTCGGAGAATGCTGAACGGTGGCCTATACTCCATTGGGAGTAACAGGCGTAAGTAAGGAAGTCGTTCTAAATTACAATTATGGAGTTTGTGTACTTATCATTGACCATCTTCTAGGTACATTACTAATGTCTTGTTAAGAAGCTTTGATCTGTTAGAACTGAGGTATCTATCATCGATTATACAAAATAGCGACTGAATATTAGCTCAAATTGACAGAAGTTAGAAATATGCGCTATTGGGTTCTAACTAAGTGATATAAAATTAATGCGTACTTATCATTTCAGTCCCTGATTACATAACATGTTCTCATTATTTTAGTGTTCGATATTAAAATGGAATTCCTTATTGGTTTTCAATGATTCTCAAGCTGATGTCAGTCTACAATAAAACAAGAAACCAACTTCACACTAGACTAATCTTCATAGTTTATTTAATTACAAATTAATGGATTTCCAAACTGTTAATTGTTTTCAGTAGTTGAGATCATGAGTCAATTAAAGCTAGACCACCATGGAAAACCTGGAAGCACTGGACGGCCGTTTTGTCCTAGTATGGGACTCCTCAGCAGTGCGCATCCACGATCCCGCCTCGCCAGGTTCGAACCCACGATCTATCAGTCTCGCGCCATGCGCTTAACCAACTAGATCACTGAGCCGGCATCCAATGGTGTTAATGTCTAACTTCAACTGATCCACGAAATTGAGCGACACATCCACCATTGTGGATGCGAACTGCTGAGGAGTTCCACAATAGGACGAAACGGCTTTCCAGTTTTCCATGGTGGTCTAGCTTCAATTGACTCATGATCTCAACTATTGAAACTACTACAATCTCCACAAAACCCATTTTGATGCTAATCGTTTGAATATTATACACTGTGAAGCTAAACGATACGAGTTTAGATCTTAAAAGAAACATCAACTCCTTTAAGACTTCAGATATATCCTGATAGTAGATGCAAACTGGTCTAGTAAACTACTTTTGATGGAATTTTGTTCTTTGGGCTGGATGGTTTGATCGTGGTGCTTTCATCGTTCTTCTGAACGACATCATCAGCACAAACTCCAAATAGAAGAATGATGAAAGCTCGACGACCAAACCATTCATCTCATAGAATAAAACTCCATCAAAATCATCCACCTGAGCTACAAATCTTCTCCATCATCTCTAGTAAACTACCTCTAATCACCTAACATTACTGAAATGGTTGTTACCCGACCATTAACATAATAATTATCATCATTCATCATTAGCATTGTCTAACGATATACCATTGGATTGTTTCATAATTATTATTATTAAAAATTCAGTATCTATTCCAATTATAAATAACGTTATTGAATAGGTACATTAAACAAACAAAATAAAATAGCTAACCTAATGTAATAGTCACACGATTCAAGTATCAAATTATAACAATAACATGATTATTCATTTACAGACTAAACATGTACCTATTTTGTACCTTTGGATGATATATGTATTTGTGCCAAATGATTAGATTCTCTCGATGATAGAGTTTTCTAAGTAGTTTTTATTAATATCAGAAGGGGTTTTTGTAGTAATTTGTCCTATCCGGTCTCACGAGTTTCGAACCCAGAATATATCGGTCTCGCTTAACGGTGAGACAACTGAGCCGGCATCCAATGATGTTAATGTCTAACTTCAACCAATCCACGAAATTGAGCCACAAATCCACCGCAACAGACTGGGCTTCAATAGGTATTTCCTGAAGTTCTAGTGAGAAGCAGTGACCAGTGGAGCTCAACCAAGTCTGTTGTGAGACAGTAACTCACTGAAGACAATGGCGAAACTTCGTGGATTGGTTGAAGTTACACATTAACACCGTTGGATGCCGGCTCAGTGGTCTAGTTGGTTAAGCGCCTTGCGCGAGACTGATAGGTCTTGGGTTCGAATCTCGTGGGGCGGGATCGTGGATGCTCACTACCGAGGAGTTCCGTACTAGGACGAAACGGCCGTTCAGTACTTTCAGGTTTTCCATGGTTGTCTGGTATTTTTCTTTAAAAAAAATCGGTTAATATACAATTGGAGACAAATATTAAGCTATACAATTACTATTCACTCTAGCTGTTAACAAAATTTAACTCTCATCTAAAAAAAATTGATTTTGTTTTAGAGGAATTGACTGTGCGTCACCTAGTCTACATATCCTAGTGTTACATTAATTCATCCAAACCATAATTTATGAACAAACCAATCAGATTTAAGATAACAGGTCTTGGATTCACCCATTTGGCATTATAGCTGTAAATGTTGTAAACTCATACTTAATGTTATAACTTGTGCCCTGTGTCCTATTAATGTATAACGTAGTGATACTATCGATTAAAGAACAGTGAATTATCAACCGGAGCAATGACGCATAAAAACCGTACGAGCAGCCTAGAGTCTTTATCGGTCCTGCTTTCCAACCTAGCCCTACCTGCCTGTTGAGTCCAAAACACCAATCTCAGCCTCGATGATATTAAGATTTAATGAACATAATGTAATTCAACTTACTTGAATTAATTTATCTAAAATTTGATTATCTTCTAGTAATTTCTTTTCATTTTCTATTTTTCCTAAAATTATTTGTTCCAAATGTTTATTTGTTTGGATCAGATTTTCTTTTTCTACATGAAGCATTTCTTGATCTGATTTCATAGACTATAGTAATGAAAGAGCATAGAAATACAATAGTTAGAAAGTTAGGGGTGGCCAAATCAAAACGTGGCATCAATCCTTGAAGTCACTAACTTCTGGTCTAAGCCAGGTTGGTAGATGCAGACTACTTGGTTGGAGTCCGCGTGACTATCGTAACCAATGATTGGAGACTCTGTGTGATATGACTCAGAATCGATCACAATGGCGTCGGTGTATACACTTGTAGTGACCTACTTTTATCAACAGAACGCGATTGGTGTAGTGGAAACAAATATGATTATAACCAATTGTACCAGTGATTGTTTTACTGTATTTGTTTGTTTAACTGTACCAAAGACATTCTTGCTTCCGTTGATTGTGACCTTGTACGCGCTTACGTTTGCTCAGTGAATCCGCTTGTACTCCTTTGACACGATCTCGGTATTCTTTCGATACCACGAGATCGCCAACAAATACATCTTGACTACAGCCATCATCTGCCTTCTGATATTGGCCTACGGGGATCTTATTGGTTAACTGGCACGTAGTCTTCTTGTCATGGTGATCATAGTCAACCGCGACTCGATGCCACGCTACACACTCTCAGTTATCCCTTAAACTCTGAGATTAAAAGTGTCTTACATCTTTCTTTCTACTTGTACTATATCCTTTCTTTTATATATTACTACTTCTACGAGTTCGGTGTTCATCTTGCTGTGCTAATGTGATACGGAAACTTGGATCGATGCATATATGTGTCTGGTAATACGTTGTAACTGACTGACTGACATATCAACACATGAAATTCACATGAATAAACCAGTGAAGGAGTTGAACATGTTGAGAAGTATAGATCTATTGGACATTTAAACATAAAAATCACAGTTCAGAATAGCACAATTGAGAATAATAAACAAGAGTTTAGACTGACAATAAACTTAAAATTTACAGTAAGAATGAATGCATATGGACTATTGTGACTGGTTTGCTCTATTCTGCCTAGCATCCTTAATCAAAAAATACGACTGGTAATCTCTACTTGCTTTGTTGATGTGTTGTGACATTTCTAACCGATACATAAATATACCAGATTCCATGTTGCTTATGACTGAGTGATTGACTGAAAACGCCTATCTACAGCTTCTGTGACCAGCATACAACAGATGGAATGTAGCTAGCAATAGAATCCAAGAAGCATTTTTCTTCCTATTTAGAACTTGTCAGCTGAGTGTACTTGCATCCCCAAGTTAATAACCACTCCTTAACTCGAACATAGTACCATTTGTTCAGATAGCCACCCCTTTGTGCAACCGGTATGAGATTTAATTCAATTTCGAATGAATTAGATAATCTTGTTATTTATATATTTGACCGAAACTCAATCATTCTTAGTTGACTAATATTAATGCAGACACATTCAGCTGATGAGCCTCAAATAAAACGAAACAGCCTACTTGGATTCCATTACTAGTCATTATCCAACTGTGTTTATAAATGTACAAAAATTAGCTTAACTATAATTGACAACAATCTGATCTATCAAAATCATTGTTCATATTAATTATAGTAAACATATAATCAAGTCATATAGCTTTATGTTATTAAAATACCTACTGTGATATGATCAACTCAGAAACACCTACATAAGTATCCATACCCACACACACACACACACACACACACAAAGCCTATACTACTAAGATACTATAACTCAATGAATCCGTTATTGTTTTATATTCTATTATATTAAACATATTCATACCCATGTGAATATGAGTATATACTATTAAACTCATTCATCCCTATTGAGATTAAAACAAAAAGAAGAAGAAGAAACAAAGAAAAATGATCAGAAAGAAAACTTATTTCGATATTGATCATTGAATAAAGTGGTAAAATAGTTTGTTTCATTTCTTATATTAAATAGTTGGATAGTTTTTCTTTTCAACTATGTGTTAACTAGTGATTAATGAGAAGCTGTGATCAGTAGTGTTGTCTTATGTCAGGTTTGAGGTAGTTACCTACTAATGGCACCGAAAGATGGATGAATATTATTACTCCTCGTGGAGGAGAATAGGCCACCCACCAGCATTATCCATCTAACCCTGTCTTGGACAATTCTTTCCGGTTCTTTTCGGTTATTATTCATCCATTTCATATCTGCTTCTATTTCCCGATGTAGCGTGTTCTTTGGCCTTCCTCTTTTATGCTTCCTTTCAGAATTACAAGTTAGTGCTTGTCTCGTGATGAAGTTTGATGATTTCCATAATGTATATCCTATCCACCTCCAGCATCTTTTCCTAATTTCTTCTTGAGTTAGAAGCTCGTTTGTTCTCTATCACAGAAGGTTGTTGCTGATAGTATTCGGCCGATAGATGTTGAGTATCTTGCATAGACAGCTATTTATAAACACTTGTACATTTCTGATGATGGTTGTATTAGTTCTGGAAGTTTCAGCTCCGTACAAGATAACAAGCTGTCTTGACGTTCGTATTGAAGATTGTAACTTTGACATTAGTTGACAGTTGTTTTGAGTTCCATATATTCTTCAATTGTAGGAATGCTGCCCCCCGCCAATCCTTGCCTTTACGTCTGCATCCGATCCTCCTTGTTCATCGATGATGCTCCCCAGATACGTGAAACGTTCCACCTGTTCTAGAGTTTCTCCATCAAATGTGATTGTATTGGTGTTCTCCTTGTTGTATTTGAGGATCTTGCTTTTTCTTTTGTGTATACTGAGGCCTACTGGATGAACAATATCCCGAACTGAAATTAGATGTCTAAAACATTGGACGTCGATTTAAATGTCTGAAGGTGAAGAACTCACTGTGAGACCTATAGTCGAGGGCTTGATCCTAGTAGCAGGTTCGTGGATGCACATTGTTTAAAAATCCCATACTTGAACAAAACAACTGTTCAGTAATTCCTTAGTTTTCAAAAGTCATTCCTCGATGTTACATTCTAGTTTGGGATTGTGCACAGAGTGAAACTAAAGATCATGACTTTTCATAAAAACTACTATATATTTAAACAAATGATTTTGATATCATTCGACTGGTAGTATAGTGGGACCCTCAAATCAATGTCATTTTAATTATTGTAAGGTGATTCAATCAAAAAGAAACTAAATGATTACATTTTTTGATGGCTGGCAAAAAATATAAAACGCATTGGATCTTACAGAAATCAATGTTACTTGAATACAGTTTAGATCATGAGTCAGTTGAAGCCAGACCACCATGGAAAACCTGGAAGCACTGGACGGCCTTTTCGTCCTATTGTGGAACTCCTCAGCAGTGCGCATCACGACCTCGCTCCTGCGAGATTCGAACCCACGATCTACTGAAGTTAGACATTAACACCGTTGGTTGCCGGCTCAGTAGTGTAGAGGTTAAGTGCTCGCACGCGAAACCAGTAGGTCATGGGTTCGAATCTTGCGGGGGGCAAGGTCGTGGATGCGCACTGCTGAGGAGAGTTCCACAATAGGACGAAACGGCCGTCCAGTGCTTCCAGGTTTTTCATGATGTTTTGGCTTCAACTGACTCATGATCTCAACTGTTGAAATTACTACAATCTCCACAAAAACCACTTTTGGTACTTGAATAGTTCAAACTCGTGTTATCCAGGATTATAGTGTAAGTTGTTATAACTGGTCTGTTTGAATTACACCTAGAGTGACGTAATTAATATAGTTCATTCAGTAAAAAGAATCAAAGAACGTAACACTGGCATACTCTAAGTTCCTAGTTTTTACGCGTGTTATGTTCTTTCATTTGAATTGATTAGTCGTGAAACTTTCATTGATTCACTAGACAATACCATCAATATATACATCAGAAAGTAATAAGCTATAAATGTTTTCTACGACCTGATCAACAGTTTAGTCTGTTGACTTGGAATCTGATTAGTTGTTGTTCAAAAACTATTTCATTGTTATTTGCATCTTTATTTAGACTGTTTTCCTGATGACCTGAACTATGACTTTGTAATTGTTTGTCATTTTTCTTAGAAGATGATAAACTGGGTCAGATCAAAGGCGATAAATGTGTAAATGATAACAGTAAAATTATTCACAACAACTAATCAAACTCTAAGTCAACAGAACTGGCTATTAGTCATTTGTAGTACTCATTCAAACCTCTACTTTAGACCATGTCCAGGATCTATAGGTTTCACTAATAGGGCTTAATCTCTGGGCTACTAGGGTTGCATCCAGTTGTGTAAGTGTGCAACTTTAATTAATTTGCAATGATTTGATTGCCTACGGTGGATAACTATCTCATGCTCGATATGACTGAACTTCACTGGTCACAACTTTTCATAAGAACTCCTGGAAATGCACTTGGACATTAGTCACTAGTAGAGATATTATTATTATTTGTGTAAGTAGTTTATAGAAATCATTGGATTATCATTATGATCTACAAATTAATCATGTACTCTTGAAGCTGAAGGCTTTGTGTTCGATCTGCGGTGTGACCATGGATGTTCAGTGTTAAGGAGTTCCATAATAAGATTAAAAAAACATCTGTCTGGTGCTTTCTATCTTTCAATGATATGGTCTAACTTAGAACAACGGATGATATAACCTATGACAATATAACAGTCTCTATAAATTCACTCTACTAAGAATAACAACTCATACACATGGTTCCCTTTATTATCTTGCAGAGAGCAAGAACAAAGATTTATGTAGAATAATATGAATTCCTTTTATCCTGCTAAGTTCTCATCTTTATTTCAACTCTATCTGCAGTTTTGATTACATGATTGTCATTTCTCGTTAATTCATAACTGAATGATTTCAATTCATATCTTTCTTTATTACCATTAACCTGTTCTCAGCTAGCTTATTACACAATCAAATTAAAGCTAGACCACCGTGGAAAACCTGGAAGCACTGGATAGCCGTTTCGTTCCAGTATGGGACTCCTCAGCAGTGTGCATCTGTGATTCCGCCTCGTGGGATTCGAACTTAAGTTTTCCACGGTGATCTAGCTTTAATTAGTTCATGAATTCAGCTATTAAACTACTATAATATCCAAAAAAACCTTTCTGATTATTACACAATCATCAAATGTTTGCTTACTCTATGATTTCTTATCACTAGTTCGATGTTCTGGAACTTTCCCTCACAAACTTTGTTTCTTTATTTAAAACAAACAGTTTTTATCACCTTATTAACTCTATTGGAATCTTCAGTACAACATGATACACATATTGAGGTGATAATAAACTCCGCTCTTGTTTGCAATTTCGACCTTGTGGCTGGCAACCAACCAAAATGAGGTGGGAATTATCATTTACACTATCGTAATCTGTGATGGAGAGCTGATTACTCTGTCTGTTATTATTGCTAGCTTACATGATAAATGTAAAGGTTTCTACGACAAAACATCACTCCATGATGTGACGGACGTGTCAATTGTAGTTCAGTCAGTCGTGATGAAAGAATGATTACAATATAGCAAAATTCATACCTTCAATGAATTCTATAATAAAAATTATCCTAAAATATCTACAATTGAGTGGAATCATAATCGATACACTTAGATGAATAAACAGTGTAGAATTAATCTCTAGCCAATTTCTGTGATAAATATTAGTATAGGGTTGGGGAAATTATTAAATTTTGATTGAAATCATCAATCGATCATTCTGGAAGCACTGGATGACCATTTCGTCATGAGGAGTCCTATACTAGAATGAAACAGGCGTTCAGTGTTCCCAGATTTTTAATGGTAGTCTAACATTGATCGATTCATTCCTCCACATTCCCTCGTACGGCCGAGAGTAGAGAGAATCCTCTCGCTCTCTCTCTGGCCACAAGTATACAGCCACTGCCAGAGAAGTCCTACTCACTGCCTTCTCATGAATCGGGTGTTGTTTACGAAATTGAGAGGACGAAAAGCGAATTTTCGACACTTTAACCGGGTTGGTGGACATGGAGAGTTCACCTAGGGAAGTTAGGAAACTTTGATTCCAAACCAATGGTGTACATGGTCTCCTGGATCTCCTGACGTTGCATCATTGCCTTGCAGATTAGCATAATAAAATGAAAAACCATACAGAAACTAAATATTTCATCAACTTACTTGTATTAAGTTATTTAAGATCACATTATCTGATTTCAATTGTTCATTTAAATCTTCTTTCTTATTTAGTTCCATTTTAGTTTCTTTCAATATCATATTCAATTTCTTTCATTCATTTAACATGAGATTTCAAAGGAGAAAAACAAACAAACAAACAAACAATCAGCTTTAATACATAGATACATTTATGCATAAGAATGAAATGATCTTCAATGGGTAACTGCCTAGCAACTGATATGTATTGAACTTCATTGGTCAAAGCTTCTGATTAGCACTTAGAGAATTACCTGTTATAGTTAGTTACTAACAAGCATATGATGAATGAAATTTAGTTTATTTAATACAGGATAAAATTGTATTGATCATGTTATCTAATATGGTAGTGTCACGTTCTCACAAATAATAGTTGAGTTATGATTATTAATGATTGAAAACATCAATCGGTCAACGTTAGACTACTATTGAAAACCTGGAAGCACTAGTTGGCCATTTCGTCATGGGGAGTCATATACTAGAGCAAAACGGCCGTTCAGTACTTCCAAGTTTTCAATGGTGGTCTGTCATTAATCGATACATGCTGCCAAATGTTGACATTTTTGATCGATATCGATTAGTTTAATGAATATAGATCATATGCTTACTAGTAATTATCTTAAAGATATGACATTGGGAGATTAAATCAAGTGCCATAACCATTAAATTTCGATTATGTCAAGTGTGAAATATTTACTCATCCATTGTAGGTTGTAAATGAAAGTTGTGCAATATTGTAAACTTATATGCTATTAGATACTAGCTCAATGGTCGACAGGGTAAATGTTTATTTCGTTTCTATACATTATCGATAATGGCGTTTGAAGAGAACGGTACTGGGTTCGAGTCTCGGAGTGAACATCAACAAGTCTGGGATGCAGGTACATCCAGCTGACGAGTCCCAAATGGAACGAAACGTGCATCCTGGTTTCTACTGCTAGCCACTATCTATCCTTTATATCTTTCAATTCGATCTGTTTTGAAATTGAAGATGCCTTCTGTTAGGTAGTTATAATCTAATATTAAAAAATTTTATTGTTCACTATTTTTCTTTGAGATCATGAACCGATTGATGTTAAAGCACCATTGAAAACTTAAAAGCATTGAACGACCGTTTCGTTTCATTGTGGGACTCGAGAGCGGGATCGTGGATGCGCACTACTGATGAGTTCCACAAAAGGACGAAACGGCCATCTAGTGCTTCCAAGTTTTCAATGGTGCTTTAACATCAATCGGTTCATCAACTCAATCAAAAACGTAATAATCTCCACAATCCTATACTGACACTATTTTTCTATACGGTTCTATCTGAAGTATTAGTTTGTGGTTAATTATGTTTCCGAAAAATGTACTAATTAAGTAAATGTGAACAAACAGTCTTACCGATTATCTTATAGAAGACAACGAATTGAGAAAACGTTAAAATAATAAGTCTAAAACATTTTCATAGTTCGTATCACGAACAGATCTTGCTTAGAAAACTATTGAAATCTAAGAACTACCGAATAACTATTTCATCTTAGTATGGAACTTCTCATCAGTAACTGACGACAAATTCACAACCAAGATATTTAGATTTCATAATTAGCTCTTAAACTTTAGAACACTTAAATGTCATATTATTAGTTTACATCTTTAACTTCAAACAATTCATGATATTGAATCGTTTTGGTCAGTGGATTCATTTGAAATAGTTAAAGATGTTCTTGATACAGTACTAATGTATTTGGTTAACTTAGCGTAATTATGTTTCTTCATATCTGACAATCAATTCAAAATATATCATGGAAAGTAGAATTGATAGTGTATATTTCAATCTTAACAACGACCATTCGATGACGCTGAAATGACCTTGAGAGTGTTCACCTACTAAGTAGGACTAAATGAGGGTAACAAACCTCTGTGAAGAACAAAGATTATGATTTACAGTTGTTGGGTTAGATGTTAGGAATTAGATTTAAAGTATTTATCATGAATTAACATCAGTTATAATACCAAAATGCTCTTTAACCAAATGGATCTGTTATCTTAACCGATTTCATTCATACTGGTGGTTGTTTTTCAGTGTTCTCAAGGGTCATTGTCATTAGGACATTATAAGGCATGTAGCCATTGCTAACATTAATGAGTTTGACTGCCGTGTAAGCGGAATAGGTCAACTTTAACCTGTTTGTGCTGTGCATAATTGATTCACGTGATCATTGATCGAAACAACTATATATGTGACGTGAATATGTATATGAATGATTCGAATGGTCCACCAGGGCGCTTAGTACCTGTGCGGTTGCGCCACAGGATTGAGCTCTACTATATAGATTGTAGTGTTAAAGTGTATATGGTGTCTGGTTCTCCTGTGAAACGTGATTGGGCCGTACTATTTGAGCTACAAATCTTAAGTCTAGGCGGTGTCTGGCTCTTTTGTTAAATGGGATTGAGCTATACTGTTTTGGGTTGTCACATGAAAGTCTAGATGGTGTCTGGTAGTCAAGTATATGATTATGTAATTGATTTTAGTTTTGCATAATTTTTGCAATGGTAAGTCATTTTACCTGAATAATTAAATTAAAACAGAACTATTTGAAACATGGTAATATCATTCTATCGAATTACTCGTTTATACAAATTTCTCATCCTTTTTTAGCTAATTAAACCCAAGTAATAAAGATGATTGAATAAATAAACTAACAACCATTTCCGGTTTATAAAACTAATTATAAATTAGGTTTAATAAAACTATAAATTGACTTGATATTGTTTACTTGAATCTTTCCATTGTTATTTAGGACTACAATCGATCATTTTCTCATTGGTATATGTGCATACTGTGAATATTACCTCGATACTGCCTTAGTTCACAAGCATTCTAATCAGAGATGAATAGTGGCTAGCAGTGGAATCCAAGACGCGCGTTTTGTCAGGACTCAGCAGTTAAATGGATAACATGATGACGTTTGAATCAAACGTTACTCGGTTCGAGTTCCAGATTGAACATCAACAAGTCTGGGATGCAGGTACACCCAGCTGACGGGTTCCAAATAGAACTAAATTTCGTGTCTTGGATTGCACTGCCAATCACCATCCATCTTTGTATAATAGAACTATGTAAAGTGAAGGATTTAGGTTTAGTCTATCTTACTACTTATTAAAATAAAATTCAGTCGCTGGTAAACATTCAATGATAAATGTTTCTTTAAAGTCATCAACTCATTACGATAGTCTCGTGGTTTGAAATTGAATCACAGTTGTAAGAATTTTACGTGACAATTTTTAGCGAAAAATGGTTGTGACTTCATGAGGATCTAGTGAGATCGTGGATTTAACCTGTTGAAGTGTTCTTTACTGTGATGAAATAATAGTCTAGTTCTGTCTATCTATTATCAAATGAATACAGATCTTGATTCATCTATCATATCAGCAGAGGTTTCGTGGATATTATAGTAATTTCAATAGTTCAGATCATGAGTCCATTGAGGCTAGACCACCATTAGAAACCTGGAAGCACTGAACGGTTGTTTCGTCCCATGTTGTGGGACTCCTCAGCATTTCGCATCCATCATCCTGCCCCTCTCAGCGAGATTCGAACGCAGAATTTATCATTTATCATAAATTATTTCACTATACAACTAAATGATTAATATAAGTGATGCATATTTAATTTTCATTATAATAAAGTTATTAGTACATATGATATAAACAAAATAAGTGGTACTATTATGCAACAATACAAAATCTTAATGAAATCAGCATTTACTGGCAACAACAACAACAACAACAAAATAAAAATTCTCTCATTTTAGGACTAAATTAATCAATCGATAAAGAAAAACAAAACAAAACAAACATACTATGACTATAGTTAGTTAATCAGTATTGTACTAACATGGTACTACGTCTACTATTACTACAACTTAGATAACCACCGAAAATCGGAGGGGGGAATGTACAGGTGTACTACTACTACTACTACTACTACTATTATTAATATTATTATTATTACTATTACTACTACTACTACTATTAAAAGTTAGATAACCACCGAAAACCGGAGGGGGGAACTGTACAGGTGTACTACTAATACTACTACTATATGGTATCTATCAATAAAGAAGCTTCATAAAACATAGTTTGAATAATTGTTTTTTTTTCTCTTAAATCGTTTACTTTCATTCTCTTAAATAATGTTTTCCCACTGCTTTATTATTATTATTATTATTATTATTATTATTATTATTATTATTCTGCTACCATTGAGACCTTGATTAATTGAAGTTTATCACTAATGAACATTGAATAAATTAAATGAAATTGGTTCAGTTAAACAAATGAAATTGACAAAAATAAAGAAAAAAAGAACAAGAAGAAAGTACTTTGCAATATCACCACATGCACATACGCACACACATATGCACATATATACATAGATACATACATATTTCTTTTCATTATTGTTCTAGAAAAAAACCGGAAAAATATAGTTCAAAAGAATGCACATAATGTTATGATATGTAGTGTTGTATATATCATATTTCGCATATGTATATATATATATATATATATATATATATATATATATATATATATACTACTAATAATAATGCCATAATGACATAATAACATGTTATAATATAATATTAAAGTGTTTAACTGAATTCTAACTTTATGACGATACATTTTTCTCACTTCTTATTTTATAAATAGTTTATTTATACTACCAGTAATCGTAATAGTAGTAGTAGTAGTAGTAGTAGTATTAACAGTGGTAAAAGTAGTAGTAATAATATAAGTAGTATGAGTATTATAAGTAGTATAAATCGTAGTAAATAATAATCATATTAAAATTAGATCTTTACAATATATAATGTGTATATAGTGAAGTAGTAAAAGTGACATTAAAAGAAGAAAAAACAGAAAAAAGAAAAGAGAATTCTTTTTCTTGGAATTTTCTTTTCTTTTTTTTTTAATACAGAAATATTTGTTTCTATAAGAATTTTCTTTTAAAAAAAAAAGAAAAAGAAAAAAAGAAACGGTAGATAATCATGTAAAAAGTTTTTTTTTGTATTTTGTATGTTGTC